CCGACGTGGTTTGAGGAGGCATCATCATTGATTGCGTTGTGAGTGGATTTTGCTGAGGAGACGGGTGCGTGGCGTATGGTGAGGGCTGGACGGGGTTCATAGATGAGTACGGCGGATATGCGTACATCTGCGGCGCCATCTGGGGCGACTGTGTATACATGTGGCGGCCATGCTGGTCGTGCGGTGGTTGCGATGCCACCGACGCCGGTGAGCCGGACTGAGGAGTATGATAGATGGGGGGATATGGTCTCTGCATTTGAGCGGTGGTTGCCATGAGGTCGGGTGGTCCTACAGCCTGCATGTCAGTGAAATTGTCGCCGAGTAGAGAGCAACTGAGCTAAATGTACCGCTAGAGGGATACTGCCCCGGGGCAGACGAGGTAGCGTATGGAGTCGGGTGGGTAGTGTAGTAGGGTGATTCTTGCGACGATGGTCCGTACGGGCTCTGGGACTGTAGGACACCGTTTCCTAGACGGTGGGAGTATGTGCCCGAGGGGATCGAGGACGCGGGTTGGATAGGCGACGCAGGGCCGGGCTTCTGTGGTTGTACAAGTCCGGCTGATCGAGGTTGTTGTAAGGAGTGGTGAGACTGCTGTGAGCCCGGATGTCCCGAACTGCTATGACGAAGCTGTGGCAGAAGCACACTATCAGTATCGAAAGAAGAATTGACACGCCTGTTCAGCCCGACTGCATGGTGATACGACAACCTTCCAAGGTGGCCGCAGGAGAGCAAAAGGAGAAACGAAAAACACAGAGAGTCTATAGACACAAGAGATGAAAAACGGACGGAGTGACGCCATAAATCGAGAGAGTATGTGGGAACCGTAAGCATGGCATCCAGTCACGGAGGGGTTGGTTTGGGCCACGGAGCAGCAATGCCTTTCGGCAGGGGTGAGGGTATTAATTGCGTAACCAAGAGCCAGGGTATTGCCAGGATTGCCGGTCCAGGGTCAAAGAAATGCGGCGGATATGTGTAGCCTTTGGTGTCTCAAGACTGCGAACCCGGGAGATTCAACCACTCAAGGCTGAAAATTTGCCCCATGGCGTCGGAGCCGCTGACAGCTGGTACAGCTGGGGTAGCCTCGGAAGCATTGTGCTGATTGATGCCTTGCACCGCTGATAGCTTAGGAAGATGAACCCTTGGCAGCGCAGCATTCTGACGAGACCTTCCACGGAATACAGAGGCGGCGATGTATAGCGATTTGCCATCAACAAATCATTGAACAGACGGGTTCCTTTGTGTCTCGGAGGGCACAACACTCGTTTGTTCCCAGATCCCAGGGTATTGAACGAATTGACTGGAAGAGTGCCAGCAAAGCTCCGGGCAAATAAAAGTCGCGATGCAATGACCAGAATCGTGGGACATACACTCCAAGAACCGCAATCAACATGAAAAAAGAGACAACAAAAGGCAAAGAAAAGAAAAGCGTAAAAAAAGCCTAACAAAGGCCCGAATGATATTGAAGTAGGAAAAAAGACTCTCACAAGACAAGATCTAAATTGCAGTCGGGCAGAAAAGACGAGACAAGAAACTTACCGGATCTTCCACAGGATCTTCCTTGTAGTTGGCAGACACGGGCGAAGGAGCAAGGTCAGCCTGTACCATGCCGGTCAAGAAACGGCCCTTTTCGCGGTCAGTGCTTGAATCTGGCGATGTTCTCGCTTTCTGGGCGGGAACCGATCACGATCTGGCGGCAGTGGGAAAGTAATGACCAGGGGAGGAAGAAGCGCGCCTGGAGCGACTGTCAGAATGGAGCCGGGCACGAGGGCGATCCCGGAGGCTGCGCGACGGCTAGTCACTGACTACTGACTGGGATTCAGGACTCGACGTGGGCAACAACGGTTGGGATGCGAGTTACAGGCCGGTGGAGGGTCCAGGGTTGTTATTTAGCTGCACCGGGGAGCCCCATTTCTTGCCTGTTGTCGATGAGAGATAAACACAGGTGGGAAAAATAATAAAAGTAAAAAAAAAAAAAAAAAAAAAAAAAAAAAAGAAAAAAGAAAAGCCAAAAAAGAGGAAGAATAAAAGCCCAATGGGGAATGGTGGCAGAGACGAAAAGGAATCGTGGAGAGAGAGAGAGAGAGAAAGAGAGAAAAAGCGCAGATGACAGGGCAGCGGGAATAATAATATGGACCGGAATGGGTGCAGCAGAGTAGATTACGGCCGGGCTAACATCCGATATACAGTTAGAGGAATAGTTAAGGGGCGATGAAGTGCAGCATGCAGAACGGTGCGTGGTGGGAACAAAGAGGCAACAGACTTCGGAGACAGTGGAGGGACGCTGATACGCTCGAGGACGAAAGACAAAGAGGTGGACCCGTGACGTTATCTAGGTGGTTTACATCCGTATGTGTTAGGGCTTGAAGGCTTCCTAATGTTTGCCCTTTATGACGTTCCAGCAGCATCAAACGCTCGACCCACCAGAAGCGATTGCGGAGTCGAACGGTCGGATGGCCTAGCGGACTGTATGTAACTAAAGGTCGGTTTCAGGTACCCTTTGTGAAATCCACATCTCGGAGTATATCGAACGGAGGATCGGCGAGGATTTCTCTGTTGCTGCCGCGGAACTCCACTTGAAGTGATCGGACTCAGCCTTGTTTCTTTTGCTTCACCCTTTCCAAATAAACTCGAAACAGGCTAATGGCCGCCCACTGTGACCCGAGTGCGTTCGTGAGTGGCAGAAAGCCGCTGTGCAACCCGGTCGAAAATGGCGCAGCGGCTGATCCCCAACCCCCCGGTCAGCCAGTGGTGAACTAGTCCCAGGGCAGCCGTACGATGATTGATGCTGCTGCTTCCCGCTGAGGGCGAATCTGCGCCGCATTTTCTCGAACCTGCGGGAGGGTCGAGTCCTGGTCTGCCTGCCACTAACTAACTAACTAAAAGCCTAGACGAGGGTCGCCAAAGGCAGGCCTTGACTCGTCGACAACACGGGCGGGCCAATGGACAGGCAGATCGCTCCAGGATCCGATGCGGGCCTCCACCCGGGTTCGCCCCTAGCCTGGAATGGCGTTAGGCTAGTTGGACTCGGCACTGTTCTGGACAAAGGTTGTTGGTTCGAGAAGCAACTGTGACGTCGACTAGCACCCGAGGTTCTTTGTACACACGTTCCGAGGAAGGCCAGTTCTCCGGGTAACTGGTCTGGAATCGGCACCTCGGCGCACGATACCTTCCTCTCTTCATTAAACCCTCGTGTGCATGTCTTCCGCCCATGTCCACGGGGAAGATCGGTGGTCCCGGGAGGGGAGCGGGGCCTTCCGCAGAGGTCTGTAACTCGGGTTTTGTCATGATTATGATTGGAGGGGGCGGCAGTAACCCGCCAAAGATTCTCCATCTGTGGCCTCGTTATTGGGCATACCCTACAGCAGCCCGAGGGGCCATCTCACCCAGAGAATATTCAGGAACGGGTAATCGGCTCCGGAGGCTCAGAAATGGCCGTAAGGGGCAGTCAGCGTGCCGATTGGCGACGGCCGGACAGTTGCTGAGAATAATACGGCGTTGCATTGATTTATTCATGTCGAAGATTGTGGATGCCGCTTCTTTCCAGAAGCAGGCTAGTCATCCCCCGACGGCGGCCATTCAGAAGAGACGGTCCACTGTTGTTGGCTGCACGGGCGGAGTCTCGGGAGACATTAGGGAGCCTATCTCAGGTACTCAGGCCAAGGTTGGGGCTAATCCAGTCCATCGCGGTGCACGACCCTCTTTCCACTCTGGGGCCGAGCGAAACGGTGGCCTGTGGACGGGCCATGATTGGCATCATTCCGTGATCGATGCAGGGTGCCGGCCTCGCCTCGCGGCCTCTCGTCAAGCGTCCTTTGACCCACCTCTTTTGTTCAGCTGAGCCTACATAGCAGATGTAATTTCGTTTCGCAGAAAACGAATCTAGGGTGGAAAGAGACTGGACCCACTGGTCAGTGCGGTGCTACTAAATCTGGTCACTGGTCTGGTCGCTGCCAGAGCTAGCCCTGTACGCAGCTCCGAACAATTCTCTGGTCTCTATGAACTTTCGCTCCTCGGTGAGCACATGCCAGCCATCAGGCCAATGTCGCACAATTCCAGAAAGGTTGCACCGTCGGTGTTGGGATTATAGTAGTCAGACGAGAACGAGAGAAAAGCCAAAAAATAACCCCTGGGCGGATCAACCGCTGGACGGTTAACTAAGAAGTGCCACTGCCGCCCCGGATCGACTGGGGCGTGGCAAAGAGCCAGACGTTGGACAAAGTCTGGCCAGGGTACAACATCCAGGACAAAGAAGAATCACTGCGCGCCGTCGATCGGGGACGGTGGATACGTCATGCCTAGGCGACAAAGAAAAAGCGCAAAACAGCGACAGGCCTGAGCGGCCTGTTACTGAATTCGTCCGCAGCTCTCGCTAGTCTCCGACATGAGCCCGTCTGCACTTTAGGACCCAAATTTCTTGGGTCGCTCTCCCTTGCAGCGCGCATATTGATCCGGCTAACTATAACCTCATGGAGGAAAACTCCGTGGAGACGGCAGATGGACATTCGCTTAGCTGCTAGCAAGCAAATGGACGGACGTCTTAGCGAGTGTCCATCAACGAATTAATTAAAGTTGTTACACTCTGGTTGGCTCTATTGATTCAAGGGCCATTGGCAACATTCCATGGACATCCCCCATCTCCGCACATCGCCCAATCCATGGTCGCGGCACGAGCTAGGGCCTAGCTAGCCGACTAATCAGAACCAGGATCACTACTACACACCTGAACTTCACGTAGGGCGGCTCTCGCCGATCCCCTCCCCTCCTCTTTGTGCTCTGCATCCCACACTAACTCGTGCTGGTTGATGGCCTCGCCCCCCGCATCGAGCCAACAACGAAGCGACTGGCAACCATTTCCGGCCCCACCATCCGGAGCCGACGCGGTTCAATCTAATCATCAAACAGCACAGTGACAGAGAACCACCCTCAACCACGCTACTGAGACACATACATACACTCTAAATTGGACCCTTTTGTTTTCCCACGGAGCTCGCCTCGTAATAATGGACCACCCTATCGATTATGCGGTCAAGGTTCTCACCGATTTTTCTTCCGGTGTGCACCTGCAGCTGCGCCGATGGCGTGTCGCGTGGCGGGCATGCTGTTTCAGGATGTTTCTCCAGACCGCAGCTGCAGATGGATTTTCGCCCACAATAATCCAAGAGGATCGCAGTAAGTTGGTGAAGATGAGGGGGTGTATGTACCTATACTTAGGACCTGGCCACCCAGTGACTAGCTCCTAACTAGCTGTGGACAATCCGTCCGTCAGCACCTCAGCTCTCCACAGGAGCAGTACCTTCTCGTAGCCTTCTTCCTCATCTTCTTTTGCTTTCTATGGAGGAATTGAATGCGAAGCACAAAACCCAAAATGATCCACCATGATCAGCCCTTGCCTCCGTCGCTGAACCCTAATAGATTGAACCAAAATGTTAAATAAAAATAATAAAAAATAAAATAAAAAACAAATTCAGCGACTGGACTAAGTCTAGAATGACACCATGCCCACAAGCAAGGTAGGGTTCGGAATCGGAGTCGCCCCCATAACGAGCGCGTCGATCCCCGACGGTGGTTGAAGCATGATGGGGCCGTTATCGCCACGAGCAGTAGCTCTTTCCGTCAAAGCCAGGTAGGTATATGTAATACGCCTATACTACATAGCAGTTTCCAAAACCCCCCAGCACAGGATTCGGTTCGGGGATTAACCGGGCGCAAACAAGCCAACGCACTGTTCCATCCCAGATCCCTCAAATCAAATCCAAGCACAGCACAGCAAATGATAACTAAAGGGCAAGTGACTGTTGATGATTGTGATGTGGCGTGAATTATTCCACCGCCCCAGACGGCGGATCGACGTGAACGGAAGATTGAGCCCGCGAATCGAGGCCCTCGCTGCGCCCGGACGATGACTCCGTATGGGGACGCGTGGGCTTCATTTGAGGGGGATATGCGACACAGGCAGATCGAGGGGCCGGCAGATGTGCATATGCCATCGTAGCAAAAAAAAAATATGTACTGCGTAGATTACACACTGACGCCAAATTAATGATCACCGCTAGATATTACTCCTATCATTCCTTCTTCCCACCCGCTTATCACACCTAGTGAGTAGTGCCCGACTGATGATTCGTTTCTCTGGTCCGACTGTTCGGTCTCAGAACTTTTCCTCCGCCTGGTACCCTAACCTAACTAAAATACATTCAGCCTGAAAATGGGGGGCAATGGATCGCACGATGGCCAATCATAGCCGCTCCAATATACGCGATGTGCAGAGCAGAAAATGCCGCACCTTGCCCTACTGTATACAACCCTATTCGACTGGGTAATGGATAAGTAGAATACAGCCTGAAAGAGAATTAATCGTAAAAAAAAAGAGAGAGTAAAGAAGACCAAGCAAGCGAATGAAGATCAGGCCAAAAAAATATTTTTCGGCTTTTCTCCTTTTGTCGCTCGCGTGTCTACTATTCGTGTAGGGCACAGTACTTATCCACTAAAGTAATGCTGACTGTCCTTTGCCAGAAGAAGTGGTAGCAGTAGCTCCCGTCGTTCTGTAGCAGATACAGGGGCATCGTCATCATCGTCATAGTCCCCATCCCGGCTGTTGAATTAGACAGGGTGTAGCTCGTCCCGCGCAATGACGACACAAGACCACGCAGATCCGGATAATATAGCACAAACTATGATGCGCGGCGCGTATTACAGGGCACCGGTGTGCCAGAATGTTTGCTTCGAACTCGTTGTGGCGCAATGTCTAGAACACGGTATGTGCGGTGAGTTGACTGCGCCGTGTATATCATTTCCGAATCATCCAAGGAAGAAAAGGAGGTACGATTGCTGCATTGTACATCACTTGCTAGGGGTCGGCTATCATCATACACTAATGGACCATGTACGGTCGAGGTGCATAAGCGCCGGCCAGGTGGAGATTGTGTGCTGCGCTGTGTGGTGTGTGTGCTTAACAATCCAGTCAATGGGAGACGCAAGCCATGTGTGCGGCGCAGGGAATGTGTGTTGTTCTCTAAGGACACCCGGGTTTATTCTGCTCAGTAACTAGTGGTAAGGGAATACGCTGGGTAAGAGAGACTCTATATACTCATTTCAAATAGAATGCTATGCTATGGGCGACGTTTATAGTGACGAGGAAGCTCATCAAGAGATAGTTAACGATGGTTAGACCAATATTGGTTCATTCAAAATGGACCTCCGGTAGAACAAGCCCCTTTCATCGTCCAGACTGCGTCTCGACTAGAGAGATCGTTGTCTAGTGAGATCCTCCCTCGGCGAGCACAGCAGAAGGGTTCATCCGGGGCCGGTCAGATTCTATCGCCGTGTGACTCGACGCGCGCGGCCGCGAGGGCAAAGAGAGCTTGTCCTGCTCTGAGGTCGGCTGCGGCGGAGCTTCAATCGCCTTCGGGGCCTCATCTTCTTCATCCTCGTCGTCACTATCACTCGATGACTCTTCAGAGCGATGGCCACGATGACGAGACTCGTCCCTGTGGCGACGCCTGTCCCGTACAGACTCTTGGTGCCGAGCGTCTGAACAAACAGTGGTTAGTGACCTTCTTCTATGCTGAAAGATAATCTTAAAAACAAAAGCTCACCTCGAATCTCCTTCGTCTTGATAGCATACGCTTGAATCTCATCCTTGCTCAACACTCGTAGGACAATAACATAGTCCGACCGCTCCTCGAACCGCTCATGGCCTATTTCCAGCGCAGCAGGATTGACAAGCCTCCGATCAATCTTCGTCCATCGCGCACCCGGCGGAATCCCCTGGTCATGGGCATCCTTGAGCGGCGCGACACCTTCGCGCACGGGATTGCGCTCTTCAGGGAAGCTGGGCCGGGGAGCTTTCAGGATACCTTTCCGGGCAGCCTCGGGCTCTTTGAAACTGGGTGGCTCAACTTCGATCGGTCTTCTCGGCTTGTCGTCACCGGGCGGCGAGTGTCGAGAGTCATGGGAGTGTCCGTCATCCGACGGTCTTCCAGACCCAGAGGGCCGGCGCCGGTGCGACGAGCGATCCCGGGTACGTCTGGCCGATCGATCAGCTTCGCTGGAACTGTCTGTGCTGCTGTGTCTGCGACGCTCTAATGCAGATGGTTCGCGCCTGTAGTTGCGGAGATCCTCGTCGGATGTGTATGTCTCCGATTCACTCTCGGCGGGCTTTCGAGAGCGTCTGCTTCGTCGACTGCGATCATGGCCGGAGCCGGGCTCTAGGTATAACTGCTTGTTTCTTTCAGGGCTGTCTGGCTCCCGGGATGGGGTTTTAACCCGACCGTAGCCGCGGTCATAGTCGCGAGGGTTTCCACGGCTGCGTCTGGAGGAATGGTGGTCGTAATCCTCCATGTCTGAATAGGCACCACCGGCCAATGCCACTGTGCCTAGCCCTGGGGCCACCCGATCCAGATCTGTATGCCTCCTAGAAGGGCGACCATCCGCATATTGGTCATATTCCCCTTTGTAATGAGACCTGGGAGGGTGGCGCCGGGAAAGGTGACGACTGTATTTTTCTGGATGTGAAGAGTAGCCATCATCGGAGTCATGGTGGACCGGAACGAGAGCATGTTCGTACGGCGCTCGCTTCGATCTGGAAGTAGTAAGACCATCGTCCGCGCCATGGGCCGGGTTTCGTGAACGTCCTTCGTGCTCAGCGTCGAGCTTGTCAAAGCCACGATAGCTTGGCGGCGGCCCGTGAGACCGTGGCTCCTTGCTACGGACCAGCCACGGTGGAGGATCATCCATCTCCGTCATGCTGAGCGGTCGTTCCTTGTGCCGTGGCGCTCGATGGACCGTCCGGACCGGATAGTCCACATCAAACTGTTCTCTAGGGGTGGTATAGGAGTATGCATCGTAGTCGTCAAGATCTTCACCCTTTCTCATACCATCATAAGCGGGATGGGGGCGGTGGCTCCGTTGATGAACGCGGTAGCCACGGTGACCTGTTCGTCGGTCCGCGTCGTGGGGGTGTAGCCGGCCCGTATCACTCGCATAGTCGGTGCTATAAACTCGATGATGACGCCCTCCATCTCGAGGGGAGGCGGGAACCAGATATTGTCCAGAATCCCGGGGCGATGGGCTGGGCGAATGATGACGACCAGAAGTGGGCACCGGCGACGGCCAGCGATGGGATGAAGAAGGAGGCACCGCAAGTCTCACAGGTGTGTCATACTGGTCTGGTGCCCCCAGTGTATTGCTCCTAGGTTTCGGTCGAACGTTGTACTCGGTTCGCCTTTTGGTCGACTGGCCCGGATCTCGGTAGGTTTGCGAAGAGACGTGCTGGGCTTCGAGTCGGCGGCTGGGGAGACGAGTGGATGAACTCCGGTGCGGCACATCCGATGGATAACCGTCATAACCATCGCGGGTCCTCGGGGTCTCGTGCGGATCGTAGGAGGAGCCCAGCTGCACCATGCCCGTGGAAGCCCGCATCGGGTCGTCGAAGTACTGGTGCCGCCCCGGTGACAGACTCCGGTAGTATCCCGAGCCCATTGCTGCCTCTGGTGGTGGTGTGTGGGGGATTCGAGGAGTCGATGTCAGCAACGCTGAGAGGGTGGTAAACGGAGGGCCAGGAGAAGCGGGCTGCGGGGAGATTCTGGTTTGAATAAGACTTCGGAACCGCCGAGCGGGCAGGGGGAAGAGCAAAGAGGGGCAACCGTCAAGTTCCCCGACAGTTGGAGTCGCAGGTGATGGCGTCGATGCCCAATCTCCGGGGAAAAGATGGATAGATGGATGGTGAAGTGCGGGACAGAGTGCAAGCGAGAGAAAACACGGTACTTAATAATAAAGGGCGACCGAGCGGGTTATTGGCATGACGCAGAGTGGGTTGATCACAACGGTCCACTTGATAACTTCCGAGTCCAGAGATGAAAAGAGCAAAGAGTAAACAAAGAGGACCATGGAACCACCACCCTTAGATCGTCACCGACTCCATGCCTCCCGATTGCGCGCCTCTGCCATATAATGCCGGCGGCTCGTGGCGGTCAGCGCCAGTCATTCATTAGCATATTATCTTGGCCTAGCTCCACTTGCTTCCTTTAGTTAATCGCGCCCGACACCCGGGCGAAGTCAAGTGAGGCGATCCCTGTGGGAGAATAATCGTGGGCGATGATCTCATCCCCCCGCGGGAGAGCGAAAGCTGGTTTTTGGGGCATCTCGATGTGAAGGGACTAGCTCACGAACGATTATTCTGGCCAGCGAAGGCGACCGATTTATAGTCTTTTTTTCTGCTGGTCGGTGAACTAGCCCACGCAACGTGGACGTATCCACTACATCGCCTAAATATGTGTGATTGGCGGGCTGGAGCATCGCCTCCAATGTGCCCTGACCAGTGCAGTAGTTGGCAGTAGTTGCAACGCTAACTCAGTTATGTGGAAGAGCCATTTACCAGTAGCCCTTCGGGACCTAAGTGGCTCTGGGCTTCTTCCGAGAGGAGGTTATTCCTTGATAACTCCTAGGCGGATTCCATTTCCGCCAGTAGGGAGAGTATACTATCACTTCGATCAACTCTCTAACCAGAAAGAACAACGCTCACTTTGGTATTATTATTTGCAGCGATACCCCGAACTATACACCCGCCCTGCCATATCCTTCTCCCTCTCCTTCGACTGCGCCAGAAGACACCAGAAGGAGGCAGGGCGAGTCCCGGCCTCCTCCGTACAATCGTGAGGCGTAGTCTATACCCGAAAACCAGATTGCGACCATGGAGATTTAAGCTTCCCTATCCAACCCTCAACGAGTGGCTTGGAGCATTCCTCGACCACGCGCCTCCCCACATAGCCTCCGCATGCCGCTCCCTTCGGCCCCTAGCGGGTATATGCATGGGACAGCAAGGGATCACGGGAGGCTTAAGCCCTACGTGCCGCTTTCTAGAAAATCTCCGATATTCAACGCGATTGATTCTGGTTTGATTGGCTGCGAAGTAATGGTTGTCCCTTAACCGGATTGTGGTAGTTTTCTGTTTCGATGCGGCACGTCACGTTTTCCGTCCAGGTTTCCCTTCTTTTCCCGTCCCTTCCCTCCTCCCTACCAGGGTGCGGCTGCGGGCAATGCCGATGCATACCCAGGGCCGGCGTCGCTTCACTGATGCGGTTTCCCTGGTTTCTTGCTTTTACCCAGTGCTGGCTTCGCTTGGGTCTTGTGGCGGGACATATAGGATGTAGATGATGGAAAATGGGTATAAAAGAATATATATAACCTCTTCTGCGATACTTCTATATTTTATGCCTGAGCTCTTTTTGAGTGGATTGGATTCAAATACTGTTCAGTATAACTTTCGAGTCTATTTACCGTCACTTCCTTCATCACCGAATATATATTCCTCACACAGTCGATACACACTACATCGCATCTCCACAACATGTCTTGTAATAATCTCGCTATTGGTGCTGAATCAGTCATAAAACAACACAATAGCTCTCCGTTCTCATATACGCATACCCAATCCTCCTCAAGCTTTCGCACTCAATATACACATACTCATGGTCATTCCCGATCTACCTTGCCGACCTTTCCCAAGACCACTACGACACCATTCCGCCAAAGAGCAGACTGGTGGAAATGCTGCGGATGCACCCAACTGGTTAATCCGGCTCTCGCACCAGACCGATGTCCCATCTGCTCGCACTTTAAATGCGCGCAGTGCTCGACGGAAAATGTTCGGTGAAATGGTGGCCGGCCGACGGCTCTGAGAGAAGGTATTAGGTGACGAGAATTTTAACCCTAATAGTTCTTGCCTGATATATAGTGTTTATTCTGTTTTCTTTTTCATTTGTTTGGAATGTACGGTATCTGATCTCGGGCTTCCTCTTTCTTGCCTGGTATAACGCACTGTACACTTTGTGATGGCTATGTATAATAGAAATGTCGACGTGAAACCATTGGACAGACCCAGTCGCCCTAATGAGATACCTAGATCCAATCAAACAAATAACGCAAGTTAATTTACCCCGGTATGGAAACCTTAGTGGAGCAATTCAGCCCTACCCACGAGCCACAGCTGATTGGCATTTGGGATTGGGATTAGATGAGGCTGCGACACTGTCCAAGGATCGGTGGCGCAGCACACCGCACCGCACCGCGCCGCCAGGGATGCCACAGCAGGAGAGACAATCTAGACATGAATCATGAATCAATGGTTAATGCATAGAATTAGTATTACATCTGATGCTAATTAATAATAATGCTTTCTGTACCCATCCAACAATAAAACCAAAACCAACTCAAACCAGAATGCAACCAGGGGATATCGTCACATAATGCATCATCGTCTATGTTTTCTCGCCTCGCGCCCCCTGCGGCCGTGGCTATGCTTCGACTGGGAAGACGAAGACAGAGCCCCGTCTTCACCGGGCGGTGGCGGTGCCGCTGCGAGCCCAGCCTCCTGTTTCAAGCGCGTCACCACAGGCCCCAAGGCAAAGGCGCTTTCCAAGCTGCTGTGGTCGGTGAAGGGGCTTGGTTTCAGCGGGAGCAGCCACTCTGCCACGCTGTTGCCCATGACTTGGCGCAGGTTCTTCCACGTGCTGCCCAGGTCGAAGGGGTTTTCGCCGGGAAGGGTATGGAGGATGGCGAAGACGTGGCGTTCTGGTGTTGGCTCTTCTGGGGGTTGGGCGTAGGTTTGTGTTTGGGATGATGGGGGTGAAGATGGAGACGAAGGGGGCTGTGGGGGGTAGGAGACCATGCGGAATGGGGGTGCCCAGGGGGACTCGGAGACCCATAGTCGTTCGAGGAGATGTTCTGGGACGCGGATGGCAAGCGTCCAAATGGCAGATCGGTGGTTGAGATTCTCAATCGTGGTGAGATTCATCGATGCAAGCTGCAGGGAACTGAGCGTCATGCCGCAGGTGAACAGTCCAAAGAGTCCGCCCCTAGACACAGATGAGATACAAGATCGGTGAGTGTGGACGAAATATTACTTACAGTCCAATGCAGACACACCAATGTGGGTTGACGCTTCCAGTCTGCGAGGGATGGCGTTAGCACCAAATATGGACAAGGAACCGGTTTGCACTTACATCGCGTCGCAGCTCGGCTGTATAGTAGACAGGCACGATAAAAGCAAGAATGCAGAAGAATGAGGCATACACGACAAACTGGATGAAGAACTTGAGCGATGTCTCTGACACCACGCCGCCAACCCTAGAGAACGGTTAATTAACCAGGTTCGCATGCAATACGATACAAAGCATACCAAGGACAAAAATGGTCCATCTTGCGAACGCAGCGATCAACTTCTCGACAGTGGTGCGCACGATCTGTCTTGAACTGGCAGCACGAGGAGCAATACGGTGGTCGACCGTCTTCCTGACAGACGAAGATGTCTTTGGTATAAAAGCTTTCCAGCCCATCCGGGTCCAATGGAAAAGCCTTCCCGCCAGCATTCTGATCTAATCCGTGCTCCGGGTCTGATTGCCGTCTCGCCTCCTTTTCCGCATCACCGGCTTTCTTCATGCTGCGCTTTCTTCGATGCCGTTTTGATGAGGGCTTGGAGGCCTCCTCCTGCACGCGCTCCGCGCCGAGCGGGAGATACCCCGGCTTCCAGACCACATGATACAGAAGCCGTGCATAGGTGACGAGGACGGGTATTAAGAGGAGGTAGTAGAGCACGAGGATTGCTGCGCCGGCGCCGACTCGGGGAGTTCGGTTATAGGAGGGTTTGGGATGGATAAGGTAGTCAACTGGAGCGTCACGTTAGTGGTGCGATCTGCCTTGACGGTGGGGGTGAGGCGCGCAACTCACTGCACAGGGGTTTTGTAATCGCATAGCTTGCGTACACGAACAGGCCCAGCAGCACCGGTGGAATGACTCTCGAAACGGCGAGATTGACGCGCTTTTGCGCGGCAGTCGCCATCGGTGGAAGGGGGAGCGGTAGACTCACCCGGCCTGCGCTCTTGACTGCATAAATGAGGGGGATGGCAGATACGGCCGAGGAAGAATAATAGGGAGTCCAACCGAAGATTCGTGATGTTCAGTCAATCATCCAGGCGGAGTAGACGAGGTGACGATGTTGACCATGATCAGCGCAAACAGGGCAAACACCTGACGTAATCGTCCAGGCCCGTTTCCAAGGGACCGAGCACAGGAACCATCTCCAGGGTGTCTCGGGGGGAACTTAAGTGGGTTATTTAGTACCTTCGAAATATCAGGAAAGATTATGGATGGTGCGTGATGGTAGGTGATCTCCGACCATAAGAACCCTATCGATGGATCTGCTCCGGGAGACGATCACTCGGATCACCCATCAAGCACCTCGAATATGACTTATTGGCGTAGTTCGATTCTCCAGTTCCAACACGGGCGATGATAGAACGGGGGGTGCCAGTCGAGTCCAACCCTAGCATCGCCATCATTGGCCGGATCGTACAGAATATGAAGCATCCCGAATGTCCTGACTTAGGCAGCAGTTGGCTCAGAATGCAGGATGACTCAATCCGGGGGATGGATGGAACCCTTCAAGGCTCCCGCAAGGCTCCAACGGCGCCAAATCGACTCCGTGACCGTCATTTGATGCGCCGACCCCAGCCCTAACCTAGTTTCCAGGGCCCCGACAGACGGTGAACGGGGTTTTGCCCTGGCGCAGCTAGTCGCTCGTTAGCTCCACTACTGCGCCGACTCCCTGAGTCAACTTCGACATCATCGACTATGATCCACCCGTTCCGCTGGCGCGGACCGCTAGGCCAATCTCAGGCTCGCAATAGTAATAATCTATGGCCCTGAGCCCTCCCCGGCCAGGTCGCCCAGGCTCCAAAGCCCGCGCCGCTGGGTGTTCCGGAGAATGATGTGCAATTAGAGCTCGCCCCATTCCTGGACTGCGAGAGACCCGGGTGACAGTCCAGCCAGCCCATTCCCAATGTGGGTGCGCAGAACAGCCCCGGGGCTGCTACCTAGTTCCTTAGCCACGCTTGCCTGCCTTGCGCTGCCAATGAATCCATTCTTTGAAAGTTATATAACTCGGTTCTTGCTTCCGGTCCTCGATTCATATTTTTCATCATCATCTTCATCTTCTCCAACATCTTACCTGATTGTGGCCATAAAGTTCACTTCCTCTCCAATACTGTCCGTTCAGTCTGAATCTCGCTGCTCTATCTATCCCATTACCAACATGTCGACAGTATGGTACTGCTGCGGCTGCAGCTTCGGTCCTCACAACGGAGACCTCCACGACGCCTGCATCTCGTGCGGCAGAACAAAGTGCTCACTCTGTGACGAAGAGAAACTCTCTCGACGCATGATGGCCTCCTCCTCTCATAGTCTCCAGCATCTCCCTTCTCCGTACGCTGTCGCTGCTTCCTCCCTCGACGGATCCCAGACTTTCTGCTACAAGTCAAAATCCACGCCCTCGTACACAGAGCTATTAGAGGATGAGCCTCGGTTACGGCCACTAGAACGGGGTGCCCTCATCCATCATTCCGCCTCTTCTTCGTCAACTGCTATCCCCGCCGATGGCGTGCAGTCCTGCTCCGACACGTACATGTACATCTGCTGCCAATGTGACGACGGACCCAAAGTCTACAACCACCAGCCCCAGTGCGTGGTCTGTGATCACAATGCGTGCAGCGCGTGCTACTATGTCAAGTGAGGATGCTCCACAGTGTATCTCTGCGAGCTCCCTCAGAAATGGTGAGAGAAACCAACGCTCAGATCGGCATCTAACAGGTCAACTAACAATGGCGCAGCAATTCCGAGACCTCGGATTATGTTACAATGATTGTTTTGTTTTGAGTTTACGCGCCATTTACGACCAGCGGGTATTGGTTTGGGGTAATTTAGCATCGTCAGGCGTCATGTGGTTGATTTGGATTGTTTCTGCGTGATTTTGTGCTCGAGTTGGTAGACCGGAATACTAGAGTGATGTTCGTTCGTTCTATACTTCGGCTTCTCGTTTGGGTTTAGCATCGGTGAGGTAAGCAGGCAAGGCAGGGCTGTATCCTGGTCTGCCTTGGCTTGGCTACACTGTTTCCGATGACTATGACTCTTTTCGTTGCAAAAAGATAATAATCGGATGACTCTTTCTTTCATGACTATTGGAAATACCTCCGACATCATAGGTCAACTCAACGACTTTGTAGTTAGTTAGTTGCCGAAAACTGCGCCCTCTCGGCCTGACCAGGCACGATGTCGCTGGCAACAACGGCACCCACCAAACACCCTGGTAAAACCTGAGGGTACGACTTCCCCCGGTCCAATGATCGGTGCACCGTGCATCCCATCGGTGTGTTCTAGCGCGGGCGTTCGACACTATCACTTGCGCCCCGGTGGAGACCACAAGCCTGTTGCTCCCTCGACCGACTCCAGCGACCGCCCTTTGGCGCTCCCTGCACACCATCCAGCCCTATCATCCGCCTAAATGTAGCGGTCTTGTCTACTTACCCGAGCCCCCGCCACATCCACTTTGCCCTTTCTCTCCGCCCCTTGACCTGCCCTTTAACCTTTGACACCAACTTAGCCTAAGGCGCGTGGCTGTGTGTGAGTGTCTGTTGGTTCTGGGTTCTCCATCGGACCGTGTTCCCCGTATACTACTAGTCAAACGACAGACTACGTCACTCCGTGTGCCGCCATACCCTGTGCCCTGCCGATTTCTGTCTAGTCCGCGGAGCTGTGGTTACGGTTGCCTCTTCACCCACGCCGCGCCGTGACGTGCCGCGCCGTTGACCCGATCATCATCCACTCTTGCGGCGCAATCCTTGGTAGTTAGGTGTCGGGCGCAGGCACGAGACCTGACTGTCCCTGCGCCACATGCAACGCTGGAGATGTACACGAGCTGCCCCCGACCAACAGACGAAGTGAGGCTGGGCGATTACCCGCGCCGCAAACAAATAAGCCGGGTTGTGCTCCGGTGCAATAGAGGGCGAAAGTTGCGATTCGGTGGAGCGCTTGTGTCGGATCCACGCTGAGATCAGTTCGTTTCTGTTCGAGTATGAACTAACTAACGACGGACTTGGATCCGAGTTGTATATAATTGTGACTAAATAACGGCAATCAAACACTCCACTAACTATTAAAACCATAAATCACCAACAGCCACAGTCCCTAGTAGAACTATTATCCGGCCAAGACCATGAAAACGAAACGGTCTCGGTTGAACATCCCCAGTTCTTGGCCCCCGACCGACCGAAGGAATGTTCCTCCTTCCTATACTTAGAAATTTCTCCATATCCTTGTTCCTTGCTTCGACCTCCCTCTCTCTTTTTCAGAATGCTCGTTTTCTATTTCTGTCTCTTTGTCGTGCCTTTAGAATAGAACAACAGATGAAGATCCCGTGCGGGGCCTTCTTCTCGGGGGCCGGCGGCTGGGGTTTTCGATATGTTTGTTGGATAATTGCAGATCCCGGGTGGCCTATTGGCCATGTTCCTACATTGTCGAGTCAGGGTCGAGGTCATTGTTCTCAATCAAGACAGCCGAAGATATTCTTATCAGCCAAGACTGCATACAATCCGGTCAGAAAAGGTGTGGGCCGATATATAAATATCCAGCATCCAGCTGTCGGGTAGACTTCCCTGTTCATCACCAGGACCGAAAACTAGTACGTAGTAGCCGATGGATAAAAAAAGCATTTGTGGTAAAAATAAACATGATATTCACACTATAGAAAAGTGTTGCGTTGCCGACCAACGCGACTTAGTCATACAATCCCCCACGTAAAGTGCAGATTAGCTGGCTGGGATAATGGTCCGTGTCGAACCCTTCTTTCGAGCCAAATTCTGTTACGAACGGCAGCAGGAAATGGTGCAGCAGCGCCAACGCCAATTCTCCATGATAGAAAAAGTGACACAAACCACCCTAAAGTAGATTGCTTGCTCGACAAGACCTTATCGAGGATAGAAATATCCGAGTTTTGTGTCGAAAGAAAGAGAAAAAGGGAAAAAACGCCATGCGGGCTAATGATGCTGGAAAGACAATGGGCAAAAGGTGTTTTCACGACCATCCAGCCAAGAGGAATGTCGCGGGAGGAAATAGTAAAAAAATCCTGAGGGACGAGGAGGCGGAGGGATAAATGAAACCAAAACAAAGATGGTCTTGATCCCGCTTGATCATTCAGTGCCAGGATTGTCATTGGGAGAGGTCCCCGCATGACACAGTTTCCGAAGGCGACTTGGAGTGGCAGCTCACCTGGATGACTTGCAGCAAGTTGAAAGATTGGGTGGCCAAGCAATGTTACATGGGCAAGACGCGCGACGGGTCTTGGAGAAAGCGTCTACGATATGCGGCTATTTCGGCGGCCACGGTGGTGAAATCTTTCACCTTATCACGTCGCATCTCGTTGATGATTTCCTTCAGACCGGCGAGGTAGGTCTCTTTTTCTTCCTCGGTGTTGCCCTCCCGAGCCGCTCCCATTTGGATCAGGATCTTGTCATCTATTGGGGTTAATGGCACTGTGGTCAGCATGCAAACGATGAAAATTGGCCAGAAAGTGCACGAAGAGAGAGAAAAGCTCAAAAGGGGCAGCGAGACAGTAGTCCATTGAACAAAAGAGGCAAAATAGTAAGAGATGTAGCACGGTTTTTCAACTTGTCGACGCACCGCTGAGAGTCATATCCCGGAAATGTTGGAATTCACAGGACCGGTCATTGCAGACACCACCGGAAGCTTCGTATGGACAGAGGTACTTCATAGGATCAATGTCATGGCTGTAAGTTAGCGAACGGTAGCCGTTCGAAACGTCCTCTGCATAATTGGGGTGATAGCGATACGCCTTGAAATTTCGCAGCGGGCTGATGTAGGGAGAAAACCTCTGCTTGGAGTCGGCAGCAGATTCTTCGTTCTGCAGGATGGTTGTTAGTGAATCTTCGCTAGACTCACGGTATTTTCATACTTCAAGAGTGTTAACCTGTGAGCCCGACGCTTGCTTCGAAACTGACACCGGAGGGGCATCGGTCACTGCTTCATCAGCTGGAGACATGTCAATCGAAGACGTTGACCCTGCCGTGCTTTTGACAGACTCGGGAGGGGCAGGGCTGAAAGGAGGACTGTAGGTTTGGCCAGGGGCTTCCTTGACATCGGGTTCTGGTGGCTCATAGCCCTCTGATGCCTCCGATGATTCAAGAGAGTCGCACCGCACACTCTGGTGGGTGTCGGATGCCGCAGAATGTTCTGTGGCAAGGTCGACAGCCGGGGCGGGCGGCTGCTCAGGGAGAACATGGTGCAGAGTATTCGCTTCCACAATCTCCACACCTTCTGGAGTTGCACCTTCAGTGATTGGCGCATCAGCATCAGAGGAAGATTCTTCGTCGGCAGACTCGTCCATGGAAGATCCAGTAGAGTCGGCTACGGAAGAAGACGATTCGGCGACGGAATCCACAGCATAATCCGCTGCAGGCCGGTCGACAAGGACATCTTCTGGAGAAGTTGGAGTGCCGGCAGTGTCATCTTGTTCAAGGGCATGGGCATCCGGAATAATGGTGTCTTGAAAGTGCGAGGTTTGGATTGCTGAAGAGGCCAGCAAGTCGTTAGTAAATGGGGAAACCCCAGGTTAATGGGACTGACGACTGACCTTCCTTTGCCACAATTTCTTGTTCCTTGACTTCAGCTTGTCGGCGAAGTTGCTCCAGATCCGCTAATGACAAGCGAGTGATCTCATCACCAAGATGTTTCAATTCTTTAACTAATAGAAACCGCCCTTCTTTTCCCTTCGTAATTTCAGAGAGAAGTCGATCGGCCTCCTGCCTGCAATGAGACAGGTTGGATTCGGATGACAATATCTCAGCATCTAAATCAGGAAGCCCAGACTCGATTGCTTGCATTCGCAGAATTTTGGACCGCAAGCTGTCGAGCTGTTCGGTTTCCATAGACGCTAGCACCTTGACAGACGAATCACTGAAGGAATCGATTAGGTTCGGACGAGCCGTACTTATGGTGGCAACATCTGCAGCCGGTGTTGTCTTAGGAAGGGGAGCGGTAGAGGTATCGGTGGCTTCGGCTTCGGCGCCGCTCGATTGTCCAGCTGATGATGATGCACCCGAGTCAAAAGACTGAGGTAAGCCAGCTGGGCCAGGAACCAGTCTTGCCTTTTTCCGTTGCTCAAGCTCAGCTATCCGCTTGTGCATAGCTTGAATCTCTAGATCCTTCTTTCGAATGCTCTCCTGGTCAGAGGGCCGAGAGGAATCTTGCGGGGTTGACGTGGAGGTTCTCGTGGGTAAGGAGGCGATGTTCCGTAATGAGGCCAGTAGAGCCTCCGCAGTTGGCATGGGTTCCGAGTCTTGCTCTTGGCTCGAGTCCACATCCATGAGACCTCCCTCATCATCACCATAGAGAGATTCATCGTCACTGATGTCGATGACCAGCCTCTCAGCAGCACCAGCATGCCCCTTGCTTTGGTTCAGATGTTTCTTGGGAGCCGTGACGGGCTCATCAAAATCAGACGCTCGAGGCCGTTTTCGCTGCGTTGCTCGGGCGAGGGGCGTTGAATCAACGGCAACAGTTTGACCTCGAGCTTCGCGATCTGTGTCTTGCGTTGACTCGGCCATGAACAAACCAGGAATTCCAGCAGGGTTGGCTTTGGTTGGTAGAGGAGGTCGAACAGGAAGCGGGTGTTGAATGGTGGATGGGGAAGCACCAGAGGATACGGAGACTTGACTAGCCTCGGTACTTTTCCCAGTATCGGTTTCTGGCCCGCCACTTTGCTGCACCTTTTGTTGACTCTTGAGCAACATCTGTCGTTTCAGCTCCTCTATTCGTTGCCGTGCCAGTTCCGTCTGAGCTTTGTTCTTCACCCTGGAGGGTTCCACTTTGCTTTTGGGACGAGTTTCGCTGGAAGACCCAGTTGCTTCCTTCGGCAAATCTGTCTTGGAGGCACTCGAGTTGGCAGCTTTGGCGGCCTTTTCTGCAAGCATTCGGGCGATGACATGTTTTCTCTCCATGGACGTTTGCCCGTCCGGGCCCTTCGTGGAAGAGCTGGAGGGAGTTGGCACCGCAGGGATTGGTTTGGGTGCAGGGTCTTTCACCTTTGCCGTTCCTGGTCTTGTTGGCAGGGTGTTGGACTGTGGGCCCAGCTGCGTGGTCTTCAGTTTGGTTTGGTCAGACGGGGGTGGCACAACTTTTATTCCGACTTCTTCATAGAGTTGCCTGAGGAGCTTGGGATTAATGCCTTCAGCAACCAACTCATTGTAGCGAATGTTGTGAGGAGCCAAGCTCAGCAATGCGCCCTGCGCCTGCACCCGAAGCTGTGCCACAGATTTGGAGAGTGAAGCGGCAGAAGCGGGTCTTGTATTCGGTGTGTCCAGACTTGGCGTTTCTATCACAGGAACTAGATTTGGATCAGCGGAAACGGACAGGGGTGGATTGTATGCTGCCTGATGTTAGCACGAGAACAAGCACAAAGGTATTCGGGTGGACAGTACGTGATCCACTGCTCCTGCTGGAGTCAGATGAGAATGCCTCGCCTTCCTCGCGGTCTGGAACCCGACGTTCCGCTGATAGCTGTCCCCACCTGGTTCGTTCCCCCGACGGCACGGGGTGGTACGACCCGGATGGTCTTTCGTGTTCCCTCTCACTGACCTCACCCTCCTCACGGTTCGAGTCAAGATGAGTTGATGTCGCTCTCGCGCCACCAGGCAACCCTGCTGATTGAGAGGAAGCATTCTCTGTTGATTGACTTGGAAGAGCGTATTGAGGAGTTGAGGATCCTGTTGGCACCGGGAACGGAGAGAAACCGGCTGGCGGTATCGGCAGAGGGGGAAACGGAGGTACTTGGGACGCGTCGAAGGGAGGCATGAAGGGGAAAGGCGGGAGGAACTGCCCTGAAGCTCCATGAGGGGCAATCCGCGCGTTCGCGTTCACGTTGTGGAGATTGTAGTCGAGTGGGTACCCATTATGGGGAACAGGTGGCTGAGATGATGGAGTATATTCTGAGTTGAGGGTCAAGTCTGGTGGGACCATGACAGGATATGAAGAAGCCCACTCCGGCGCATAGTTGGCGGTGCCATTATACGAAGGGGGTGGTTGGTTGGACATGATGGGTGCGCTGGTCTAGACGAGAGGGAAAAAGATCTCATGCGTATAGATCACAGCACATAGGAAACGAGAGCAAGGCGTCGTAGTCATCTCAAGCGTCCCGCATCATGAGGCCCGCGCGTGGAATAATGACAAGAGCCTGTAGCGGTTGAGTCTGGTATCGCTCCCTACGGTCTCACTTCATGCTTGATGAGGGTATCTCTGTGGACGACCATGGAACACAGTAGGGAGAGAAGGAGACAACGGCAAGCGCGGGGGGAGAGAGTGTGGTGTGAGTGGGTGATTGATTGGTGAACGACAAGACGAATCTCAGCGGGTAAAAAAGAGACAAGCGCCGGGCACGTGATATGACGAGGGGCGCACGGGCCATTGGCGATCGGCGGGAGCCCGAGGAACGCAGAGTAAACAAACACGCACTCACCCTCACCCACTGCAACAGACTGATTATTACGTTGGTCTGGGATACTGCTTGGGATTCTTGATTCACCCCCATTTATTTAACCCTGTTTGCAATCACTCCTGACTTCTCTTTCTCCCCCTCCTCTCCCCTCTCCATCTGGATCTCGGAACAATTTGGGCGATGCGACTGACTGGCATGGCCTAAGGATGTCCCATTGATCTGTCCTCGCCATGCTTCCCTCTCAACTAAATGGCAGCCCCAAGCGTGCCAATCCATTTGCTCGGTCTTCCCCCTCGCCTGCGACTCAGCCAAAACCTACGCGACCCCAGTCTGCCATCATCACGCCGTCGGGTGGACACGAGTCAACAAAAGGACATTTGCGCAATGCATCGGTCTCACATACATCTCCGACGCGATCGTCGGGTCTAGGAAGCCGGGAAAGGTCTAATTCAGCAAAGCTCAATGCCGCATCGGGGACTTTCGCCCCAACTTTTATTAAATCTGAAGAGCTGCGACGAGGAGCGGACCAAATTCGAGGACTTGAGGGCGACAATGACTTTTCCGGCAGCAAATACGTATGGCTCCGGGATCCCGAAAAGGCGTTCGTGCGGGGACTGGTACTAGAAGAAATGGAAGGCGGGCGACTGTTGGTGCAGAGCGATGACGGCCAGGTATGTGACCGAGCTGTCCCCCAGCGTGTTTCCCCACCTGGCGGCTGACACCCCTAGCAGCAACGAGAAGTCGATGCGGACCAAACCGACAAGGTCAATCCCGCCAAATTTGACAAGGCAGATGATATGGCCGAACTCACGCATCTGAACGAGGCCTCTGTGGTCCATAACCTGCATACCAGATACCAGTCGGATTTGATCTACGTGCGTGCATTCTCCATACGGCTATTAGACTAATGTACTGACTTTGTTGGCCGACAGACATATTCGGGCCTGTTCTTGGTGACGATAAATCCATACTGTCCCCTGCCAATCTACACCAATGAGTACGTGAAGATGTACAAAGGCCGTGGCAGAGAAGAGACCAGACCACACATTTTTGCCATGGCAGATGAAGCGTTTCGAAATTTGGTCGAAGAAGGCGAGAACCAAAGCATTCTCGTGACGTGAGTACTGCCACCCACCAACGGATGGTCCGTGGGAACTGATCTCATCTGGGGATGTAGTGGTGAATCCGGAGCCGGTAAAACCGAGAATACGAAAAAGGTCATTCAGTATCTGGCGGCGGTCGCGACTTCAGATACTCCGTATGGCCGGTCAGGGACGAAACAGTTCTCTTCCCTCTCACAACAGATTCTGCGCGCCAACCCCATCCTTGAGGCCTTCGGAAACGCTCAGACCGTCAGGAACCACAACTCGTCTCGCTTCGGTAAATTTATCCGGATTGAGTTCTCCCGATCAGGTCAGATTTCTGGTGCATGGATTGATTGGTATCTTCTCGAGAAATCGCGCGTGGTGAAGCCGAACCCGAACGAGAGAAACTATCACGTTTTCTATCAGCTTCTGCAAGGTGCAGACCGCAAAACGCGCGATGACCTTCTCCTGTCGGACCTTCAAATCGAGGACTTTGCCTACACGAGAGAAGGCAACGACTCGATTGTTGGCGTTTCTGACCGGGATGAATGGAACTCATTGATCGAAGCCTTCCATGTCATGAACTTTTCCGACAATGACCAGCTATGCATTCTCCGCACAATTGCTGCCGTTCTCCATTTAGGGAACGTGTCTATTGGGAAGGAGAGCGTACGCGCAGACCAAGCTGCACTTGGGCCTGATGGATACTCCAGCGTGGAAAAGGCCTGCCAGCTACTGGGCATATCTTCCGAAGATTTTGTGAAAGGCTTACTTCACCCTAAAGTCAAAGCGGGTCGAGAATGGGTGGAGAAGGTTCAGACACCCGAGCAATGCCGCCTGGCTCTCGATGCGTTGTCCAAGGGAATCTACGAGCGTGGTTTTGGAAATTTGGTCTCTCGAATCAACAATCAGCTTGGCCGTGCCATGGCAGCCGACGAGAACTATTTCATTGGTGTTCTGGATATTGCCGGCTTTGAGATTTTCGACAACAATAGTTTTGAACAGCTGTGCATCAACTACACGAACGAGAAGTTACAGCAATTCTTCAACCACCACATGTTTGTTCTGGAGCAAGAAGAATATGCTCGGGAGCAAATTGAGTGGCAGTTCATCGACTTTGGAAAAGATCTCCAACCCACAATCGACTTGATCGAATTGACCAATCCGATTGGTATATTTTCCTGCCTTGACGAGGACAGCGTGATGCCCAAGGCCACAGACAAGTCATTCACCGAAAAGCTCCACTCTTTGTGGGACCGGAAGTCTCGCAAATATCGCGCCTCTCGTCTCAACCAAGGATTCGTCTTGACCCATTACGCCGCGGAAGTGGAATACAACACGCAGGATTGGCTGGAAAAGAACAAAGATCCCTTGAACGACAACATTACCCGTCTTCTCGCAGCTTCGAAAGAGAGGCATGTCGCCAATCTCTTTTCTGATTGTGCAGAGCCCGATGAAGACGGCGGCGACTACCCCCGTAATCGCGTCAAAAAGGGCCTTTTCCGCACAGTGGCTCAACGACACAAGGAGCAACTGTCCAGTCTCATGTCACAGCTGCATTCAACACATCCCCATTTCGTGCGTTGTATACTGCCAAACCACAAGAAGCGCCCGAAAATGCTACATGCTCCGTTGGTGCTAGATCAACTCCGGTGCAATGGTGTCCTCGAGGGGATCCGGATTGCCCGCACAGGTTTCCCCAACCGTCTGCCATTCGCCGAATTCCGACAACGGTACGAAGTTCTTTGTCAAAACATGCCAAAGGGTTATCTGGAAGGCCAGAGCGCAGCTAAGATTATGCTCGAAAAGCTTGGAATGGACCGAGCCTGGTACCGGGTTGGTCGAACTAAGGTTTTCTTCAGAGCTGGAGTTCTGGCGGACCTGGAGGAGAAACGCGATCAGCTCATCCGGAGTATCATGACCCGCTTCCAGTGCCACGCCAGAGGCTTCGTGCAGCGCCGGATTTCGAACAAGCGGCTGTATCGTGCAGAGGCAACAAGGATTATCCAGCAGAATTTCCATGCCTACCTTGCGCTCAAGGGAAGCCCTTGGTGGCAACTCTTCTCCCGCATGAAGCCACTCCTGGGCGATACACGGACAGCAAAGGAAGTCAAGAGACGGGACGACAAAATCCAAGAGCTGGAGGTGAAGATGAAACAGGATCTCGCTGATCGCCAGAAGCTTGATGAGGAGCGACGCCGAACTGAGTTGGAAATCCACAAGATCCAGCAAACCCTAGAAAGCGAGCGGGCTCTCGCCTTGGACAAGGAGGAAATCTTCAAGCGATTGCAGATTCGGGAAGGCGAACTCACAGAGAAGCTGGCAGGCGCCATTGCAGACCAAGAAAGTCTAGAAGAGCAACTGGACGAACTGGTTGAGGCGAAGAAGAAAACCGAAGAGCAGCTTCAGCTCCGGATCACACAACTTGAGCAAGCCGGGCAGATCATTCAGCAATTGGAGTCCAGCAAAAACGATTTGCAATCCCGGCTGGACGAGCTCGACCAAAAGCTTACAGACACCGAAGGCCAATTCACTGGCAAGAATGGTAAAATCCAGGAACTTGACCGGGAAATCAAAATGCTCCAGAGCCATTTGAATTTGAAGGACCGCAAGCTTCAGGACTTGGAGGCTAGACTGCTCAAAACGGATCAAGACCTCGATGTCAAACTTGCCAATACAACCAAGGATCTTGATAAGTCCAAGAAGCAGATCAAAGAGCTTCTAGATGAGAATCGCTCTGTCCGTCAACAACTTTCCGAACTCTCCTCCACTTCCACCGGCTATGAGGATCTTCTGCGGCGCAAAGAAAGTGACTTGGCAGTTCTTCGTAACGATGTGAAGAAGCATGAGGATGAACGCAAGAGTCTCCACTCTGAAAAGACATCTCTTTCGACGCGTCATGACAATATGCAGAGACGCCTCCGCGAAGTGCAAGCTGAGTCTGATGCCATGCGATCGGAAAAGGCACAGCTTCAGCGCGAGGCTGCAGATGTCAAACGACTATTGGAAGAGAAGCGAACCGAAGATGCCGAGGCCGGCGAGAGCAGAAAGCTGCTGGAACAGCAAGTTAAAGATCTCAAGGACCAGCTCTTCAAAGCACAAGCAGACCTCAGCCGTGAACGCCAGTCAAGGGACGATGTACAGATGCTAGCAGAGCACAATTTGGCTCAATTGACCGACAAGTACAACGATCTTAACGATTCCAAGATCGAAATTGAGAAGGAGATGTACATCCAACAAGATTCCCTCCGCCGCGCAACAGAGGCTCGTGTTCATGCCGAGCAAGCCCGCAAAGACTTGCAAGGGGAGTTGATCAAACTCCGTGATCGATTCACCGATGTTGAGAGCTCCCGGTTGAATGCAGAGGTCGAGATCGAGCGCAAGACCATGAAGCAAGCTGACGAGCGCATTGCTAGCCTACGTCGAGACCTTGAGAGCAAGTCAAACCAACTTGACGAGGTTGAAGAGGAGCGGTCCCAGTTGTCAGTCCAGGTCCAGGAATTGACGCAGCTCATTTCGGAATCAGACAACTTCCGCTTCCGCAATGATCAACACAAGGAACGTCTTGAAAGAGAGCTTGTGACTCTGAAGGGCAGACTGACAGCGTCCGAAAATGATAACCGATCTCTCCTCACCAAGATTCAGCAAAAGAATCTCGATCTTGCTCGGTCCAACTCCAAGGCCAGCGATAACAACAAAATGCGTCTGACAAACCTCCAAAAAGAGAAGGCCAAGCTGGACGAAGAGAACAAGAAGCTCAGCCGGCAGCTTGGAGACTCGCAGCTCTCTATTACGTCTCTTGAGAAACAAAAGGAGAAGTTGTCCTTGACCTTGGAAGATCTCAACCACGAGGTCAACCGCGAGCGCAAGACGAGCCGTAACGCCGAAAAAGCTGCTTCCACTGCCAACATTCAGCTCGCAGAGGCAAACCGCAACCTTGAGAATGAACGGCAGCTGCGTGGCCAGGCTCAGGCAAACACGCGACAACTTCAGGGCACTCTCGACAGGGCAAACAGGGAGATTGAGGACCTGCACCGCCAGCTCATCCTCCTGCATAAGGTTTTCGAACCTGAAGCTACCGAAGAATCCACCAAATCATGGGAAGCCGTCAAGCCACACCTTTCTAAGCAGGTCGACATGGCACAGGTTCTTGAAACAGTGCAGAACAAACTCCAAGTGATGGAAGAGAAGTACTCAAGGGCCGAGAGCCAGCTCTCAGAGATGCGCCGCCGTCACTCTGACGAAATGAATGAGCTCGATGCACGCTATTCGTCGTCGAAGCGTGCTCTCCTTGAAGAGATTGACCAGAACGAAGTTGCCAACAACCGCACCCCAAGCCACTTCCGCAAGAATTCTGAAAATGCCCTGAAGAGGTTCTCTAACCCTAGCACGCCCAACCGACGGTACAATGTCTACGAAGGGGTTAATGACTCTGGCCGGTCAGACCGAACGGTTGACACCGTGGGATACCAGAAGCGGATGGATACGGCAGCCGAGATTGAAGAGCTCCAGAATAAGCTTCAGATGACTGAGATGCAGAACAGGCACCTCCAGAGTCAGCTGGAAAGCTCGACACCGATGAGGGATATCTGGCAGGATGAAAGCCCCTCTATTCGCCGTGTGCATCTTCTGGAGCGAGAAAATGGGCGTCTCCACGACCAACTCGATGACTCTGCCAAGAAGGTGTCGGCCCTGGAGCGTAGCATTCGGTCTGGAGAACTCTCCCTCCGTGATGTTCAGGCCAAGTCCCACGAGGAACTGTACGACTTGATCAACTCTCAGGAGCACTCCCGGCGGTCCCTGCTCAAGGTCCACAACGATACCATGTCCGAGTTTGGCGAGGCGAAGACACACTACGAGAAGCTCAAGCGCGCCAAGGCGGCATTGGAGGTTGAACTGCGCGACGCCCGGTCCGAGGCCCAAGAACTCCAGTCAGCGAGAGAACAAGACTCCATCAGCCGCAATCAGCTTCTTCAGGAATTTTCGGACCTGCAGATTCGTCTGGACGCCGAGACATCCAGGTCGGCAGATCTGGAGTCCAGCATGACCTTGTACAAGAGTCGTGCCGACCAGTACTTCAGCAAACTTGAGCAGGCCGAAGTCGCAGTGCTCAAGGCCTCTCGCGCTGAGCAATTCGCCAAGTCCCAAAGCAAAGAGGCCGAGGAGACTTACGCGCAGGTCATGGCAGAACGCAAAGACATGGATGCTCAGATCGAGTACTTACAACAACAAACGCAGTCCCTGGAGGCCCGGATGGAAGACCAAGCTGCCGAGCTTCAGGGCGCCCTGCAGGCCAAACAACGCCTCCAGAATGAGCTGGAAGATTACCGGAACCAGCGCGCCATTGATATCGAGGATAAGGAGACATCGATGGAACAGACCAGAAAGAAATACCAGCGAGAGTTCTCGACAATCAACCACGAACTCGAAGTGGAGCGCGAGCGCCTGCTCAACGTTCGCGGCGAAAACAGTCGTCTGCGTGAGGAGCTCGAGGACCTTCGAAACAAGTGGGACAACGAAGTGCTCAACAGCTCGACCTGGGCCAAGGAGAAGTCCCGTATGGAGATTGCCTTGCAGGACGTCACCACTTCACATGAGGAGGCGGTCAAGGCCCACAGTGAGGCCCAAAGCAAGGTCGTGTCATTGCTGTCACAAGTGCGAACACTCCGCACCACCGTCGATGATACTACCGCGGAGCGCGACTTGCTTCTCAAAGACAAGAAGATGCTGGAGGGCCGGCTGGCCGAGGCTGGTGAACGTCTTCAGGATCTTGCCAAGGGCGAAAGCCCTTCCATGCGCAATGCTGCCAGCATGGACCGTGAGTTGCTTGAGCTCAAGTCTCGCCTCGCTCAGCAGGAGGATGTTTCTGCTGCTGCCGTTGGCAAGATGCGTCGTGCCGATGCTCTCGCGACCGAGATGCAGAAAGAAGTCACTGCCGAACGAGAGACCAACGCACAGCTCTTCAAGGAGAAGGCTGCTCTAGAGAAGAACCTGAAGGAGGCGCAGCTGCGTTGCGTCGACCTCGAAACCAAGAGCTACTCATCCGGTAGTCAGGATGTTCGCTTCCTACACAAACGGATCAAGGAGGTAAGATCCCATTCCTTTCTACGTTGGGTGATGATGAATGTTAACACGACTTCTACTACAGTTGGAGACCCACCTCGAGGAACAGGAGAACAAGCACAGCTCAGAGCAGCGCTCTCTTCGCAACGTCGATCGCACAGTTAAGGACCTACAGTCGCAGATTGACAGACGCGAGAAGATCAACGCCCAGCTCAACGACGATGTCAACAAGGCTCGAGACAAGATTGAACGGCTCCTTCGGAACATCGAAGAGCTGCAGCACAGCGATTCAGAGACGCAATTGCAGGCCCGCCGTGCTGAGCGAGAGCTGCGCGAAGAGCGTGAAAAGGCACTCCGCTTGGAACGTGAACTGGAGGGATGGAAAGCACTGCGTGTTGAGAGGGGCAGCACTGTTAGCCGTGCGCCTCTGGCTGCTCTCAGTGATGTGGGCAGTCGTCGTGGAAGCGGCGCCTACAATGAGCTGCCCCAGCGGAAACCGAGTAATACCAAGGGGTTCCTCTAAGTTTACATGAACTTAGAGGATAATGATCGTTGGACACGAATGGCAGTCATGGAATTCGATGATGGCAAGGCGTATATGTTGCACTGGATGGTTGTTTTTGTCTAGTGGCCGCTGTTCATAGGTGCTTGATTGGCCAAATGTTGTAATGCTAAATTTTGATTTTGCGGCGAAGCGATTTTATGTCTCAATGGGAATGTGTTTGGTAGTGGCTGTTGTTCATTATTGACCTGATATAACCCATAGCTCGTAATGATCTTTCCCGTTAGGTAATTCTCCATACGCGTGAACGGAGACGGTTTCATCTGCAACTTGCCTTCGCCGGGCAGTGTTCTCATTACAATACAAACAACCTCTTTATGAATTAGAATATGGACTTGGGGGCTTCGGGCTTAGATCACTAATACTTGAGAGCATACGGTAGCGAGTCTCAATATTTAGAGTAGACTATAGTGAACCTACCTTATAATAGATTTATAATAAAGCTCGTTGAATCCTGAACAAGATTTATGCACCCTGGAAGCTATTATTGTTATTAGTTACCTAGTCCGCTAATATTCGAAGATAGAAGTCTTCGATCGCAAGCTGTTTGAAGGGCTATGGGTCGATGAAGCCCTCCACCATCGCTAGACGAAGGAACATTTTCTCGAAGCATGTATAGCTACCGCAAAGCCTATATCATACGGGGAATCTGCAGCTTCAGCCGCAAGTTCTTCACAGTATTGTTAGATAAGAGTCTATAGTCGTGGAGTACATAGAAGTGAGACAATCCTACTAGAGCTCCCTACTTACATTTTCCGTATGATAAGCGGACCTCAGCTCGGGATGAGCTGAGCTTAGAATCTTCTAGCCCGCTCGATATCCATGAAGGGGTGGTTAGTTATGGTACCCGATTCCGTTTTGGGCTTGCAGTATTGGGATCGACGCACCTTTAGCAAGTTTTATAGAGAAATATCTAGCACGGATTGAAGCGATTGGATCGCCGTCGCCCTAGCGCACTTCAGATAAATTCGAACACTGACCTTATCGACCGTCATCCACTTATAGCGCTAACGTTCCATCCCTTTGATAATTCCAAGAACTGAAATGGGTCGCTACTTTGATGGCTGCTGCTTTCTATATGATACATGTGCCTTTTGAACGACCTATAACGTATGGTTCCATAATTTATGAGTAGCCTGTGAAGTGGTGTAACGGGTTGCATAAGGGTAGTGTCTACATGTCTCTCTGAATGAGGTCATAAGGAAATGTTTTAAGGTCCGTCTTCTGTAATGCGCTGTTATGCCTCGCCATCTGGATTGCGCCCTGTACATGTATCTTAGTCGAAGGGCCATCGCCAATCAGGATCTATGTTTTGTTAGCGGTATGTTAAGTAAGGCAAGGGATGCGGTCGTAATTACGTCGTCATGTGCTAGGAATAGGGCTAATACAAGGGTCGAATCGCTAATCGGAGAGCGCATCCCTGAAGACGATATGGCCTCCATTAGTGACCTCGCACAAGCAATTTTGTACTGAAGGGCGAGTTGAATAAAGTATGGCCCCTTGTGCGGTAGACATTGCGACAGATGGCGGCATGTCACAAGAAAGAGACCATTCAGAGAGCTAGCATTGGTAGCGGCAAGTTGTATGAACTGTTTGTTTAGGTGCTGTGTACGACTTTCCGGATGGCTAATCTGGCAGCGTTGCAAATTTGAACACGGTACAACATTTGCCATGTCTGTGCTAGGTTAGTCACCGAAAATCTGCTTCTTGGGACGCCCGTGAGAAGTAGCGGACTTGCGAGACATATCGACTTATCCTAACGTGAGAGAGCCCTACTTACAGTAGTCTAGGAGAAAATCTTCGATCGGATTGAGGCGCCTGGCAAAACTTGCGAAGGGGTCTCTCCGGTCAGACCCCAGGAAGCCCAGCGGGCTTGGGATGACGGCTATCGCTGTTTCGGCGGCCGCTGTGGAGAATGGCTGCCTTTCGTCTTCCGAGCCACTTCTAGTTTTGATGGCACGGTACTCAACGAGCCTCTGTCGCCTCGCCTTGGCATGTGCCGCCCGGGCTGCATGCGAGTGAACTAGTCGTTGCTTTTCAGCCGAAGCTACCCCGGGGACCCCGGGTTGGGATGTATGGATGAACTGAAATTCACTTCTTTTGCCGGACATCATGGTTGTAGTTCAGCGTCTGAATGAGGGCCACTAAGAATTCCACCATGAGTTGACGAGATGCAGAGCCATGTAAACCTAAAGCCGACCAGACGTTGCAGGACGAACCTTGGAGCTGAACCGAAGAGGTATGCGACATTTGTAAGCAATGAAGGACATTGTCAAGACTTGCTCTTTCCACATAAAGAATAGTGCCACATCCATCCCCACTCTACTAGCGTGCCTTATTCCTACGTCGATCATCCCTCATAGCACAAATAAACTCAGTGATAGATTGACCCTTTTCTTTCTTGGTACATCGACTACCAGAACTACTTACACTTAACTATAAGTGGATGTGCAGCATTTGTAAGCACTGAAAGACCTTGCCAATACTTGCTCTTTCCAGATAAAGCATCCCCCACTCCTTACCTTTGCTTCGAAACGCCACGGAAATGTCTTTACAAACTGTCTGTGGATCTCTGACCAATGATAACGTAGCTGGGTTTCTTCAGGCTGGTCAAGAAACTGCGCTCTTAGTTAGTAAACCTGTTCTTGAAACGCGAGCAATTTTGCACCGACGAACGGCTCGTGCTGACGGGCAACGAATATCTTAGCAATCAATCATTCAGCGTACTTATATAAAGAAGTGACCAGCCACGCAGAGGGGTGGCCATCTTCTAGAGAGTCTCCCTGCTCACTGTTCCGCTGCACATCTAATACTCATTATGGCGTCCCCTCCTATGAAAAGTTTCGTGTCATTCACCAAGACCTGGCACAATGATACTTACCCGGCCATCTCACCCACCCGCCCGGAGCTTTCGGCAGCTGGGAAAAACGTCGTCATCACGGGCGGCGGCACAGGCATCGGAAAGGCGGCCGCCATCGCCTTCGCCCAGGCCGGTGCCAAATCGGTTTCCATTGTCGGGCGCAGGATCGATCGCCTCCAGACTGCAGGGCAGGCGATCACAGAAGTCAACCCATCGACTCAGGTTGTCTTGCAGACAGGCGATATCACCGACGTCGCGTCTATTAATGCGGCTTTGGGTGCAATCGTGAATAAGGTCGGCAGCAACATTGACATCTTCGTCAGCAACGCAGGCATGCTTCCGAAAGAGGCACCGGTAATTGGCTACCCAGAGGCAGAGTTCCGCCGAAGTTTCGAGATCAACACCATGGGCACTTTCCACGCCCTGCACGCGTTTACCCCGTTGGCGGCCCCTGGCGCAAAGTTCCTGCACACGGCATCTGGCATCAATCACTGGGCCCCTCTCCCGGAAGTGCCAGGAGTGTGGAGCTACGCGGCCACGAAGGGAGCGGCACTGAAGATGGTCGACTACTATGCTTTCGAGCACCCGGACATTCACGTCGCGAGCTTCCATCCAGGCATCGTTGGCACTGAGATCAACCCGAACATCCCCGTCGGGCCAGACACAGGTGAGACCCTTTGTTTATTTTTCCAAGCCATCTGGCAGACCGATGGGTTGCGTAGCCATGCTAACACACCTTGCAGCGGAGTTGCCTGGACACTTTGTTGTGTGGCTTGCGTCGGATGAAGCTGCATTTTTGAGGAACAAATTGACCTGGGCAAACTGGGATGTGGATGAACTCATGGCTCGGGCAGAAGAAATCCGGACGTCAGTCCTGCTAAGGGTCTCTCTGAATGGTGTGGATATGTGATTGAAGCTCTGTTGTCTAACGCCCTGATAGAGTTTTAGACATGTGCAACGTAGTTCACGACCACGAATTTTGGAAGAGGCGACGTTGATTGGTTCCCCTCGAAAGTAGTCTCCCCAATTAGGAAAGGAAGTCTCGTGATGGCCACTGTCTCTTTCTTGTTTCACCTCAACGCGGATCGGCAAGACGGGTTTGACTGACTTGAGGTACAATAAAGAGCACTGCGTTGTGGTTATTCGCCCAAGCAGGCAAAGAACGGAAAGACGCGGTATGGCAAAATTAAAAGACTTGCGTGGAGAACAAGGGATGTTCGTTCAACTCCAAATGGTTACTAGAGCCGCCTCCGTGAGTTAAGCAAAAGGTGATACTGTAACTTGGACATTTTTGAGAATCTTCAAAAATGCTCGCCCCAAGTACGGGCCAGAATATATCACCTCATGTGCCTAGTTAGTTAGTTATTATAGCCGCTTGTAGTCAGCGGTCACGTGAATAACTTTGCGGCTACGACCAGTCCCAGGACGAGTTCTCGTTCTTCACTGCTCACTCCCCCAACCTCGTTCAGCGCCGACACGGCCATTTCTTCACTATGGTAAGCTTCGCCAATTTTACTCGGGTGTTATCCCATTGCCTGAGCTCCCCTGGCTAACGAAAAACCCAACCCGGGTCAAAAAATAGGCTCGTAACAGCGAAAAAGCGCAGTCCATGCTGTTCCGCTTCCGGGCGCAACAAGCTGCGGATATGGGCATCATCGACATCAGTCGCACTCGGCGCCCGAAAGCCATCCAGACAGTCGACAACGTCGCCATGTGCGAGCGGTGGCGCGGGCAGGTCCTCCGCGAAGTGTCCCGCAAGGTATCGCGCATCCAAGAGCAGAGTCTGAGCGACTACCAGATCCGCGACCTCAACGACGAGATCAACAAGCTCATGCGTGAGAAATGGGCATGGGAGATGCAGATTCGGAATCTGGGCGGGCCCAACTACATGCGCGGAACGGGTCGAGTGTACGATGACGAGGGGCGTGAGATCCCCGGCGGTGGCAAGGGTTATCGATACTTTGGTCGGGCGAGGGAGTTGCCTGGTGTTAAGGAAATGTTTGAGGCTGCTGTTCGGGGCAAACGGCCGCCCGAGGAAGAGGATGCGGCGCCCGGAAGGGGTGGTGATATTGCGACTAAGAAGGTCGATGCGAATTACTTTGGCTATGGACTGGACGAGGAGGATGGAACTCTATTGCTGTACGAGAGGCAGAAGGAGAAGGAAGCTGTGGAGCACCTGCGTGGTCAGGGTGACGATGACGTCGAGGATGGATGGGAGTCGTTGCCCGGTGACGCTGGTGATGGCGTGGAATGGCGGCTTCCCACGCTCGAGGAAGTGCAAGAAGAGCTTGTGGATCGGAGGCGACGACGACTGCTGGACAAGATCACTTGAAACCTGCCTGCGATTTCTGTTCTGGCGTTCCGGTGCTTGTGCAAAATAATTCTACCTCCAGCATTGTCATGGCTGATTTCTTGGTGTTTTACAAATTTTCGCAAAATATCATTTCCATATGTATACAATATCAAGGGGTATCATTTGCGTCCGTATCGGAGGAATTCTTGCGGGATCCTCGTCCAGCCTTGAGTGCCTGGGTCATGCTGAGACGGACTGGCTGTGAGGGGTCCTCCAAGCGCCGTTTCTCTGCCTCCAAATCATCAAAGATAAATCGACCCAGCTCGCCCGCACGCCACTTCTGAATAAAATGCATGGCCGCCGAATCCAGAATGGGAACGCCGCCTTTCCCCAGAAGTCCCGTCTGGCGCGCAAACGTATCAAGCAGCGGCACTACCTCGTTCGTCGGTTCAGACCACCGTTTGTACGCTTGCGTATCATGCAGGTTGATTTGATATAACAAGTAATCTGCAAGGGTGACCGGCGATATCACGGAATCCTTGACACAGTTACAGAGCGCGAGTTTGAGCATGTTCTCCGCGTCTGGCACATAAGGCATGAACACACCTGGCGTGTCCACGACATAAACATGCGACCCATGCTCTCGCTCGATGATCTTGACCGGAGTAGCTATCTTGCGAGTGATACCCGGTTGCCCGCCAGTTCTCACGGCCTTGGCCTTGCCGACACCTTGGTTGCGCAGGTTGTTGATAAGCGTCGACTTGCCGACATTTGGCATTCCAACCACCAGGACGCGGCACCCAACGAGTTTATCGGGACCTTCAGCATCGTCCCGGAGATGTTTGAGGATGTTGCTGACGTCCGGACGGGAAGACGAGCTGACAAAGAAGGTGGCGGACTTCGTATCGAACCTCTGGAGTTTTTTCTCAATCTAGAAACGGGAATAGTCAGTCTCAAAAGCTATGCCAGGCATTTACTGGCTGTCACCTACCTGATTCCGTGCAGACGACTTGGGCATGCTGCCAAGATCTCGTTTGGTATAGACAACCAAGCGTCGCTTGTTGCCCAAGGCTTCTTCAAACATGGGATTGACTGAAGTGATGGGCGCGCGGTAATCGCGGCACTCGATAACATAATCAATCGACGAGAGCATGCTTTTCATTTTGGTCAAGCCCGCGCGATGGTGCCCCAAAAAGTAGGACCTGGGGATCGATCCATAATGAGGGAAGACCTGGCGCGGGATGAACTTGGCCGCCATCGCCGGTATGCAGTGGTTAAAAGGGTATATAGCCAGAGAGAAGGTAGGTCATTGTTGATCTATGTATTGGCCAGCCGTCTACCTCAGTCGGCTGCAACTCGACACGCGAAGTGAAGAAGACTGAAAAAGAGCTGGAAATTGCCGCCGGGAATCAGGCGGAACCCAAGGCGGTGAGAACATGTGACTTCGGAGCTTATCATAACGAACGACAGGAACTTGCACATGTGCACTTCAAGATACATGCCATTGGTTGGAAATAGTCAATTTGTGTTCCTGACTGTCCAGACGCTTGTATAAGGGTTGGGGTTACCCGCTGGCTACAACATTGCTCTGTTTGAGTGACTTTGGACCAATCGATAATCTAGATCATGCCGCTAGTATCGGCTTTTCGGCCACCATCAACGCGCATTTCTTCCGTTCGACGGAGATCACCCGCTCGACGACGGAGACTAACTGAAAGAAGTGAACTTGAAGATCTTGACTCGGAGGATCATGTGCAAGACCCCGACGCTCACTCCATCATTACACCGTCGAAGCATACGCCAAAGCCATTTCGCGTCTTGCGAGGCTCCGTGGCTGCTGGGGGACCGCTTCGTCCATTCCGGCTACTGAAGCAAGATATTCTGAATCTACGCCGGCGATACGTCTCAGACTGGACTGTGTTCAATCAATTGGTTTTCGCCAGCGCGATCTATGTCTTCTTTACTAATCTCCTGCCGGGAATCACCTTTGCAAGTGACTTGTATGTCCTGACGGGCCAGAGCTGGGGGACAATTGAAGTTGTCTTCAGCACTGGACTCAACGGAATTATCTTTTCACTGTGAGTGTTTTGTTTCGAAGTCATTTCCGCCAGCAAGTGATTAACCTCCGTGAGACCAGCTTCTCGATCCAGCCTCTCACCATCCTTGGGGTGACGGGGCCGTTCAGTGTCTTGGCAGAGAACATATACTCACTATGCGTCGAATCTTTCAAGGTAATTCTTGAATAATATTTAATTCCAGAAATGCTGATGACCATCGCCTGTTAGATCGATTTCCTGTCATTCATGGCTTGGGCGTTGATCCATTCTGCTTGGCTTCACTATCTCTTAGCCATCATCAATGCCCACGACTGGACCATGCGCTATGTGACGACATTCGCAACTGAGGTCTTTTCGTTGCTGAATTCTATCATTTATTTTCACAAGGCTATCCAGGAGCTTCAGAGAGCGCACGCAACTCTTTCCTTCGCAGCTTTCCTCTACGCCGTGATCGGCGCCTCTGGAACCATGCTTCTTGCCATCTTCCTTTCAACTGCTGAGAGCTGGCGCCCTCTCTTCCATCGCTATGTTAGAGTCGGGCTGAAAGAGTATGCTGCCGCGATCTCAATAATCTTATTCATTGGGTTGCCTCACATAGGCGAACTCGCGCACCTGGATAAGATGACACTGCCAGTATCCAGCTCATTCCGACCAACTTCACCGAACCGGAATATTTTTCTCGTCGAATTCTGGAAACTGCCCGTGCAATGGGTCTTTGCTGCTATTGTTCCAGGGCTGATCATCACGATGCTGTTCTTTTTCGACCATGAAGTCAGCTCCATCATCTGCACCATCGACCGGTATGGGACTCGCAAACCAGGAGGATTTGCTTGGGACATCATTTTGCTAGGAACAACCACCGCTCTTTGTGGAATTCTCGGTATCCCACCAGCCAACGGTCTTCTACCGCAGGCTCCCCTTCATTCGGAGTCTTTGATGCACGCGGAAAAGGAGGAAGTAAGCATCATTGTTGATGGCGAGGAAAAAATTCATACGCATGAAGTCCAGCGTGTTTACGAGCAGCGTTGGTCATCTTTTCTCCACGCTGCAGCGATCATGCTGTTTCTCAGTCCTCCGTTCATGAAAGTTCTTGGCTTGACACCAACCAGTGTCCTGGCAGGACTTTTCCTCTTCATGGGGGAACAGAGTTTGTCGGTGAAGTACGTACCATTGTTATCCCTGCGGATTTGGAGACTAACGTTTCCGCCTAGTCCGATCTTGTATCGCACATTCTACCTCCTTACGCCACCATCGGAACTTCCACCACTACCGGCATCTCTTCGCAAGAAAAGCGCCTCCGATGATTCTGCGGAGGGCACACCATCCTACCTTCCAATCCACCTTTACACTCTTCTTCAGGTCGGAGTTACAGTTTTGATCTTTATTCTTACATTGACGCGAGGAGCACCAGCATTCCCAGTTCTCATCATCGCCCTAGTTCCTTTCCGGCTCATGCTTATGAAGCGCTGGTGGCCGAGAGAGGTTCTTCGCTTTGTCGACGCCTGGGCCTGTCGTGAGGGAACACCAGAAGATGACGAAGACGCAAGAGACAAATCCAGTCCTGGAGAACAAGATTCGAGTGGCGATGGTCTCGCAGGAGCTCTCAGCCAGTATGGGGGAGGGCCTAGAAGTGAATCGCCTATAATTGCGACTAGTGCCTTTTCAAAGCCGTCTGATCACGGTTACGATGTTGCTGATCAAAGAATATGGGGCATGGATCATGACGGTATGAACAATGAGTGGGTTGAACTAAGAAGTCGGGTTCAAACCGATGAAGAGTTAGCCCATAGTTGATAGATGATCATCTCGCTGTCATTCGCTTCTAGGGAGGCTTATGCGTCGACATTCCGTATATAATTAAGCCAGATGAAGACATCGCAGTCGAAATCAAAAACGGCCAGCCAAATGGCCTTGGGATACAACATGATCCTTTGCAAGAAGGACAAGCGTCTCTCTCACTGTCGCGTTCTTGGAATCTTGTATAAGGCCATCGTGGATGTTGAGGCGATTTCTGTGTTTGGTGGCATGATAACGGAGAGATCAACACTGAAGCACCTGTTACAACCGGCGAAGCCCCCCAATCCGAGGCGCCCAGCGAACAATCACAACTGCAGAACGCCGATCGCCCTGCATCCCCGCATCCCCGCTCCCGCCACAGCATGTTCGAATTCTTCCATGCCTTCTTTTAATCCCAGCTCTTATTCCTACGGCCGTGTTTCTAGTTACACATAGCATTGGAAAATTCAGGTTCGAGAACGATTTGGATGACGGTCCCCTAAGCACAATATGCCAAGCTTCTATACATCCGTGTTAGAAAACGCCCTCTTCCTGTGTCAGGGACAGTCCGGACTTCATTCGGCTTGTCTAAATCGCGATGCCTCGATGGTGATCCTAGATCAAGGTACCATGCCTCAGATCTAATGCGATCGAAGCTAATATAACATAGATGCCCATGATTTTGAGCGTCGTTTACAGTCAGAAGCGCCACTGGAGATTAAAAGGACTGGGTTGATTAGTGTAATGTATGTTAGGTCCCCTTTGCTGCTATGCTTGACACTTATAAGACCAAGGTTATTGAGCGAACAAGGCACATTTCCGGGGGACCAGTGGGAGGTCCAGAAGCTATTCAAGATATTTTGGGGCGTAGACCTTGAAGATGTCGCTCTTTTGTCTTCCCCATTGCTCTCTAGCTACCATGGACGATGCGTAGATATTAATGGACACCTATGTCTCGGTGAGTTCTACACCAGGATGTGCAAAAATATCTCAGCCACTGACAAGCCCACCGAAATTTGCTACAATATTAGCGAGAATCTGTCATATACGGCGAACAACACTAGCCCCTTGGAAAGTAGCTCTAGTGTTAGCTCTAGTGGACCGACCGACATGAAGCTTCGTCACCAATACGAGCCTATCTATTTCCGCTATGATTTCCTAACCGGGCACACTCTATATATTCTACCGAAGTCCAAAGGTGATTTACGTGATCTAATTCACGCAATTGGCGAGAGGTTCAAGGGGTCCTCCCAAGAACGCTCACGGGTTGAGGAGCTGCCGGGTAATTTTAAGCAAGAAGAGCCCTTACACCCTCTAATCCTTCACTCAGTGGTCATGTTCTATATCCTTTCTTCCCGAAATGCCGAGCTGGAAAATTTGATCAAATGGTTGCTATGGATCGAGACACAACTCCATCAAGGATCAATTTTTGAAGTGACAGGTTCGGAGCGCTTCTCAAGGTATATTCAGCTGCTACATAAGATGTCGCGGAACTTGATAACCTTAGAGCACAACAATCAACGCGACGCATCGAACATTAACCACCTTCTCCGAGATCACGAGCGCCTTGGACGACTGGCCGAGCTTCATGGAACAGATCTTGACCACACAACGGATCAGAGGGTCCGTGACGATCTGCTTATGCTGCATGATTTGTGCGACGACCGTCATCGCCGGATTATGAATTTACAAAGAAGAACCAACAATTTTGTTACACTTTTGTATAATCTGATCACAGGTCATGACAGCACAATTAATCTCAAGATTGCCACGGAAAGCGCGAAAATTGCCCAAGATGCCCGCAAAGATAGCGTGTCTATGAAGATCATTGCAGGGATGACGCTGCTCTATCTCCCAGCCACTTTTGTATGTAGTCTTTTTGGGACGAACCTGATCGCTTTAGATACTTCGACCGATAATAGCGAGCCTTTGTTTGTCGTCTCCCATCTCTGGTGGCTTTACCTGGCATTCGCAGTGCCTCTGACAGTTTTTACAATGTTCGGATTTTTGCTGTGGCGACGGTTTCGTGAACAGTACCCAGGAAAACGGGCGAGTGAACTAGATGTCTCATAAAGTGCCGTCATTTTGGGGCTTGCACATATTTTTACTTTCCCCTACTTTCCCCTTGTTGGTAATAATCTTTTGATTGGCTCTCATCTGGGCTTGTACATAACAGACGGGCCCTAACACTTTGAGGTTTGCTGTAGCCACAGCTATTCAATAAGGGAAAGATACTATCGGCATGTCTATAATTACGATGTCGAAGTTCACTACTCTTCTTCGGTTCAATGATCTCGGCTTCTCAGATTGGTCGCAAAGAGCTTCAGTCATCGACCATGTCACGGTTCCTTTTTGGCCTATTCGGGTTTGTGGCGCAAAGCAACACTTTCGGTATTGGCGAGAGTATCATCCCAGCAGCATCGGGAGCAGCAGCCAGAATGAACCTACAGACAAAACCCGGACTGTCAGACGGCAGAAGTAGACATGACGGATTTCGATCCAAATTCTCTTGGGCAACTCTATATCAGTCGGAGTTAGTTACTCGGATGAATGGGACATCACAAGTTCATTCGTTGGGCATGAAAATCTTTTTTCAACAAAGGACATCAGAGATTGTTACGGTATGCCACATGGTTACCAAATTAGTTGTTGTTTGGATCCTGCCTTGTTTATTTAGTCCTGCCCAACGGTGAAATTTTAGTGTTCATGTCATTAATATGAATTCAGATTACCAAGAAAAGCTCTCGGCATGTAGATAAACCCCCTGAGCACCAGTTCCCTTGTCGGAGCCGCGTTGTTCGCTGACAGTGGCGACCGTATTTCTGACACTGCTCACTAACGCCAGAGGTCCACAAACTGCAACACCGGTTTCCCCCTTGGCATGATCCAATATATCCCAGAGAAGGGGCTTAAGCTGAGGCCGACCTGATCTGAGAGTAGAAGAAGGGCAAGACAATGGCCTATCTGTTGTCGCCTGTTCCTTTGGGGTAATCGCATCCGAAGTATCCTGGATCCTAGTGCAGCAACACGGTCCTTCAGAAACGCTGCACTGACACCCTGCCTTTTTCTCAAAGACTTCAGATGGTTCGATATCGCACGTAACGAACAATTCAACTTCGATTTCAATTCCAGCGCTGCTTAGGGTTTCCGTTGCTCGTTGTAACTCGTCCGCGACCCACTCTTTGCAGGACGTTTTCTTGATGACCCAGACGAATACCACTCTTCGGACTGGAAGGGACCGATCTCGAGACCTCTGCGCAATATCGAGGAGTATTGGTAATGTAAACGTGACACCGGTTGATCCCGCAATGAGAAGAACAGTGTCGAACGCCGCGAAATCGGAGTGTGACCCACCATACGGGCCGCCGATCATAGAATACAGTCGACCTTCTGTTTGTACCGTTTGTTCCTCGTCTTGAGATGTTTGGGACAGGTCTGTGGAGGATGTCTTAGCTGAGCGTAGTAACCGTCGAGTAAAGCCTCGGCAAGCCCGTAAGATAAAGACAAGATCATTATCATGAGATGAGGGAATCGATAGAATGGTGGCTGGATGTGATTGACCCAGTCCCAATCCAGGAATCGATAAGAACACATGCTGTCCAGGTGTCCAATTTTTGATTCGGGGCGATTTAACCCGAATCTTTGTGACATCGCCAGGCAGCTCGAGTATGACTGCTTTTGCGGGTTTCATGTTGTTAAACGCAAAGAGAAGAGTCCGTAGTAGGCGGTCGAAAATAAAAACGCCGATTCCAATCCAGGCGTATATCCTGGAGGATAGGGCGGTAGAGGGTAAGTGGTAGAAAATGGCCACAACAAGGCCGACGAAAGTGATGATATGTTGAATGACGAAGAACTCATACCGCCAGTTTCGGATAGGAGCCGTTGCGCTGAACACCAACCAAAGGAGGATAATCCAGGTAGCGAATCCTTGATGATTGTTAGCCCGCAAGCATCTTATTTCTTCATTATCACATCCTACCTGTCGGGATACAGCTATCTGTATCGATCTCAAGCTTAAAAACTTTATTCTTCTTCCAGCCGTAGGCTTGAACACCGCCGTGTATGGTAGCGGTTAATAACATAATTCGCGCTACCCATCGGTGCAAGAGGTGCAGTCGCTCATAGGATACACCCACGGCGTATCCAATTAAATTCCGCTTCCCAGCAAGGAGAAGTATGAGTGGGAATTGAGCGATTGTGAGCCATCCTGCGCGGAGACCCTGCGCCTGCCAGTGTTGAGCACCAGGATAGTCAACGTTGTAGAACTGTAGTCCCATGACGTATCCAAAATACACCAGGATGAGCAGGATTGCTCCGAATGTCGGGACCCGCAACCAAGAGTTTGTGGGGGTGAGCTGACGATAGACGACTTCCCGAATCACTGCAGTACAGCCAGCCAGAAGTGATGCGACTGAGTTGGAAGGAGTAGCAGGCCGTGGATGCTTTGCTGCAGCGGCACGTAATCTAGATCTACGTTAGTAGCCAAGCTCTGATCCCCCGTAGACGACACCGACCTCAACTTCAGCAGTCCCCATCGACCCCAATTGACAATTCCCGCCAGCACGACCACGATGACAATCCCGTACCAAAACGATCGAGCTATCGCATAATCAAACTGTTGCAAAACCGAGTCATCTAGAAGTGCATCCAGGAAATCCGAGGCCACCGTATAATTCGACATGTTCAGGCCCGCGTTCGTGAGGTCAGGGCCTCCAGACATGTCTGTATCCATGTCCATCTTGACGGATATGTACAATCCAAGGCTGGAATACGGTAGTGACAGAAGAGAACAGGACGAGTGTAAGATTATTAATTTATTCGAGATAACTAGTCAACTACCCTCCCCACTATACATGTCTCCACTCGGCCCGCGGCTTCTGTCGAATCACCGGAATTGGCTCTTGTCAAGCTTCTCTTTCTTTCCCGTTTTCGGCTTAGCGTTGAGCACATTTGCGTGAGTTTTTCTTACGCTTCCGCTGCCGGCCCGACTCCATACTATTACGGCGTGCAATAACTAATAGCTCCATGATGTTCCATTTCTTGCTCTCTTTTCCAGGCTTCCCTTCTTTAGTTATTTCGCGTCCACCAGGGACAATATTACCTGAGCGCCTCCTGCAACAAGGGATGATTACTCTCAAACCTATCGCTCCCTGAATATCCCTTTCTCGATTTTGCCTGTCATGGATATGACAGCGGGGACCGCGACCGCCTCAAACATGAAGACGCCGTCGTCAAACACCTCAAACATGGCTTTCAATACGAACAATCTCTCCGCTATGCTTTTCTCCAGTTCGTGGATGCCAACCAGCACCGCTGGCTACGTAGGCACCTGGTTTTTTCTTTTCTTCCTCGCTATTATTTGGCGAGCGCTTGTCGCGACACTGTTCAAGTTGGACGCTTTTTGGGTCGCGCAAAATTCACAATACCTGATTCTTATCAATGGGGGCCAAGAAAAACCAAAGGAAGAAAGTGTCGTTCGAGCATGGCGAGTTTCTGTGAATCTGCCTCGAGCGGCATTGCGCACGATCAGCCAAGGAATTGCATACCTATTGTAAGTTGTTTCTATTCATCTAGACGGATGCCCAGTGAGCCTTTCTGACCTATCCTATCTTGAAGGATGATTGCGGTAATGACTATGAATGTTGGGTTCTTTTTCGCTGTGCTTGTTGGATACTTCATCGGAGAGCTTATCTTTTCCCGTCTCACACGATCGGATTCGTAGCCATTGCTGGGGACCGCTGTACATATGAACAATTCTCATTTGATGCATACCGCTCCGTTATCTTATTTAGAAGCTCGTCCCCTCGGGTCTAACATCCGAGGCATGCTTGGCTGACTGGCCAACCGACTAACCCAGACGTTGGGACTTGTGACCCTCTATGTATTTGGAGTAGAACTTGTGGTCACTGACGCAGCGCATCTAACCTTGATTGAATATGTTTTGACCGACCTAATAATTCTGGAAGCATCTTTTCAACACAGGAAATAGCTTTCTATTCGATCGACCGACCTCAAAATCTGATTCCAAACATTTCTTCATCTTTAGGTATTCAAAATTGAAACCCAGCTTTCAATTCTAATCTACTGACTCTGTTTAATAATAGTGGACACAAGGTTTATCTCTTTGAATACATCAATGCCGGAAATCGGAAGCAATAGCCGCGATGGCGATGCTGCGCGTTTGGTAATTCGCTTCGAGGATTTGAAACGGCAGGATGTCAGTATAGTTGGCGGCAAAAATGCCTCCATTGGGGAGATGATCGGTACTCTAGAGGAGGAAGGAATCGCCGTACCCAAAGGGTTTGCAACGACTTCACGAGCCTATTGGCAGTACGTGAATGAAAATGGAATGCAAGAGAGGATGGCCTCGTTGATCGCAGAATGGCAATCGGGAAAAGCCTCCCTTGCTGACACTGGTCATGACGTTCGTGACCTGTTCCTCCGAGGCACCTGGCCCACGAATATTGCGAATGAAATCACGAACTTCTATCGCGATATGGAGACTAAAACAGGGATCAAGAACCTGAGCGTCGCCGTTCGATCAAGCGCGACAGCAGAGGACTTGCCCGAGGCAAGTTTCGCCGGCCAACAGGAGTCTTATCTGAATATATCTGGCGTGGATGCACTTCTCGACGCTTGTAAGCGGTGCTATTCCTCGCTTTTTACAGATCGTGCCATTGGATATCGTCAGGGCAAAGGGTTCGATCACTTGCGTATCGCGCTCTCTATTGGGATCCAGCGTATGGTTCGCTCTGACCTTAGCGGATCTGGTATCATGTTCTCCATCGATACTGAGAGTGGTTTCGACAAGACTGTTCTCATCAACGCAGCCTGGGGACTGGGGGAGAATGTAGTACAAGGCGCTGTCAACCCTGACGAATACCGAGTCTTCAAACCGCTATTGAATGACACAAATCTCGTTCCAATCATAGGAAAAAAGCGTGGCGACAAGTCAATGAAGATGGTTTACGACAATGAAGGAGATGAGCCAACACGCAACGTACCAACCTCGAGAGCCGAGCAAACTGCGTTTACACTCGAAGACCGGGAAATTCTCCAGTTGAGTAGATGGGGTTGTGCAGTTGAGAAGCACTATGGAACTCCAATGGACATAGAGTGGGCCAAAGATGGCCTCACAAACGAACTGTTCATCGTTCAGGCTCGGGCAGAAACGGTTCAATCGCACCGCGATACTGCGATGTTCAAGACATACGAGGTCAGTAAAAAAGGCCGGCTTCTGGCGTCAGGGTTGTCTATTGGAGACGCGGCAATCTCTGGCCGACTTTGCTTGATCGAAAACAAACAGAACCTTGACAAATTTGTTCCTGGTTCGATTTTGGTAGCGAAGGCAACAGATCCAGATTGGGGTCCCCTCATGAAGCTGGCCGCGGCCATAATCAATGATTGCGCAAGTCATCCAGGTGGCTCGTGAAAAGGGTTGCAGGATTGGCATCTGCGGACAGGCGCCGAGCGATCATCCAGAGTTTGCAGCCTTCTCAGTCAATTCCGGCATTCATTCGATCTCCGTCAGCCCCGATAGCTTCGTGTCAGTGAGGAATGTTATCGCGTCGGGGAAGGGTCAAAAATAGGCATACACCAGCATACAAAATTCTGAATGAAAATATTATCTGAAAGAATGAGGCCAATTTACGAACACTCGGATTAAAATGCAACAGACATGTTCAGATATTTCATGCATAATTGATAGACCAAACCCTGCCTCATTCTTAATTCTTACTTTTCTTCGTAAATATTCGCAAGTCGGTCTTTCAGTTCCCTTATCGATTTCTCTAGGTCCTCCGACTCTGAGGAGCTTAATGGCATCTCAAGCGTCTTGACGATCCCTGTTTTACCCAGGACCACGGGTAAGCTGAAGCAGCAACCCCAGTTGGGCTGAAAATGGCTTATGAGACAAACGCTGCCGTTGTCTGATATGATAGCTTGGCAAATACGGGCGACCAGAGATCCAACTCCAAGAGACATTTTCCCCTTCCCGCGGATCATTTTCTGCTTTCTGTTCTCGCACTCATTCTGAACGTCGTCGCGATTAAGAGCAGTCGGTGGAAGTGCTTTATCAAGAGGGGTATCATCTACCATTGCAGCAGACCATGCCACAACTTGCGAATTTCCGTGGATACCCAGGATGGGGAGGGTTATCGAGCTAGCCGCCATCTATCAGAGTGAGCTGTGTCGCATCCATAGAATCAACACACTGCGCTCACCTTTGCCTTTTCCGCCAATATGCTCGAAACGCGGATAGAATCGAGCCATGTTCCTGAACCTATCACTCGGGATTCGGGTAAACCAGAAATATCGTGAATGAATGATGTGAAGAGATCGACAGGGTTTGCCACAACGAGAATAATCGTGGTTGTCCCAAATGGTTTCATGGAGGTAATAACACTCCGGATGATCGAGAGTTTTTGGTAGGTTCGCTGAACGCTCGTTTCACCTAAGATGAATATGAGACCTTGGTCCAAACAGAATTTCCAGCTATCACTCTGCCTCACCAGCGTAATATTTTGATCCAATAGTGATAAGCACAATGTCGCTTTGTGCTGCCTCCTGGTGGGTGGCAGGTCGTACGCGTGTCTTGCTACCACAGACGTAGCTAACCTCGGAAAGATCGCTAACCTGGGCATTTTTCAGGGTTGCGTTTATATCAACTATGAGCAATTCACTTGTGGCGGACTGAAGGATGAGCACATTGGCAGCTGCAGCCCCTACATCGCCGGCGCCAATGATTGCGACCCGATGATCCAATCTTGAATTGCAACTCGACATTGCGGGAGGTATGAAATCCAGCGTTTGGAGACCATTGAACCTGGTTTATACACGGCGTACATCATGGTAACAAGACGCAATTCGTACGTTATTTCTGTGGATATGGAAGCCAATTTTGGAATTTCCGCTATGCAAACCTTTGGGGGTGGAATTTACGTCAATCGGGCTTAATGGTGACATACATAGTTCCGAGGTCCGACTGTCTCTTACGTAGGTAATGTACATGCATACATAGATTGCCCACCTTCCAATGAGACACCTGAACCTTCTAAAAGTATATGATCGACTGAGTCCGACCAAAGAGTTTAGGGTTAGTAGTACATGTGAGGTCTCCAATTTCTCGAGCGCTAAGGCGTGTGATTTAGAACCAAATTCTCGGTAGCGACTGCAGTCAATGCATCAATTTCAGCTCTACTTTTTTGTCACTTGAATTGGCTTGCACTTTTAGCTCTTAATTTTGTCCTCTTTTGTATAGGAAATTCCCAGATACTACTGGATAGAATTCGATACTTGGTTTATGCTCATTTAGTCATGTGATAGCAACTAACTAGTACCTACTAGGTAAGGTGTGTATATAGTCGCAAGGATGCGGGCCGCTTAGCACGAACGTCTTATCTCCACTCATCCACGTCTCATCCACGTCGTATCCACGTCTAGCCCACCTTCCGACTGCCGTTCCAGCTCGACGTGTATTGAGCCACGGCTTAATAACAGCACCTCGTAAGAGCATCATACAGGACGCTTATATCCTGCGCGGATGCCCGGCCATGGCGCGACAGACAAGGCAAAAAAAGACCAATATCACCAGGAGCAGAACAGGCTGCCATACCTGTCGGCGGCGGCGTGTGAAGGTAGTCCAGACTAACCTCTCAATTCTTTGGTTCCTTGGAAGCTAATATCCGAGGCATCACACAGTGCGATGAAGGCAAGCCGTCCTGCAAAGCGTGCCTCCGGCTAGGCCTGAGCTGCGATGGCTATGGCCACGTGGTGAGATATCGATTCGCCGAGCCCGCCGTACTGGAGCAAGGAGCGACACACTCTTTTGACACCATTGAATGGGCGCCTGTAGCTCTCCCTTGGATCGACGCAGATACATCCGATAGTGGGTCTATACCGGGTGAGGAGAGCATTTCGGATCCTCGGTCTCCAGAGTCATCGAGGAAAGAAGCAATTTTCAGTCAGATGGGACCATCTAGTCGAGGGTCATCACCGAATACTATGATCAGTAATAATATAGAAAACGACACCGGAGACCTGGACCCCGATCGAGCCGATCGAGCCGTGTTTGATTATGGGGCACAGACTGATACTCTGGAGGAATTCTACTTTACCCAGTGGACGACTTCTGTCACTCCAATTCTACCACCTGTCTTTGCCGACCTAACTGTGACCATGCCCGACTTTTTGCCTTTAAGATATGCGGTCCTTGCAGTATCGGCATCGCACCTGGCCCATGTTGAGTCTTCGATACTTTCCGAAAACAACTCGACCTACATTCCTGAACGAACCCATCGATACCGAAGCCTACAGTACTACGGAAGAGGAATCCGCGAGCTCGCAAAATATGTCGATGGTTTTCCGAAGGACACACTTTGTTACCTAGTTGCTACCTCACTTCTTTTCCATTACATCGAGATGGATTCCGGCTCAATAGCTGGCGCGGTCGAACATATCGAGTCGATCAATAGGCTTCATTGCTCTGCCCGGTCGCAAATAGAGCTGGGAACAACCGAGCTTGACAAGAAATTGCTTTGCACCTGGCAAAGCTTGCGGTCCTTATCCATCAACAAGCAGCTCACAGTTGGGTCCGGTCGCATACGGCCTCTGGTAGCAATCCAGCTCCAAGACCTGGCCTCTCCACTTGGGGATGGCGCGACTTCGTACGATTCTATTGCGCAATTGCTATGTGAGACGTTTTCCACTACCCGAACCATCATCCTGGACTGGTGTGTGTGTCGCGGTATCAGCCTAGCCACGGCAGACGAGAAGAAAGCAGCCTTTGAGGCCCTGGTCGAGCATATTGCTCTTCCCGGCGAGCGAAATCGCTCGCCACGTCAATTAGCCGACATCGACGAGTCGTACTGTAGGGCAATTGAGCAACAGCGTGCGCGTCTGGACGACTGGCACTCGCAACTTAATATATCAGATCTCCCCATTGAGTCCTTCACTTCCACCTCTATCGAGCCGGTTCGATATACAGAGGGGGAGTTGCACATTGAACCGCTGCGGTTCCGCACCTACGAAGCAGCGATGAACTATGCATACTATGCCGCAGCGCAGTTCTCCAGCTCTCGACAGACCTTTGACCGAATAACTCAACTTGATGAATTCGAGCTCTCTTCTAGGTTTACACGCGATAGATTCCCGTGGGAAAGCCTGATTCTCCGGATTACCCGCGGTCTCGATCTGGATGACTGTCTGTACAAACATACATTCAAAATAGGAATTCTGTCTTTGTTAATGTTGTGTGCGTCTTTGTGTCCGCATATTGCAGTGGCGAATTGGGCCAATGCCTGGATCGAAAAGTTGGAAGATCACGGCATGGCGGTCGAGGATGGGATGCCCTTGGCCTTGATCAAGCGAATTATGCGCCTAATCACGGTGATGAAACAAGACGGTCATGATATCTACAGGATCTCCATCATGGATAGCGACATCAAGGAGAAGTGGGAGTTTTATCGGAGCGATAATACTTTCCAAGTGGCCATCTGTGCCAAGGATCGATTGAAGAGGGAGCTGTATAACAATGTGGTTTGCTTACCTATTTAGCAGAAGCATTGAGCCATGGATATAATATTCCCCATTATTACTCCAATTCAGGTATTTAGTTATCAAATATGATGGACGAACGCGAACGGTAGATGACGAAAACGATCAAAAATAAATCTGGTAACTATTCTTTGGGTTTCCATAGTCATCCCAGGGTTCTGGTAGTCTGTTTTCTTAGGGTTTTATCTTTCCCCTGGATGGGGATTACATGCTATTCCTGCGCTGGACTAAGGATCAGAGCATACAGACACCTCTCAGGTTTGGTAGTTGTGAACTCCAGATTTAACTATTCTTCTGAGTTGAGAATTCAACCAACTACACGTAGGAGAGCCAGATCGGATAAATTCCCCCCCTTTTTTTTTTTTGTTTGCCAGGTCTCTTGGCAAATCTGCGGGGTAGACCGGTCAGCCAACGCAGTAAGGAGTGGCCGAAACAGGCAACGCGAGAACGAGGATCCGTGCAGCTATTATTTTCATTCCGACCTAGTGATTATTGACAGACCGTCGCGACTCATTCTTATCAATGGCCTGGATGCGCCACTAGTTGCTAGTGTCAATAGCATATTAAAGGCCCGGAAGGTAGCCAAGCTGTTGTGATTTTCATTGCAACTAAGCTGCATCCAACCTCAATCTCCGCTAGTGCACCCCTTCTCAAACACGCGCCCTCGAAATTTGTGTTCTGTCGACCCTTACGAAATGAATGCCTCCGACAACCCAACAGATCCAAAGGATCAGAAGTCGTTCGAGATGAGCGCGCTCGCCACCGACGACGCAGGCACGCAGCGCCTTGGGCTGACCGACACCAAGAACACCCCTGAGGCACAAGAGGACACTGGCCTAGCGGACTTGGACGGCATCAAACGCAATTGGACTCTTCGAGGTTTAATCATTATCTGGGTATCTGCTGCTTTAATGAGTTTTGTCACCAACTTGAACAATACGTCGTCGTCCACTTTCGCGCCGTATGCGGCCAGCAGCTTCAGCTTGGCTCCGCTGGTGGGGACGATTGCTGTGGTGCAGGCAGTGATCGCATCAGGTTTGTCATTTGCCCCATTGATAATAACTACCTAGACTAAGAGAAGTAGTCTCTCTGCAGCCACTCGCGAGGTTTGCCGACGTCTATGGGTACGGGCATTTATTTTGTTACTCTGTGTGGAAAACAAGCACCCTCTAACTCTGAGGCAACAGACGGCCGGAGATGTTCTCGTTTTGCATATTGATGGCAACGCTCGGAGTGATCATGTTATCATCCTCGGCGACTCTTGGAGTCTACGCAGGCGCCCAGGTGTTTTGGGTTATCGGTCTCCAGGGTGGGGTTATATCCATCCTACAGAGAAAAATTTTCAAACTAACTGTCTAGGAATCTCGTTGATGCTTCAAATTCTTGCGGGCGGTACGAGAAGAATCATTATTCCGCGTTGTTTTCCTGCTAAGATATCATAGACTCGAGCGATCTTTACAACCGTGCTCTGATGAACGCAATCCCATACGCTCCATCAATCATCACCACATGGGTAAGTTGGAACAGATCCCATACCACCTTTGTACAAGCTAAGTATTGTAGATTACGGGACCATTTGCATCGTCGGTTCTGAAAATCTCATGGCGGTGGGGATTTGGAATCTTTGCGATTCTGGTTAGTGCTCCAGATACGGAATATCTTGTGTATACCAACTAACTTAGATAGATTCCCATAGTTGGGTCTCCATTATTGGCATCTCTTTACTACAACAAACGAAAGGCGACTAAGCAAAGAAAGGCTGAAGGGACTTACAAGCGTTCGAATCACCTTAGGAATATCGTACGACTAGACCCGGTGGGTCTGATTCTGTTTGCCGCCGGACTCTCCCTGATACTCGTGCCTATTACGCTTGCGGCGTCTTCATCGAGTACCTGGAAAACCACCCATATCATTGTTATGCTAGTGATAGGCGCCGTTAGTCTCGTTGCCTTTGTCGTGTGGGAGATTATGTGGGCGCCATGGCCTATCTTATCCATGAGATTGTTCAAAAGCCGGACAGTCATATTTGGCCTAGCAGGTAAGCTCACAATTATAGTAAAGCCTGCTTATGCTAAACGGGACAGCGTCGTTGATCGACTACACCGCCCTCTATCTTCTCCAAGACTATCTCACAATATATGAACTAGTCGCCGCCGGCTTATCTGTTAAGGCGGCTACAAACGTCGCCGTCCTCGTTCCCTTTGCCGGAGTGCCCGGTCAGTTTGCAGCGGCCTTCCTGGTTAAGTATACGAAGCGATATAAATGGATTACGGTTTCTGGATACGCACTCAACTTGCTCGGACTCGGATTGGCATATAAGTACATCAACGGACACTACCATATGGGTGCGCTGGTTGTCGCCCAATTGATACTGGGATTCGGCCAAGGGGTGATCAACACTATGCAGCTTGGAATGCAAGCTTCAGTGGGCCAGAAAGGTAAGATCCCTGTTCCCAGAATCGAGCTCACTGGTCAAGTGCTTATTCTTGCAGACATGGCCGCGGTTACTGCTTTGTACACTGCGGCGCTCGGGGTGGGTAGTGCCATTGGCGGAGCAGTATCCGGTGGAGTGTGGACTGGTATGTGATATGCCAAATGATCTTTGTCTTAGGCTAACACTGACTTCTCTCCAGCTGTCCTTCCTCGAAGGCTTGGCGAATATCTTCCCAAAGATGCTCTTAGCAAACTCCCGGAAATCGAAGGAGATATTAACCTTGATATGGAATATCCCTGGGGCTCCCCCATCCGTGATGCTATCGGAAAGTCATACACGAGCACATTCCGCCTCATGTTGCTAATCGCACTCATCCTCGAGGCCTTTGCAATTGCATTTGCTGTCTTCATTGAAGATCTCAGTATCAAGGAGGTCGACGATGCCAGAGAGTACAAGGGAATTGTAATCGGAAAGGCCGGTGCGGTGGATGCCTTGAAAGGCAAAGTTCACGCTGGAGAGGATGGAGATCATCGTGCCTCAGTGGCTCCTATGAAAGAAACCACCGAAGTATAACTGTGTGGCTGAATTTGTGATGGTGTTATTCTAAGCACCAGATCAGGGATTCGGTTAATAATAATGGGTTACACTACATCCACTAAGTAAACCAAAGACGACAAAAGCGGACTTACATCTTTTCTAAGCCTTGCCATGCCGATTTGACCCTGGTCCAATTGCCACAGTTATCGCTAGCTGTAGATGCGATGGTTATCGACTTGAGTTAGTTTGATGTTGCCACGTTCATTAGTGTCAACATTCAAATACAATTCATCTTAGATAGAAAGAATGGCAAATATTAAAAAGTTGAGAATCGACTTCGATAGGATCCGACTAACTGTTTTGGAAGTCAACCAGCGTATAATTCGATATCGCTTGGGAGCCCTTTAATGCGGTGGATCCCATTCATAAGATCCGTGGAAGAAAAGCCAAACCCCAATGTATGATTCGATGTCGCTTGCGAATTCCCTAATCTGGATCCACTGAGTCAGTAGATTTTCAGGGAGATTCGCGAAATGACAAAGAGAAAGCAGAAGAAACAGGCGAAAAGTTAAAGATTATTTCAAGATCACCTGCTCTAATGTTCTGAGCCGGCCGAGTGCAACGAGCTATACTAGGTAGGGTAGAGCGAGGCCGAGCCAGGACGATTGCTTGCACCGGCGGTAACCGATTATACTAGTACATTACTAATGCAATAAGAATAGCCGGTCATGACTGATCTCCTGGTGCCTTTTTAGGTGTCCATGCCAACATCGCAAACTTATCTACTAAACCAGCAACATCATGTCTGCGCAAATAACACCTTACGGGAAATGGGCCAGCCCTATCACTGCCGAACACCTCTCTGGAGGCAGTATCAATCTTGAAGGAGTCGAGGCCAATGTAGGTTCCTATTCACATTTAAATTTGCCATTCGGCTAACAGGAAAGCCATCCACTGGACAAATTTGGGCGCTTGAATCTCGTCCTGCGGATGGAGGCAGATCTGTTATTGTTGAGGTACTCGCTTCGGCAAGCAGAGATGTCCTGCCTGCGGGGTACAGCGCAAAGAGCTCGATTCATGAATATGGCGGTGGCGCTTTTGCGATACACCCGAACGGCAAATTGATCTTTACCAATCATCCAACAAATGGTGTGTTCTTGCTTGATCCGCAATCTGGGACAGTTGAGACGATTGTAACTCCCCACGAGTCTGTACGTTTCGGCAATTTCGACGTCTATCCTCCCACGCAAGGATGGATTCTTGCTGTCCAGGAGACGCATAGCAAGGATTCGCTGTTAAGGCCGGTCGTTACGAATACCATTGTTGCTATCCACACAGCCACGGGCGATGTATGTACTGTTGTCCAGGGTGCTGATTTCTATCAACACCCCCAATTCAGTCCGGACGGAACGCAAGTCTGCTGGATTCAGTGGGATCACCCTGACATGCCGTGGACAGGCTCAGTTCTCCATGTAGCCACATGGGAAGCGGGAAAGTTAGTGAATGACACTGTCATATCTGGCCAAGCAGGCGTCGAGAGTATCTGTCAGCCTCGATGGGGCACAGACGGTACTCTGTTCTTCGTCAGCGACAAGACAGGTTACTGGCAGCTATACCGGTTCAACGGCGGTGAAGCACAATTGATTAACCTGAAAGGGCTCGAGTCGGCCGAATTTGGGAGCAGAGAACCGTGCTTGGGCAAGTATGTTCGATTCTAACAGAAGAACGCTACATAGAATGAATGCTTAACTGACAAATGGTTTTAGCTGCACTTATGTTCTGTTGGATAAGAGCACTATTGTTGCATCCGCCACCCAGAATGCGACCTCCAATCTTGTCATGATTGATCTGGAGACCAATTCGTGGAAGGATCTATCCCTGGACCTCGTCGATATCCAGAGAAACGCTTTAGCCCGTGTCTCATCTACAGCGTTTGCTGTCATTGGAAGCACTCGGACAGCTCCTCAAGCTCTCTACCGCGTCGATATCGGTGACAGTATCTCGATCAGTCTGATTCGAGCCACTGTCGAGCAATCGATATCAAGCGCTCTGATTTCTCAGACACACCATATCACGTTCCCTCGAACATACAGCGGAGGTTCTGGCAACGCCCACGCCATGTTCGCGGCACCCAAGAATCCAGCCTTTGAAGCGCCCGCAGGGACACTGCCTCCCTTACTAGTCTGGATGCATGGTGGTCCAACCAGCCACGTTACTCCTGCGCTCGCTCTTAAAACCCAGTATTGGACGTCTCGGGGGTATGCGTATGTGTTGGTTAACCACGTCGGTTCCACAGGCTACGGAAGAGCCTACCGCGAGCTTCTTGACGGCGGATGGGGTGAGGCCGATATTGCCGATGCGGCCAGCTGCGTTGCGTATCTCGCCGAGGAGAAGCTTATCGATGTAAACAGAGTTGGTATCGTGGGGGAGAGTGCCGGTGGTTACGCCGTCCTGCAGGCACTCTATACGCATCCCGATGTTTGGACTGCCGGCATCAGCCTCTATGGGATCAGCAGTCTGCAGGGTTTTGCAGAGATCACGCACAAATTCGAAAGTCAATACATTCTCGGGCTCGTATTAGGCAAAGGCGAGTGGACTAAGGAAGCACGAGAAGAGCTCTATAGAAGACGGAGTGCTCTTTATCATGCGGAGAAGATTCAGGCACCCTTGTTGCTTCTTCAAGGAGACGTCGACACGATTGTGCCGGTGTCCCAAGCGACACAAATGGAGGAGGCAATGAAGAAAGTTGGAAAGACGGCTGAAGTGGTGATATTCAAAGGGGAGGGGCATGGCTGGCATAAAGAAGAGACAATCCGGGCTTCAATGGAGTTGCAGACTGAGTTTTGGAACAAAACTCTACTTTAATTACCCAAATATAGAATAATCTTCTGCATTAAGGCCGAATGAATAGTTACTTGGAAAGACTCTACGTACGTGTCTTCTAAATTAATTGCAATAACATACAGGGACGCTTGATCCATAAGTATGCAATTCAACAAGAATGCAAAACTAAATCAGCAATAAAAGAGAACAACAGCAGTAAGTAGATGTGGAAAGGCATTAAAAAAAAAAAGAGGAAAAGAATACATGCAACAGTCAGGATTCGCTGGTGGTCACCCACCCAACTACTAACTGACCGGCGTGTGGCTTAAGTACGGCTGAGCGGACGGGAAGCCCTGTTCTCCACACCCTGTGGTCGCATGTACTCAGAATGTTATTGAAGGTCATGATATGTACAAAAAGAGTCTTATAGAATTGAAAATCTGAGCTCTACTAGCGGCCTTGGTAGTTCATTGGCCAATAGTGTTGCTCCATCGCTCTTTCTCACCCAAAGCGTCTAGCGCGGAGTCTCACCCTCTGTGTCGGTATTCTTCTCCCCCTTCCGAACATTATCATTGTGATTTTAATTATGGCTGACTATGCGCTGGATTTGCGCTAGAACGGCGGGTCGGAAGGATAAAGGCCATGGATTGCATCCAAATAAAGCTTCTCCCACAAATTCCTTTGAACCATTGTATACGCCATGGCAGCAATCACTGGCAAATCCGCAGAGCTGATGGTAGAACCGGACGCGCTTAAGTCGCCTGAAATGCAGACAGGCGATCACAAGACTCCCCGAAACAACAAAGTGTCTCCACTCAACGAGGATTTTGCCCAGTTGGTGCAAAGTACACTGGACAAGTGGCATATCCAAGGCGTCGCCATTGCCGTCGTTGATGGCGATGAAACATGGTCTGAAGTGCGTCGTCAACACTCTTCTTCCAGAAGCTGTCGATACTGACCAATAAGGGATACGGAATTGCTGATTTGCCGGACACCCCAGTCCGACCTTCGACGCTGTTTTACACGGGCAGCACAACTAAATCATTCACTGCTTCCGCGGCCTCGTTATTAGTCGACGATGACGAGAAATATCCTCACATTAAATGGACGACGCCGCTCAGCGAACTCATCCGTGACGACTTTGTCCTCCAAGACGCGTACGCGACGTCGCATGTTACATTGGAGGACGCACTTTCTAATCGAACAGGCTTGCCCGGGCATATGCTGACATTGGGTCGCGAGGGGACGGTACGCGACGTTGTCCGCAACCTGCGCCATCTGCCGATGGACAAGGAGATTCGAACAAAGTGGCAATACTGCAATGCCATGTTTATCACTGTCGCGCATATGATCGAAGTGGTCACTGGGGAATGGCTGGGCGACTTTCTTCGCAAACACATCTGGCAGCCCTTGGAGATGAATTCGACATTCTTCTCGCTCGAGGATGCACTGCAGTACGTTGCCTTGAATGATGAGGCCACCCTGGCCAAAGCCTATGATTGGGACGAGGCTTCCTCTGAACCCCGGGAGGTTCCCTATTGCGAAGGGACCCTGAGCGGTGCCGGGGCGACTATTTCGACCGTCCTCGATTACGCCAAGTATATCCGCTCAATGATCCGGCAATCTGGTCCGCTATCGAAAGCAGGCTATGCGGCATTGCTTGAGCCCCGTTCTTTTATGCCGAAGATACTCCCGCAGTTCAAGAGACAGATGTTATACACCCTTGGGTTGATGTCGACGACTTATCGTGGCGAATCCGTCATTCTGCACCCCGGTGGCCTTGATGGTATGACGAGTACGATGATCTACTTTCCCGAGCGAGACTGGGGCATCGCAGTGTTCTGCAATGCTGCTGGGCCAGGACGTGAAGTGCTAGCATGGCATCTGATAGATGATCTACTCAACGTCCCAAAAGACGAGCGTGTTGATCTCTTTGATCTGTAATTTCTTTTCCCCGTCGTACCCTTGCCGCACCTTTATCATCAGTACTGATATTCTTTTCAGGACCCAAAAGAAACTTGCCCAAGTCAAAGAGATGCGATCGACCGCTCGGGAACGCCTGTATCCCTCGGTCCCTTTGCCTGGCCGTCCGCACTCACTGTCTTTGCTAGACTACGTGGGCACATATAAGCACCCTGCCTACCCAGATTTGACCATTAGTCTGACACCGGACGACCAGTCAAGCTTCCACATCGCCATGGCGGGAAGCTTGAATTTTCAAATGCACTTGAAGCACGTGTCTGGAGAATTCTTCCTAGCGGAGGTTTTCGAGTGCCTGTGGAGTGTAGATCCGTCGGCCGTAATCAAGGCTGAATTCCACATTAATCCCGAAGGCAAAGCGGCCAGATTTGGGGCTACTCTTGATTACGCTGATATGCCCGACACCTTGATTTGGTTTGATCGTTTTGACAAGGGATAGTATCTGCTATGTATTCGGTGGCAATCTGTAACTTCTAGGCTCATTTCTGGGTATGAATAGATTCGATCTATTGCCGTCTCTAAGCTTTCCTGTATCCCATTGGTAATTGACACACGACCACCATGAACTCGTACTATTGGTCAATCTTAGAGATAAGTCTCGGTTTGTACATAGGAGAATCTTTTGCCCCCTAACAGGCATAATACTGGCATGAATAGAGAATTAAGCAACAGACAGATACTATAGAAAGGAATTACTTGCAAAATAAAGGAGTACGAGAAATTGCTCAGACATGTCCAAAATATCAAGAAATGTTTACCTGCCACGTTGATCAAATTCAGCCAGATTTGGTGGCTGAGGATTGGGCTGGTCTGACGGCAACCAACTCGGGTAGCCAATGAATAGGTCTGTAGGACAGCTCAGCAGGCCTTTGATCGTGAATGTATCCCGGACAAGCACATTGCATGAGTCTCAGTGAGGCTATAAAATAAGGCCGTAAGGCAACAAAATAGGCACGCGATCGTCCTCGGGCCTCCCGGTGCCTGAAAGCGCCGAAGGTACGCCGGAGGTCCGATGGTGGCTTAGTTGTGAGTTATCGTGACCCAATCATCTAACTTGACTTCGAGCCCTTGAACTTGGCAAGGGGTTTCCTTCATTAATAATGCTCTTGCCCTTAACACTATATAAGTGCCAACAGGAACCAACAGAAGGAAGTTGGAATCTCTATCTATCGAATTCATCTTTTTGCACGAACAGCTTCGCAACTGAAATAGATCTGTGATCAAACTCCCTGTTTCTTAATTTATTCATTTTGTGTTTATCTTTCTCTTTCTCTCTTTTCATCGCCTTTTTCCCCCAGGGGCTTTCTAGCATCCAATCGTTGTAATGGTCTCAACAAAGAACATCGTGGTTTTGGGAGGCTCCTACGGCGGTGTTTCCTCCGCTCACTACATCCTGAAACATATTCTGCCAGCTCTCCCTACTATGAGTCCATTCAAAGTCATTCTCATCAGCACCTCTTCGGAGATTCTTTGTCGCCCGGCTTGTCCTCGTGCCATGATATCAGACGAGCTGCTTCCCCAGGCAAAGCTGTTTGTTTCTATCCCGGAAGCTTTTGCGCAGTATCCTGTCCAATCCTTTTCCTTTGAGCAAGGGACAGCAGCCAGGCTAGATCACTCCAACCGGACCATTTCAGTAAAGTCTTCTGATGGCCAAACGGAAAAGACGATAGATTTTTTTGCGCTCGTGATTGCCACTGGTGCATCAACGCCATCGCCTCTCCTTGGTCTTAACCATGACTCAGAATTCCTCCGAAAAGAATGGGCTGCGTTTCGTGAGGCATTAGCGACGGCTAAGAGTGTTGTCATTGCGGGCGGCGGTCCCGCCGGAGTCGAAACTGCCGGCGAACTGGGCGAGTACTTGAACGGTCAGGCAGGCTGGTTCAGTCACAAATTGGAGAATCCCAGAGTACACATCACGGTTGTTACCTCGGGTTCGCAGATTCTCCCTCTCCTCCGGCCCAGTATCGCTCAGAAGGCGGAGAACTATCTTGCTCGCGTTGGAGTGACTGTCATCAAAAACACGAAGGTCACGGATGTCGCGCCAAGGGATGCTGGGACGGCAAATGCTCTGACGACGAACGCGACGGTAACCCTTGCGGATGGGAAGCCCATAAAGGCTGATATTTACATTCCTGCGACGGGAACAACGCCCAACACAGCGTTTGTCGACCAGTCGCTGCTAGAGGCTGACGGACGCGTGCAGACCAACATCTCAACCTTACGTGTCGAGAAAGCTGGCCCACGCGTCTACGCAATTGGCGATGCATCCTCGTATGCACGACCCGCTGTTCATAATATCATGAGCGCTGTACCAGTGCTCTGTGCAAACATCAGGCGGGATTTACTGCTTGATGCCAAAGTGGCAGAAACTTCCGTGGCAGTGGATCGAATCTTCCAGGAAGACACACGAGAGACGCAGTTGGTGCCGATTGGCACAAGTAAAGGTGTGGGAGTAGCCATGGGTTATCAAATACCTAGTTTCCTAGTGCGGCTGATCAAAGGTCGGGACTATTGGTTGTGGACGACAGGAAAATTATGGAATGGGAACCAGTGGGCAAAAGAGACATGAACCAGTCACGGAAAGGCGCAGACGACGAATGTAATTTGTAGTTGAGAGTAGGAGTCCTAGCAAAACCTAAGCGAAAACTAGGCTGTCATACCGTAAAAGGATATAGAATCAAAAGTCACGTCTGTAATCAGTTATCCTGACTTTATTCATCATCCTCAATAGCATTTCTTATTTTGTACTTGTCATTATTAGTTAGTTCCGCCCCCTAAATTGTTGGGAATTCCCCGATTTGTTCATTCGTGATTTCACTTCCATGTTGGAACTTCATGCTACATTTGAATGATACAAATCTAGTCACTAACCACGCCTCAAATTGCTGACGTAGCTAGACATACATAGCCAACGCACCATCAAAAACTTCCGCAGCAATTCAGAGCCATTCGGAAATATTTAGGTCCCAGAATCAGTTCGTTCCGAGTAAAAGTCACCAATGCTAGAAGCTCTCTGTGAAGGTTGAAGGTTTGCTTGAAAGCTCAGCCTCTGAAATGCTTGTCACTCCCCTGGAGGCATCTTTACATTGATTCAGGAACCTGATATTGAAGTCCAAAACACCGGCAACCTGTGTACCCCAAGTACCCATATCCTGAAGATTACAGCTCAAAAATGCTCTAAGACTCCTGCAAAATTTGATATCCAGTTATCCTGGCAGATATCGTCTAAGCAAACCGGCTTCACGTCCTTCACAATAGCCATCCATTCATCTTTGCCAACGGCATTCCACAAAGGACAGCTGTCTGGCGGGGGAAATTGAAGTTCAAGTGCGGTTAGCGCGTAACTAACTGCATTAGCATTACCCTGGCTTCCGTCTCTTATACTAGACCTGCTTGCTTTCCCACAAACCTTGTACAAGGCTATATTAAATCGTTTGATTTCCTCAATGCCCACCCAGACAAATGAAGCCAGGTCATCTTCTTTATATCTGGCGAGGATGTTTGGATAATAGAACATACCCAGCCTTCGACAACTTCGGACAAGTGCTTCGAGTAATCCGAGATCAGCAGGAGAAAGGGAGATTTTTAGATCGATATCGATACCACCCCTGCTGCTGAGGACAAAAGAGAAGATAATATGCAAGAGGATAGCCTGGTATGTAGCTATTGGCCAGACACAGGTGCTGCAAGCTTCGACTACTTCTGAGGCATCCCATTTCTCCTGTTGACTGTAGTCAGTAAACCGGCATATTGTAGGCAAATGTTCGCACGTCGAACCTTTTGATCTCGAATAGCTGAGTTTAGATTACTATGAAGCTCCACTGCTGCCGACTGCGCGGGCTGTCCTCCACTAGCCCACAGGCCTATTGCAACCATCGATTGAACCAGTAAGGGCGTTTCACGGCGCATGTCGAATCCTCCTTTGTGGACAAATGACCAACAGGGGTGGAATGTCTCAAAATAAAGATTGATGCACTGCTCCGTTTTCTCCATATGCTGGAACCGTGTTTGGGCATGTTCCATGCTTGATGCGCGGGGCGTTCGAGATCCGGGAACTTGATTATCTGCTGTACCGGTACGGCCGTTGAAGGAGCACTGAATCTTGCGACGTAGACACCTGTCACATGGTACACCTCCTTCGCACCGAGACTTCCCTGCATGGCAGCTCTCGCAGGCTCGCTGTGCACGCTTGAGAGGCACAATCAAGCTGTGATGCTGACGGACATGACGTCGAAGTGTGTCGCTGATTTCAGATCCTTTAGTCAGAGTGGGTGTTTGCAAGAATGAGTATAATAAGAACCTGGGTACCTTCGTCCGAACTCACGGCCACAGTTAGAACACGAAAAATCCTGCTGCTGAAAGTGCTTTGCTTCATGGCGGTGCAAGTGCTCCTTGCGCCGGTAGTTGGCGTTGCAGCCAGGAAAGTAACATCTGAACGAGTGGCAACTGCGCACAGCCGGAGGGTTCTGAGGGTGGTCTGTTTCATTTCCTAGGCGCATCTTAAGATCGTAAAAACTGGCACTGACAATCTCATCGATGGAGATGGCTCTTCGGCTACATGGAGGTGGTGGATGACGTGTGGAGCTTCCCGCTATTGGTTACTTGTAAAACCATTTTATTAAGCTGTCCGCCGGCCTCCCACCGGCTCCCACCGGCATCCCACTGGTTCCCCACTGGTCTCCCACTTGCCTCCTGTCGGCCGGGCGATGTACGCGCATGGTACAACCAGACTTTACTACAATCCTGGTTCTTTGACTTCTACACCCTCTTTACTAATGATTTTGAATCGCGTCACCAATTAATAATCCTCTGCTATCTCTTCCCCGAGCTCCACAGGGACTGCAAATTCGCGAAATACTAGGCAGGTAACGGGTATATATAAGTTCACATGAAGTAACCCGATTGACAAAGTTACAACACAGTTTCTTTATTTGAATGATATCTTCGTACACTTCACAACCATGACACCTACTCTCCTCATCGTCGGTGCCACAGGTAACACTGGCCGGAGTGTTGCAGAAACCCTCCCGAAGTTGCTTCAATCAAACAACGTTCTGCCTGAGCACCGCATTATTGCTCTTACTCGTTCCTCGGAGAGCCCAGTGGCACAAAATCTTGCCAAACTTCCGGGAGTTGAAGTGATAGAGCAGAACTGGGTTGAAATCAACTCTGACTGGCTCCGTGAGCATCAAGTAACCAGAGTGTTCATCGCATCACACAACGAACCGAATCAATTCGCTGAAGAGTCTACATTCCACGTTGCGGCGCTCAACGCCGGTGTCAAATATGTTGTGCGAATTTCAACAACTGCTGCGAATGTCCGTCCGGATTGTAACGCTTATTATCCTCGTCAACATTGGGCGATCGAGGCTCTCCTGGACTCGCCCGAATTCGCCAACTTGCAGTGGACTTCACTTCAACCCAACGTCTTTTCGCCTTTCTACCTTTCAACCGCCGCGGAATTTGTCAAACAGTACCGTAAAACTGGAAAGCAGGGAACACTTCAAATGATGGCGTCGAAGGATGCACCTGTCGGCATTATCGACCCTGATGACGTTGGAGTCTTTGCCGCTCATCTCTTGTCTCAAAAAGACACCACCGCACACAACAAGGCCAGATATGTCCTTAATGGGCCAGAGGATATTACTGGGAAGCAGATTGTGGACATGGTCGAGCAGCACATTGGCACGCAGGTTGAGGAAGTCAGCTATAAAGACATGTCATTCGTCGACTTGCTCTATGAGCACATTCACGCACCCAAAAATCAGTCAAAGAACGTTATCCTTTCGATTAAGCACGCCGCAGAGACGGCATGGGAAGGAGAATGCTCAGCTTCCACAACCAGCCGAAATGTACTAGAGCTCGCCCCGCCCAAGCGTACACCTGCTGAGGTGCTGGCGGCCCTTTTGAAAGACTAAGGGACTAAATGAACGGTGCATGTGTGGTTTCAAAGTGTCAAATCAACTGCTCCTCCATTTATCCTAGAGCTTAAACTAAGGTGGCATAGCAAACATAAGTAATCAATGAAACATTGAACGTCCCGCAGTGAGATGACTGGATGTGGAAAAACTAAAATCAAGTGCAAAGGGGACTGCGTATCCCATTTCTGTGGCAGCAGAGATAATTTGCTACATTTACCACCCCCCGCTTCCAGTGGGCGAGTGGCACCGACGGCAAGGATCTTGGGAGCCACTACCTAGGTAGTTTTGAGAGTTGCAGCAGACGATATCAGTGCCAGTCACTGTAGAGGTGACAGTGTCTGTAACAGTTGCAGTGTTGAAATTAGTGATTGTCTTTGTTTTGATAATAGTATCCGTAGCAGTGATGCTGTCGGTAGAGGTGATCGTTTTCGTAGCAGTTATGGTAGTAGTTGATGTACACCAGGAGTTCTTTGTCGGAACGCAAACGCAGGAGCTGCCACTTTTATATATTAGCCATTCCCACTGGATCTGATACATTGAGCGATTGGAGACTTACGGCATGTTTTGGCTAAGATCGCTTTTTTTGAACGAACTACTCATGCCGCCATTTTTTTCACACTACCGAAGGTGGATTAGTCCATGCGTCAGAGTAGTCGCTTTATGAGGTGTGTTCTCACGTAGCGCTCGCAAGCCACTTCATCAGAATCTCGGTCGAATAGACCGGATGTTCCAGGAAGCGCAGCGACATAGGCACAGATAGTCAAGAAAGTAAAAAGACGGAAGTTCATTTTGAGAGAGATCTTGTTGACGGATATACCTGCGAGAAAGACTGCGTTTTAGAAAAGTATACAAGAGTGTTTGGCACGATGAAGATACTTTTTGTAGGACACAATGGGGGATTATATAGTTGTTTCTGGCAGATACTTCAGTAACCAGATATCCAATAATAATGGTTTGCTAGTCGGATAATGTAACCCTACTTGAATAACGAGACCCTGTGTTCTTGTTTTATCCACCGTTATTCATGGTAAGGAATATTGTGTTAGACCGCTATTGGCGGACACTATTTCCAGCAGTCAGAAGCTACACTCATAACTCCTTACCTTGAATAGACGCAAATTCTTTGCAAAATACTCAGTCATTCAGTATCTATGAACGACGTTGGAATGCAGATTGTTCATATATTTGCTGAATGGCAGCAAGTGGCATTATATGTGTGACCTGGTACAGTAGTATCCAAAATATTTGGGCTTGGCAAAGCTATTTGTGGTAGGTAACGGTAGAATGTTGGGGAATGTGACAATATAATTTTTACAAGACATAGCTACTTCAATTCGTAAGATTTATCTGCTGAATTTAATGCCTAAATGCGCTAACTTGTGATCTCTTATCGCTTATCCAAGTTCGCATGAACTTGAAAGAGATTTCTACGGTAGATATTAAGAACCTGCGCATACCAACTGTTGGATACCTTACAAGGGGCCTCCGAAACGCCAAAAAAAGAAAAGCTTCGAGGTGATAAGTATTGTTCCCCTCTCGCCTTGGTCGAGTATTTTACTACCCGTAGAATACCCAATGTACCATACATTCAAGTGTTCATCTGCGAACAAGAGCGGGTATATATATACACAAGCTCGGCATAAGTGTGTGGAGTCAGGGGCGGAAGAGAGCCAATTAAAATATACATAGTTACTTATGTAACATCTTTCTCCTCTCTTCGGCTATTTGGACTGTTTCAAAACAGGGCCCGAAGACTGACCTGTGTGAGTAAAGTGGTGAAACTGGTTTCAATCCATCCCCTTCTACCTACCCATTCATGTTGAACGACAGGCTTGATTACTAATCTATATTCGAGGAGCGACAATATTGTCCTTTGTAATCCCCAAGTAAGGAAGTTAGCCAAGCGGTCGAGTCCGAGGCACTGGTCAAAGTCTGCACGGGGATCTGAGGCTGAGGCTAAGAGAGGTGGCTGCGGTAGGAATCTAAGGCTGACTCTGCCGATACATGATTTTGACGAAGGTTGACTAGAAAGGGAGCAGTAATGTAGAGGAAGAACTTTATTCATATAACGCAGATATGTCAAATGAACACATGAGGGCTTTTGTAGTCGGTGTATGTCAAAAGACAAGTGATTTGGAGGAATCGACATCATGAATGAGATTTTACCCCTATCGCATCTCAAACTGTCTGTGCCAAAATTGGTGGATACTGGCAGGGATTATGGGCATGTCCGCACAGAGTCGAGTGAATCTATGCTCTAATGATGCATCAAGTCCCAAGCCGTCCCTTGAATATGGATCGATCGCCAATGCCGGACAGCATTCCCGTATAGCGGCTGTAAAGCAAGATATATCGGGCAAATGAATGAATGATTGGCTGATTGATTGAACCGACATCCGCAAGCAGGGAAATTATTCATTCGGATTATCTGAGGCTATTAAATGTACTGATGAAGCCCTTGTCAGTCTTAATTGATCGCGGCTGGTACTCAGGGTGACTGCCATATTGAGTTTGTGGCGGTTGTGGCGTTGGCTTCAGCGGAGAATATAAATGCCTCGTACAACATGAAAGACTTTGTGACTGCTCATCACTCCTGGAAACCCTAGGATAGCAACAACTCTTCCATTTCCTAAATATTATATCTGTGAATCTTTCAATCATATTACTTGCAAGCAGTTGATTTTAGCACGAATCATGTGAGTTGTCGATAGTGTTGCGTAAAGAAACCACCTAAAACGAATAAAAAGGCGGCTTGCTCGAGGCTAAGCGATTCCACCCTGGAGCCATGTCAGCCAACAAGAATCCAATAGTGGCTGAGGTATTTTCTATATCCTATTATCTTGAAATTTCTTATCTCAAACTAGACAATATGCTCTCCCGCGTGCACCTTTATTAGCAATGGAAAAGATCTTGTCCAATTAGAATTATGATCCTAGATAAGCAAGATACGAACAAATTCGACGAGATGTTAAGCCTTGGGTCTACAAATATCCGAACTGGCCTGAACGTAGAAGAGATTTTGTCGACGTTTTTCAATAGAATACTTTTCATACTTCTACCAAAAAAAGTTTCTTTAGCAATTTGCTTGATATTATGGATACGGAACAGGAAGACGACATCGCCAAAGATGTCTATACAAGCTCTACTGGTGGTGGAGTTTATTCGTCCCGCTTGATGCATGCTCTCAGTTCTTCACAGCAGGGCCGAAATCTGCCTTCCAAGGTGGCTGATATCGAGATGACTTCTGTTTCTGAACAGACGGAGGTAGATGAGAGGGACTTTCGCAAGAAGCAGGTCTTTAGTGGCTGGACATTGGCATGGTATGTATCTAACATTCTCAGTCAAGGCAACCAGCGGCTCACACCACAAAATAACTATAGGCTTTCCTATCAATCTCTTGGTGTCATCTATGGTGATATTGGCACAAGCCCTCTCTATGTGTTCTCCTCGACCTTCTCAAACGAACCAAGTCGAGAGGACATTCTCGGAGCCGTTTCACTTATTATTTGGGCACTCACTATCATGGTGACTATCAAATATGTCTGCATTGTACTCAATGCTGATGACGAGGGTGAGGGAGGTACTTTCGCTGTGTATTCTCTGCTTTCCAGATATGTGCGTAGGCTTTACATACACCCTCCCCTCTATTACGCAGTTGATTCGAATTTACTGACAAATCCTAGGCTAGAATTGTCCGGTTTGACCCTCGACATGCAAATTTGGTGCCAATGCGGAGATTCAACACGAATGACCTCCAAAAGCCAAACAGAGCGACGCGCAATATCATGGAACGAAGCAGGTTTCTGAAATGGATGCTCAAGACAGTCGGAGCATTTGGAGTATCGCTACTCCTTGCTGGTTGGTGTCTTGACCATTAGCCTTTAGCATTTACTGACTTAATAAGATGGCATTCTCACTCCAGCCCAGTCAATTCTTGGGGCGATTCAAGGGTAAGTAAGTGAGGAGACAAATTCCAGAACACTTTACTTTTCCCACGATCAGCTCACAAACTCTAGTATTACTGTTATCAATCCTGATATCTCCTCGTCGACGGTTGTTGGAGTTTCCTGCGCAATCTTGGTTGTAACTTTTCTCATTCAACCCTTTGGCACCAGTAAGATCGCGAGTGCATTTGCCCCAATTGTGATCGTCTGGTTGCTCTTTAATTTGACATTTGGGATTTACGTATGTCTAAATACCAAGTATTATCTTTGCATGCTGTTTCTCTAACTTCGTCATTTTCTTTTCAGAATCTGGTCAAGTATGACGCATTAATCCTGAAGGCTTTCTCTCCGTATTTTGCAGGTTCCTTTTTGGTGCGGAATGGGAGAAACGGATGGTTAAGCCTCGGAGGCATCTTGCTCGCTTTCACGGGCGTTGAAACTCTCTTCGCAGATCTTGGAGCGTTCAGCCAGAGGTAAGCCAGTGGATTGCAGAAAAAAAAATGATGTACTTACCAGATTCACAGAGCAATCCAGATCTCGTGGCTGTTTTTCGTCTACCCATGCCTTCTTGTTTCTGTAAGACCATAAAACTCTGCCTGATAAAGACAACAAGATGCAAGGCTAATATGCATCTTAAAACAGTACATTGGACAAGGGGCTCACATAAGCGTTGTGCCCAGTGCATATGCCAATCCATTCTTCTTCACTGTCCCTCCTGGCATGTTGTACCCCAGCCTTGTAGTGGCAATTTTGGCATGTATTGTCGCAAGCCAAGCTGTGATCACTGGTTCATTCCAGGTACACGAGGTTTTCCACCAGTTTCTTCTGAATTTCGCTGACCTTGGTCCAGCTTCTGTCCCAACTTATGAAATTGTCTTATTTACCCCAGATCAAAATATACCATGTGTCCAAAGTCTTTCACGGACAAGTATATATTCCTCTTGCCAATTGGTTCATGATGATTGGAACAATCATTGTGACGGCTGTATACAATAATGTGCGTCTTAGCAGCCAAGTTGACATTTCTCCGTTAATTGTGACATAGACAACTGCCCTTGGCGAGGCTTATGGAACATGTGTCATTCTTGTCTCTTTCCTTACCACTTGCATGGTTACAGTGGTGGCTCTTATTGTCTGGAGACTGCCAGCATATTTAGTTCTTCCTGTTTTCGTCATAGTTGCTCTCTGGGATGGCATGTTCCTCTCTGCCGCTCTGATCAAGGTTCCTCATGGTGCTTGGTTTACGCTTATGGTGGCTATTGCCCTCACCTGCATATTCAACCTTTGGCGCTATGGGAAAGAAGAGCAGTGGACTGCAGAGGAATCGGACAACGTTCCTCTTTCGAAAACTACTATTCTGCAAAACAACAGCCTTTGCTTGCAGGATGCCTTCGGTGGTTCGATCATTGCTCCAGTCAAAGGTGTGGGGATTTTCTTCGACAAGGCAGGAAGTTCGGTCCATACGCCAACAGTCTTCCTCCATTTTCTTCAGAAATTTAGTGCCGCGCCTGAGATAACCGTGTTTCTTCATCTACGACTTTTATCAGTTCCCTCGGTCGCACCAAATGAGAGATACACTATTAATCGCTGTTTCACCGGACCTGGGAAACAGGTGATTCGGAATTGTTTCCGATTAATAGTGAGGCACGGATATACGGACGAGATCGTCACGGCGGATCTTGGTAACTTGGTTTTTGATTTGATTCGCAGTTACCTGGAAGGTCAGGCCGGTTCTAATGTGCCAAGCGATGAGCCAGAAGAAATGACCGCATTATTCCATGCATGGAGGACCCAGACAATATACATTGTAGGAAAGGAGCAGCTAAAAGTTCTGCCCACAGCCAACATTCTTCGTCGAATCATTCTCTGGGTATTTTTGTGGATGCGGGACTCAAGCAGAACAAAGATCCAGCATCTGAACGTTGAGAGTGATCGACTTGTCGAAATTGGGTTTGTCAAGACTATGTGAAACATAGGCTCTGAAGAAAGGCAGTATATATATATATATACCGTGTTGGCGGAAGCAGCAAGAAGATCCCTTTTTTTACGGGTAAATAGAGCTTTTTTCTGATGGAGCCAAGATACTTTCATCCATTCCAACTTTCGGTAATTTTCCCACCATGAAGCCTTTTTTTTTTTTTTTTTTTTTTTTTTGCAATTTTCTAGTGTCAGAGAGTTAATTCAGGGTCCCTCTATACACACAAAACTTTTTTCTATTCGCAAGTCTTTAACATGTCAAGGATCAGAATCAAGGATAACTAGTTAACTAGCGCTTAGCTTGCTGAGTAAATCTAAAATTAACTCTGCGGCGGCCAGGGTGGGGTTGGCTCCGTGTGATGAGGAGACCCCAGGTCTGTCTTATTTGAGCATCTTCTTCTGTCGTATTGCTCTGCGAAGCAACTATTAAAACCAGCTACTTGTGCTTTAATTACCCTCATCGCATTATTTTCTTCAACAATCTTCTTTCTCCCCTACTTCCCTGCCGCTTGAGTTACCGCACCCAGAGGGCCAGACACGATGGCACAACTCAACCTCCAAATCGATGAAATGGATCCCGAGGTGAAAGAGGTTCACGGCCGCTATTCTGACTTGAAAGCGTTCAATGTCCTTCGGCGTTATCTCGATGCCGCTCAAGGAGAACTGTCTATTGTGCAGGCCACCAAACTGATACATGATATGTTACCTGATATTGCAGATAGAGACGCAGAGTTTCAACACAGTATGTTTAGTCATGTTGTCTTGGACGTGGCTCAGCAGATCCCCTATTCCCATTCGGCCCAGAGTTACCTTGTACAGCTCTTGCAACGTCTACAAGCGTCCAGCAAACTAACTAGGCGGGTGATTAATGAAGAAGAGGTACGTGATAATCAAATATCTCAATATATATATATATGTTAACAGCGGAACCTAGGGGTGGACCCTTTATGCCAATATACATCAACTCTTCTTAATCATACGGGAGCGCTTCGGTCGTAGGTCGTTCCCCCCGAACCCTGAGTATAAGCTGATCATTAGAGCATTTTAGCGGAATTCGAGCCATCTACCTCTGAAGAGGAGCACTCTATCAATAATAACGCTTTCCTAGCTCGTCTCTCATCGGCTGGATTGTTTCATGATCCTTCCTATGCAATCTGGACTCTGCGGTCGAACCTAGAGGAATCTCATTCCGATGAATCCTACAGTGGCCGTATTAGCGGTGCGGCTGTATGGATTCTATGTGCTGGGCAGTGGCTTTTTACTGAGATTGTCGAATGTCCTCGCCTAATGACCCCTGAGGATGAAACTTGCTGGGATGTTGGATCGCTTTACACTGGTCCAATTCTTGGCCTAGTACGATGGAAATTCTGGCATAAGGCCCTCGCTACCGCTATAGAAAGTAGTCGAGCGAGCGACGAATCCCGACGTCTTGCGCAGAAAGCAATCGATTTCATGGACGCTATCGAGCTGGCTAACAAATGGTAGCTTAGCTAGGGAGTATCCGGTTGCATTTTCTATCGCTGCATATTATGAAATATCATCAAGAGAATTCTGCAATACGAATAACGAGCCCCAGGCAATGCAACTCATTCACTTCAGCTGAAGTTCCCCTTTCTCCACAACCAGTTGTACAACCTCGTTATTCAGTCCACCCCAGCCTTTTCGTCCTCTAATAAACCAAAAGAGAAGAGTGAATAGCACAGAGGGAATGAAAATAGGTGCTGCGTAGTTCATGTTGGTTCCAGACACTGGAAGCTCAGATGGGAATGCCAGCCAAACCGTCATATATGCCGTGTAGATCATTGTAAATATGTTGACAGGAAGCCCGAATGCACCTAAGTTCTAATGTCCTAAGGGCGCTGGGTTGCGGCTAAGACGATTTTGCACCAAGTAGCCAATGGCAAGGAAATACGACGCAAAGAGGCCAATAGTGCCGAGAGCCGTAAATGCACCAAAGGCGGCCGAGTCTGCGATATTCAGACATACAAGAACCATGACAATGGCTGATAGAAGCCACACGGCTCGAACTGGGACATTATGACTTCGGTTAATCTAGAATGCAAACGTGAGTACGATGGATCAGAGACAGGGATAGTGGGACAAACATACGCGAAGAACTCGGGTAGAGCGCCATCACGAGCGCATGCCCATGTTAGTCGCGAGATAGATGCAATACTAGCCAAATTGACTAAGGGCGAAATTATGAGAAGCCAACAGACCATTGTAGTTGTAGCCGGTTTAGATCCCGTGGCTTGGATATAGATCTCGATGATAGGGAAATACGAGGCCTATGCGTCCTTAAGAGGACCCATCGTGAAGAGGACGTAGATAACCATGGATAGGCAAGAAGCCCATTGACCACCACTGTATACAACATGGACCGAGGTACCGCATGGGGGCTCGCCGCACCTCCTCACTCATATGGATAGCACCATCAAGCCCTATAATACGAAATGAGCGCGTATTGTTGTGATCATCATGATCTTGACTCACCAACGAACCCCCAGGCAGGGGTCAAGAGACCAATATTCCAAGGAACCTGAGAAATGTAGGCTATCTAACGATCCTTGTTGGATGTACTCATGGCCTGGAAGAATGGATTTCAGCAACCAAAATAAAGGTGCTTGGAAGAAAACATTTAATAGTATGTCAGATAGATATTTTTCACAACCGCTAAGTGATGGTAAATTAGACGCCAAAAATGGCTATCGTTGCGGCCATTTCCAACGATTCCCACGGCAGGTGATCAGGGGCGATCTAAGGGCCTGTCTGGAAGTTCTGAAGGAAGGGCCTTGGATTCTGGAAGTTCCGAAGGAGAAGACTCTGTGATGGGCACCTCATATATCGCCTTCGGCGCTTCCAGTTCTGACATTCGTAATCCCAAGGCGTGATGTGACTCAGAAGCTGAGAGTTCTGCTCGGCGGCCTTTTTGCCGCGAGTGTCGTCGCCTCCACAGGAACCACAGCACGCCCAGTACTAGCGCAATCCCTACAACACCTCCGACAACGCCTCCTGCAATGGCACCGACGTGATTATTATCACTACTCGACGATGATGTCTTCGCTGTTGCTGTCGCGGACGTGCTTAGGCTTGCAGTTTCCACCCCTGTTGTTGGCAAAGACACTGTTGAGGACGGTTGGCCGTGGCAGCTGTCAATGCTGAAATAAACCCACGACGAATTGAAGCAGGACTCCAATGAAGCGATTTCCCGGCCGGCCATTGGGCATGTCTCGGTGCCATCCGGATAGATTGTCACTAGATTAGGTACTTATTGTGAGCTTTTCGCCAACACACAGAAGAATCGGGAATTAAAATACCTGCACAACCTGGATCCTCCTCGGTGACCATGAAACTTCCATATTGACCAGCCTCTCCTAACTGTGAACAGCTACCACTCGGGTAGCCATTTGGTCCCTTCAACTTTTTGAGTGGATGCCGACACTTGTCATCTGTAAAGGTCGAGATCGTTGTCGCCAGTGCGATCTGAGTCGTGCAGCTCGCAAAGAGGGCATAGAGATGCCAGCGGGAAGATTTCATTGCATAATAAGGCGACTCTGTGTGTGTTGCAGGAGTGAGACAAAAAAGCAAGTCAAAGTGGGGGCGCAGGCGTCAGGTAGGACAGCCGTTGTCTCTTATATATCACTAGCCTGTCCATCAATTACCTGAAGGATTGAAACTGCTGCAGCAGGGGTAGGTAGGGTGACTGTGATTGGCCTTCCCCCGCTCAGCGATAGGTTCACCACGTGCTCCGACCTGATGGCAACTAAGGGGTAAGCGCAACGTCACCGAAGTTACATAATCCGAGACTAGCCTTATACTGCTAATGGTATGGAATCAATCGATCAATCAGTCTTGAGAGGCACCAAGTTATATATTGGATCTGGAACGGACAAACCCGCTGTATGCTTTTCTGTTTCTGTCTTGCATGTTATCTATCAGGCTACCAATCTTCAATCAAACTTCTACTGGCTGTTGTGGGCGCAACTTCGCGTTGAATATCCTGTCTTGAGGCTGTCATTATCTGTTCATTGAGTGGGAACCCATGTTTACTGATATTCTTTCATCGTCCATTTGCGACGGGACTCATACTTTGCGGTAGCTGTTTCGAATGCCATACCAGCCGCTTCTAAGTTGTAATAAGCACATACGACCACAGGGTGTGGAGAACAGGGCTTCCCGTCCGCTCAGCCGTACTTAAGCCACACGCCGGTCAGTTAGTAGTTGGGTGGGTGACCACCAGCGAATCCTGACTGTTGTATGTTTTTGTTTTTGTTAGCACTAGTGGACCACAGGACTGACTATATACGCCACTGTTGAACGATTCACCAAGCGAAACACCTGCCCTGCCTGCTTGGAAGCACCGAATATCACGTTCGACCAGACAGGCGGATGCCAATGGCTTCCGTCAGAATGTACCCCAATTCTGAATATCGGTTGGCATACGGAAGCGATTTAGGAAGAAAGTGGTTCCATTGCAATCTTTCCCATCCTCATCTGATTTCAAGAAAAATTGGCTCGATAGCGCCAATATTACACTGTGCAACCACATTCTCCTCCATATTCTAGATATTAAGTTGTCAATAATAACGATGACGACATTGGCAAATCCCAGAAACATGGGGCGGTTAAACCGTATCGACGGCCTGCCTTCCGATGATATGAACAACTTCACAGGCGATCCCACACCGCCACCGACCATGATGACTCCGCTTGGTGCTTCTACTCGTCTCTCCACTAATTTCAGTCCCCAGGAAAACTGATCAGAATGTTCTCCAAGCTAGTAAACCCCAACCCGGACACTCCATCAAAGAATTTAGCTCGGCAATCTTTGATTATAGCAAGGATTATCAAACAGGAATTGCCGGAACTCAACGACTCCCCCACGTTTCGTGGTGGCAATTTTCGAGGGTTTGGCCCCTGCTTATATTTAATTAAGCGGAGCGTAATTGGAAATTCACCGCAGTTAATGTCGCCCCCCAAATGAGGAACCGGATGGGGGGGTTGCGTTTGGGGGACGGGCTATTTAAAGGTAGTAGTCGTTTCCACAAGCTGAGAGGCATCCCATAATCTATTACTTTAATATACACCACTAAGAAGACAGGGGAACTTAGGCTGCCTCCTGGGCACACAGGGAGGCAACCTGAGTGCCGAATGTTTTTCTTCTTGATGGCACTGAAGAGAGGGCCATAGGACTCGAAGTAACATCATAATATTTAGAGAGCCTTTCGGTTTGCTTCGCAGACTGTAAGTGGGATTGCAGGACAGAGGTAGAAGAAGACGCAAAAGAGATCTTATACAAAATCTTCCACCGGGGCTACAAAGTATCGTGGAAGAATTTTGTAAAAAGGCCGATGGAAGTGGTTTCAAAAATTATCAATATCGCTTTCATGCAATTTTGGCTCGCGGAAGAGACGGTGTGACAAATCTTGGTATGTCCTAGCATACATAAGCATGCATGCTCTCTATTCAGACGCCGTCCCTTCAATCCACTTGGTCAAACATATCATTCTCCTGTTTATCACATATTACTGAATAGTACTCGCAATCCTAACAGATATAAACCGCATCGCACCCCCGTTTTACGAGAGCCTTTGAACAAAATGAAAATTGTGCAGAGAAGCGAGAGGTTCAAATTTATCGATGGCGTACTTAGTTTCTCTTATGTCTCGTACTTCATTCAGAAGGATGGCATTCTATATTTGGGTAAATCCAAAGATCGATTTGGGCCCCCGGACTCCCTAGAGCAGCTTGAAGACGTCCAGCAGGTTCAAACCGAGGACCGGGGCCCTGTGGTGAGGACCGCTTGGTCAACGGTGTACGTGAAAACGCCAAACCTCTTCGCATATACTGGTGGATCAGATCTGGAGAAACGAATCTCCTATGAGGTCGAAGCGTGCGAACTCCTTCGACAAAATCCGCACCCGAACATTGCAACCTACTACGGTTGCCAAGAGACTAATGGTCGAGTCTCTGGGCTATGCTTCAAGCAGTATACGTCAACTCTACAGGAAAAAGTCAACCCGGGACATCTAAACAAGAGTATGTTCCGCTCTAGTGAGCGCCAACTTGTCGATAGCAGCGTCAAAGCGAGTCTAAACGGGATTTTGGCGGGTATTCAACACATCCACTCGCTAGGCCTCGTACACAATGATATCAGCCCCGCCAATATCATGTTCGACGAGAATTGCACAGCCGTTATCATCGATTTCGGCAGCTGCCGACCGATTGGGAAGTCGTTGCCCGAAACGGGAGCGGGAAGGACATATGAGTGGTTCAACCCTAGTGTTGACACTTCATTAGAGAAGAACGATCTTGATGCTTTTGAGGAATTGAGAACCTGGTTAATTGGATCATCGAGCGACGGGTTCTTATTTGACCAGTGAGACCATAGGCAGGACGACTTGTTTCGTGCTATTCTCGCTTGCGTCGACCTGCGCCTGTCTACAAAACAAAGCCTGGACAATATTATAAATTGCAGTTTTTCTACAAAATATGATAAGATTGTCTATCTCAGTATGAATCATCGGGTATCTAAATCACCGTACGCCAACCCTTATGCAGGTCTAACCATAGAAGTACCCTAACAAACAAACGCCATACATCGGAGACAAAAAGAATCAAGTACGCCAGCCTTGAACAAATTCATGAAAGCGGTCAATCACAACACCGAAAATAGCATTGGCACTGTCGCCAATAAGCTGCTCGAAATGGCGAATGGCTTCTTCCTCCGACATCTCCAGATGAAAGCGCTCCTTGACCTTGAGGACAGCCTTGTCCGGTTCGACACGGATATCCGGGATATTAGCGTCGACCATGAGACTGAAGAGGTTCAGAATCAGGTTGGCAGACTTGCGCAGCGTTGTGTACGCTGTGTAGCAGTACTGCTTGAATTGGAGGTAGTTTGGTGATGTGGTGCCACCCATGCCTTCAACCATCTCCTTGCCGAGTTTCATCATCGGTGCGAAGGGCTTGGGGTCACGGCCCAAGATGAAGCCGAAGTCTGCATGGAAGAAATGGCCGTCTGGAGCAAGCAGTAAGTTTTCAAGATGGCGGTCGCCCACGCCGAGGATATAGGTGATGACGCAATATCCGGCGCAGGATTTGATGTAGGTGTCCATCGTCTCTTTACGCACGCCGAGAGGCTCGTTTTCGTCTGGATTATTCGTTTTCAGGTATGCGAGGATAGATTTGTATTTGGCCATGGCTGCGGAGAGAGACGTGGAGGGGATGAACTGTGCGGCGCCGACCGTTGAACTGGTGGCAAGCACCCGGTAAGGCGTCAGTTTTAAATCCAAATTTTCTTTCTGAAGAAGTTGATCCATGAGAATGATGATCTGGATGACCAGCTGGTCCTGTCGCATATCGTCGCCAACCTTGAACAACAGTGGATATCGGCGGCCGTCCGTAGTCTTGAGAGTGATGTGCAAAGGAGACAATGTTGACTTGAAGACATTGGATTCTTCGGGGAAACACCCTGCCACGAGAACATCTGGATCCAGGGGGAGCGGTAATGGAGGCTCAATGTGAATCAGGTCATTCTTCGGGTCACGCAGTGATTTCTTTAGCTTTTCGATCTTCTGGGGCCGGGTCTCCCTGGAGAAACGGACATCTTTGGCGATCTTCGACAAAACGGCTATGAATTCTCCCTGCCGCAAGAGTGTCTTGCGATAGTCAGGGTGCACTTTCTCCAGCTCGGTCATGAAATAGTACTCGACTCGTGCAAACAGACGCCGTTGCGTCGATAATGTGCCCGGGCCAGCATCATCGCACTCAACCATCAGGTACCAGTGCAGATAATTTCCCAGCTTGAGGTTATTGGCCGCACGGGTGATCAAGAAATTGGCAAGTGAGGAGTCGTGCGCGGCTTCGTCAACGCTGCCCTCGGCATTTTCTTCGTACTTCAAAGCCTGAACCAACTGCAGCAGATAGAGGAGAAGCTCGTCGTCATCTGCTTTTCGCAGTCGTTCCACAGCATATGACCGCACTGCCGGATTATCAAATGTTGGACCCAGAAGTTCCAGAGCATCGTCCACATCAATTTCGGTCCACTTGGGGAGGATTTCCACAGCCTGCCGGGCCTCTCCCACATCCCGCCAATTAACCGATTTGACGAATTTTGTCAATGCTCTCTTTTCTCGCGTCAAATAGTACCTGAATCTCCAAACAGAATCCTTCTCTTCGGCTGTAAGATCTTGCGTTGGCTCATATGACATAATGATGTTGAGCTCGTCACGAATTTTGGGGTTAGGCTTCAAGTCTCTGTCCATGATACCAGTCCTATGGCTGCGGATCAATCGGCGGTGCTTGTCCTCGCAGGGGTTCCCTGCCTGTCCCACTTCCGGATCATATATCCGAATCACAGCTGTAGCGTCCGCTCCCTCAATTCCCGGACCAAAGCGAACCTCCGGGACCGGTTTCAAGGCAGTGTTTGGATGGGATGGCACATTCTGGGGATAAGACGAAATGGGAGGAGGAGGATACTGGTGATCGGCCCAGGCAATCGGATGATCGAAGCGCGGGAATTCCACGTACAGGACAAAATTCTCGTCGTCCCGTTCATCCTCGTCGGAATCTTCGTCCACCGTCTGGTGTTTTGTGGCTTTCAACCGAATGGCTCGTTTCCGGGCCGCTTCCTCGGCATTCAACTTGAGCTTTTCCAGCTGGCGAAATACCATTTGGTCCATCCAGTCTATCCGTGGAATTTCGCCCATTTCGTGCTTCTTGATCAAAATCTCCACCCGTTCCAGCTCTGTCTCCTCCAGTGACGGCCCCAGCGGATCACGAGCTTTCGGCATGCGTCGCTTCGGCGGCGGTACTGACGGCGTTGTGGTCGATGAACTCCCATCCGCAGCTTTATTGCGATATACCTTGCACTTTTGTCTACCCATCCTCAACTTGCCCTCGCGGTCAAACAGCGGTATGGTCGTTCCGCCAAAGGGGACATCATGAGCCTGGGCTCCGCCACCGGCCAGCGGGGACAGATCCCAAACCGTAATTGCCAGCTGGGAGTTGAGAGGCGCGTCTTTGAGGGACATGGGCATCTGCAGCCATTCGTTCCATGCTCGGTTGGCTTTAAATGCTTTGTACGAGGTCTGGAGAGGCACGCCGAGGGGTTTCGAGTCCGACCATATCTGCACCGTGACGAATAAATCCGAGGCCGGGTTTTGCGTAGAGCCTAGGTGTCGTAGCTCGGGGTTCTTCAGCAGCACTGAATAGGGGATGTGCTTCTGCTTCCCTTCTAGTGAACCACTGTCGGGGTATGTCAGCTGGAGGGGGGGCCTGTAGAGTCGCAGTGGCACATACATCTTGACATGGATGGGGAAGTCCACCTGTGTGGAAACGGCAAAGGTGAATGCCTCCATCCTGTGGTCCTTCCAGCAAAGAGAGCGAAAGAAAGCACAAGCGACCCAGACAGTTCAGATGACGCGGGGGGCTCTGGTCACGTGGGATTGCGCGTAATAGAGACGCGATTTTGACTTTCCATCTTCCTTTTGGTCTTGACATCGTCTGTTCATCCTCCTTATTTTCCAGCTTCTTTTATTCCCTGTCGTTTGGTGTTTGGTATACGCGCGCGGCATCGAGCAATCGTACTTTTGCGTTTGCTTGTTTGTCCTTTTCCCTGTCACCTGCAGGACACGCGCTAGGGTCCGACTTAATCATGGCACGTCTCGCCGGGGGTCAGCTCGACGAACAACCCATTAGTTCAAGCTCCTCCCCATCACCAGGGCGATCTTCTGACAAGGAAAATCCCCGACGAAGTGTCAACAAAAGAACCACGATGCCACCTCCAAGCTCAGCGAACAAACGGCGACGCCTCACTGACCACGACGCGAATATCCAGTCGCAGATGCCAATGTCGCAACGCAACGCCCAGAACAGGTACTACGATCCAGACCAGGATGCGGGCGAGCGAAGGAAAATTCGGAAAGGACTGAGGGACTTGACGCGAGAACTCAACGGTAAATACTCTGTCCCCTTGGCGCGGAGGGCCTCCTCCTGACAGTTCCGATCAAGACTCGCGATCCGAATATATGCAGACCGGAAATGATGGCCTCTACAAGACGGTCACCAAAGCGAACGAGATTTTCGTCGGAGTCAAGCAGACTTCCGACGCGACGATCGACTCTCGCCTCCTAGTCAACGCGGCCGATCTCTCCCATAAAAAGACTGCCCAGCTCGCTCTCGGGGACGCGACGGCCGGTATCGATGTCGATGAATTCGTTTCCAAATGTATCTCGTTCATGCGTCGGGGTGAAGCACCCACTCTCTCTCCGTCCCATGGAACCCAGCGCCGCCGACCACGTCAAAGCCAGAGAGACCCCGATGCGAGCGACGATGAGGATGCGGGAGACGCGATGAATTGGGACTGGCTGGGTCGACACGCCTGTCTACCGTATAGCGCTCGACCGGCCGTGTCGGGGTGGTTGTTGGGCCCATTATCCGTGCAAAAGCGCGCGCGCCAAATGACCCAGCGGCGAGCGCATGAGCGGATCGATCCATCACAGGCCGTGGAGCCCAACGAGCTTAAGCAGCAGGATCTCGGGGATCAAGAAAACGTCAATCTCGCCTTCATGTGCTCGACAATCAACAAACTGCTTGCGGATGTACTGCGGGATCGCAACGAAGCTGCTTCCAACGATATTGCTGCGATGCTGGCTAAGACAGGGCAAACCGAACCCAGTTTCGAGCAGGTCAAGGAGGCGGCTGCAAATCATGGAATTACCGACGATGGCGGCTTAAATCTCTTCCATGTTTGCATCAATCCTCGTTCTTTCGGGCAAAGTGTCGAAAATTTGTTCTACATCAGCTTCCTTGTTCGCGATGGGAATATCGGTCTGCAGGTGGACAGTCGCCAAATTCCGAGTCTTCGTGAGTAGCCGTGCGCCCTTGAGGTTTCTTTTTTTTTTTTTTTTTTTTTTTTTTTTTTTTTTGAAATGCTGACCGTGATCCTGACAGACTCCTCGGATCCCTGGTTACCCAGTGAGGCTCAAAAGCAAGGCATTAAAAAACAGCAGGCCATCTTCAGTCTAGATTTCGAGACATGGCAAGAGCTTGTTGACGCGTTTGATATCAAAAAATGCATCATCCCTCATCGCGATGAAATAGAAGCGGAGACCAACCAGGCCTGGTCTGGTTAGCTCTCACAACAAGATAATAATCTCACATATGATACCCTTTGATTTTGTCTTTTTCCAGCGCTTTATCGCATAGAAACTTGTCGCATTGAATGAAACTTGCATTTTATGAGCCAGAAAAGGACAATAATTATTGTCACATCTACTGTGTATATATTTTGCCCCATACTAGACTGAGTCTGGGCCGAGGCCAATCGATAAGCTCCATGGTTACATCACTCGCCGCCCCAAGCTTCCGCAGCTCAACCTGACCATTCCACCTCCCAACCTCCTGCTAGCCCCCAAGACGAGTGTCTCACGCCTCGACTGATCTTTGCGCTTTTTTTTATTCGTGTCTTGCTGAGTTAGGGTAGTCAGCACGCTACACAAAGACGACCATCTGCGGCGCGAATCCGAGACAAACAACGCCAGGGAGCTTTCCAGTGAAGAAAAAGAGCGCAAGAGCGCCACACCCACCGAAAATGCCGCAGCTCTTCCCCTCGAACCCCTCCGCGGCAATGGTGATTCGCCAAGTAACGCCGGACATCGTTACTATGAGTCTCCCATTTGCGCGCTTTGGAATCCTGCGCTTCGGCGGCCGAGGGACGCTGGGTGAGTACATCGTGCATTGCACCGACCCTTACAGGAGAAGGACGCGTGAAACCACGTCGATGTCAAACCCCAGCATGGTTGGCTGTTCTGCATATGCTTTGCCCCTTGCCATGCTGCGATCTGCCAAGCTAACCTTGTCCTTGCATGTGTCTCAGTCAAGCTCTCCACGGGCTCCCTCGCCGTGTTCTCGCCCGTCAACCTAACCCCCGAAGTCCGCGAAAAGGTGGACTCGCTGGGCGGGAATGTCAAGTACATTGCCGCACCGGATCTGCAGCACCATCTTCACATCACGGCGTGGAAGAAGGCATTCCCGCAAGCGGAAATCCTGGCGCCGGAGGGCTTGTGGGAGAAACGGCAGTCGAATCCCGAATTAAAGGACACCACCCCTCCGTTCCAGCACGTGTTTAAGCAGCAAGACGGTGGATCGTCGAAGTCGATCTCGGAGGAGTTCGACGCCGAGTTTGATAACGAGTACGTCTCCGGACACGGGTCGCGGGAGCTCGTGTTTCTGCATAAGCCCTCCAAGACCGTTATCGAGGCCGATATGCTATTCAACCTCCCCGCCAAGGAACAATACTCCCAGAGCGCAGAAGGGACCAAGCCGAACCTTTTGACGCGGCTGGTACTCCCGATGCTGGCGACGGCGCCGCCCGCGACGGGCCAGAGAAGGTTTGCATGGTGGATTCTCTCGTCGAAGGACCGAGCGGCATTCACCCAGTCCGTGAGACGGATCGAGAAGTGGGACTTTGACCGGTTGATTCCGTGCCATGGGGACGTGATCGAGACGGGCGCTAAGGGTGTGTGGCGCGACGTCATGGCGTGGTTCCTGGGAGACAAGAAAAGTGCTTAGTTAGGCTGTTTCACCTCTGTACTGTTAGGCACCTCTTGTAGCAGTGCCTTCCCTATCCTTGCGGTCGACCATAATACATACAGACTGTATCTAGGTACATACATGCATACACGCTCGTTGCCTTCCAGTGGATCTCGAGTCTGCGATTCATAGTGCACACACGCGCAGTCCCCCACGGGATCGGCTTGTCTTTACTTGGTGCCTAATGCCAAATGGCCCAGTTCCACGTCATAGGGCTGATGCCGGTCAGATGATTTGCTGAATCAGCGCAAGAGCGTTCCTTGCTGGGCAGAGAGAGAGAGAGAGAGAGAGAAAGTATAATAACAATAATCATGAGCTGGCAGAAATTAATTAAAGTGCCAATCAACCAGTGGTCGGCACTGCACATGTCACCACTAGACGCCGATCAGTGGGTCCGGATAGATTAAAGCCCGCGTAGTGTCGTCAATAGTCTAGGCTGGTTATCGTGATGATTCCTCGAGAATAACAATAATAGAGGCTGTGGACAGTGCAGGCCACTTACTCGGCAGCTGAAAATAATAACTCGAGCAATAACAACATCAATAATAATAATATAATAATAACAAACCATTCAGACTGGGCACTCCCTCTCTCTCCTTACTCCCTGCTCCGAACCATCATCCAGCCACGCATCAGTGGCGGTCAGTCAACGCGGCGTCGATCAGTTAGTTTCCCGACTAGCCTGCACCCGGAGGGAGGGGGGGATCTGACGACATGACATGGAACTTGCCTGCTGGCCCCAGGATGATCCGGACTGTTCGGCCCTTGCGTGCAAGCTTGCTGGACTGGCCGGGCTTGTGCGACGGGCCTCTCTCTGTCTGGCGCTCTTATATACCTGCGCTGGATCCCCCGGCGCCAGATTTGTTTTGCTAACCTTCCATATACCTCCTTTTTGTCCTCTCCCCTCCTCCTCCCTGCCTACTACCGACTAGCTTCTGCTCAGCACATCACCGCTAATTGCCGTCGCCATGCCTGTGGTCTCGCGCCTTGTGTCGATGATCCTCCGCGTTGGGGAGATTGCCTTTGCGGCGGTATGTTGACGCCACTATTGCCTTGCCATACTCTCTCTCACACAGTACTGTTACTGTAGGTCGTCGCGGGTATCATCGGCCACTACCTCGCCTCCTTCTCCGACATCCACCCCTGGCCGCAGGCAAGGTGGATCTACACCGAAGTCATCGCTGGCATATCCATACTCCTGGCCCTGATATGGCTGATTCCCTTCTCGTCGGGCTTTTTCTCGTGGCCACGTAAGCGCAACCACCACTGCCCTTCTTCTTCGCTTTTTTATCTTTTTCTGACCTGGCACAAAAACAGTGGACGTGATCATCTCCTTCGCCTGGTTCGCCGCTTTCGGGATCCTCGTCAACGCGATCCAGCAGCTTCCCTGCGGCGGCATCTGGCACTGGAACGGCTTCCTGCACGACTCTGTCTGTGGGCGCTGGAAGGCCGCTGAGGCGATGAGCTTTGTGTCTGCTATTCTCTGGCTGGTCTCGGCTCTGGTGGTAAGTTTCTTTCTTGAGTGCAACTGTAGACAACGCGCTAATGATGGGCATAGGGGATCTGGTTTACCTTCCGTGTTCGCAAGGATGCTGGCGCTGCGCCCGGAACGTAAGTGATTTATACATATCCTGTCTCTGCCCGTGTCTTTGGCTAGTGCTAACATATTCTATCCTTTAGCACCCATCGTCGCTGGGGCCGCTCTCCTGCCCCTGCCGTGTAAAGGACGAAGAACGCGCGGGAGAACATGTTCATCAAACCGCTGCCGTCGGCCCGCGCTCGTCCCATGGCTTGACTGGGTGAATGATGCATCGTTTTCATGACTTGGTGGAGTGTCGCATTTCTGCTGCCGATCTAGCGTGGTTGGAGGAGGCACACGAATCACGACTTATGCTGATACCCTTGGAGGACTAGGTACCTAATTTGGGGTTGCGGGTGTTATTTGTTAGTCGCTTGTTGAATGTCATCAGTTAGTTATTAATGCATTGCATATTTCAACACATGTTCCTTGGCTCTGGAGTGGAGAAAAACGTGTCGGCTCGATCAATCCACGGCTGTGGCGCGATGACTAAGAGCAAAAACGGCCCCTTCGAGGTTGATGATAGTCGTTTTTAACTGTTGCTTTCCTTCCTTCCAGGTCGCTCGTTTGTGTATAGTTTATTCTTATTTTGATCCCGCGCAGAAAATAATGACCGCTGGCGAAGCCTCCGCCAGGTCCTCTGCCGAGAAACTGCGGCAAGAGTACCCGTTGCAGGACTTCCGGTACCGAGACGATGAGACGCGCGAGGCCGAGTCCGACAATGATCTCGAGCACGGGCCGTTACTGCCTACCGCTGGCCTAGATGGCACCGCAGAATCGGTCGCTGACGACAATGACAAGCAAAACGAACCGCGTAGATCGCGCCCAGGGCTCTGTCCCTGGCTGCGCGGTCCCACGCCACCCCACGTTCACCACATCCAGCCCTGGCTACCACAGTGGCAGGCCGCGCCAGCGCGGATGATTGACCAGTGGCTCCCGCGCAGAAATGCCAAAATTGCTTTGCTTCTCGGCGGATTGATCTTCTGGATTGTCGTGTTTTTCTCCAGCTTGAAATCCTCTGTGGCCGAGCAGGAGATTCCGGGGTACGGGCAGCCCGTCAAGCTGTCGTGTCACGATCGCCTGTGGTATGTTTGTTTTAGTTTCCGACTAAATTGACTTGAGCGTCGACTAATTCTCATCAGGTTCAATGCTACCAACTGCGGGCTGAATGGTGACCTCTGCCAACCCTTTGATCAGGAGGGTTTTGCCTTCCGCTGTCCTGCTGGCTGCTCCCAGGCCATCCTACTTGAGCCATACAACGTCGGCGAGCAGGAACTCAATTATCGACCTCTGGTGATCGGTGGCTCTGGCGAGTCCTCACGGAGTAGTGGCAACTACCGCGGCGACTCGTCGATTTGTGTATCGGCGCTGCACGGCGGACTGGTGGACGATGCGTCTGGGGGATGTGCCATTCTGCGCCGCACAGGCGCGCATAGCAATTTCCAGTCTGTGGAGCGCAACGGCATTGAAAGTATTGGGTTTCCTTCCAGTTTCCCCATGTCTTTCGTGCTCACTCGCGAGACCACCTCGTCCGGCTCAAGCGAGGCCACGATGGCCGAGTGCTCGGATATCAGGTGGTCACTGTTCACCTTCTCGGTGGTCCTAACCACAATTCTATCCCTAAGCGTGGTATCGGCGCCTGCATTCTTCACATCGATTTTCTTCATCGTCTGGTTTCAAGTCGCCATGTCGTCGGACCCGCCGTCGTCCCCAAACTATTACGAGCTGGTCTCTGCGGCCCTCGGCCGGTTCCTGCCCGGTGCATTCGTCGGCTTCGCACTGTACTACTTCTTCGTGCGGCACACGCTGCGTGACCTCGATGCGCACTGGGATAAAACCGTGCTGTGGCTAGGCGGGTGCTGGGTCGGTGCGCTAAACACGGACACCTTCGACCGCATCCCGATCTCGCGCCTGACGCCCCATGACCTCCAACAGCAACCCGGCGCAATTACCGCGCTGATTATCATCGTCTGCTCGCTTGTCGCCATCGCCATCGGCCAAGCAGTCGCATTCTGGCGCGAGGGACGCTTCCCGAAAATGTTCCGTCTCTATGTCCTTCTCATCGCGATCGTGCTCCTCCTCATCGCTGTCCCGCACATGAACCTGCGCATCCACCACTACATCCTATCTCTACTTCTCCTCCCGGGCACAACCTTACAAACACGACCAAGCCTCTTGTACCAAGGCATCCTAGTCGGTCTCTTCATCAACGGCATCGCCCGCTGGGGATTCGACTCCATCCTCCAAACACCCGGTGCTCTCCTCGACGGCGCGCGGCTGGGCACCACGCCACCTGACATCGGCTCGCCGATTCAACCATATGACGATAATAACACCATAATCTTCAATTTCCCGCTGCTGAATCCGCGCGTCAATGGCCTCAGCGTGCTAATCAACGACGTTGAGCGTTTCCATGCCCTTCGTCCGAAGGGGGACACTTCCGTTCCTGAATTCGAATGGACCCGCCAGCACGAGGGTGAGCCTGAGTTCTTCCGCTTCGGGTTTATCCGTATCAATGCTCTGGGCGGGGTTTGGTATGAGGATTTCTCGGATGCGGCTGTTTGGGATGTGGATGGGAGTTGGGTGCCGCCGTTGTCGAGGTTGAATGAGACAGTACCTGCTGCTAACGAGACACACCTCCGTTAAGTAGTGTCTCCTGCAACCAGATATTACGCCTACCTTCCAGGACTGTCTTTGTCTTTTTTGCATAGTGGTTCCTAAACCCTCGGTGCTTGTACAGATGGGGTTGCTGTCAATAGTTATAGAAGTCTTAGTTTATCATCCTATCATCACTCTGCAGCGTTAGAACAATACATGTCTGTCTATTGAGTCGTGTTTCATTTATCCAGGTTCCCAGTCATTGTCTCTATCGATGCTGCGGTCCTCATAGGTATCTACTTAACTACTAATCTAACCTCTTAGCTACATGGGCACAACGCAACCCCTGGCATGGTAAGCCCTTCGTCTGGTTTCCCCTCTTTTCCCTCCCTCTTCCTGCTCCCTCTGTCGAGCCGCACTCTGCTTTTCCTTCTTATCACAGCTTTTCATCTTCTCTTCCTTGACAGACTTCCACTCAATGAAAATCACCCCGGGAACGGTCAAGCAAATCAATGCCAGAGCCAGGTAATATACATCAACAATTGCATCACTATACGCACTCTTCACACCCTCAGCATACTTCTCCGGCACGACATGGAGGATCCCCAGCGCACCATCCTTCAAGACAACGTCCGGGTCTAGAGCCGGCACATCCCTAGACAGGCTCCGCGCCAGTCAACTGGTGAACATGTTCTGCGCGATCGACAACGCCAAAATGCCGCCGAGCACTTGCGTGAAGCTCCGCACCACCAGTCCCGTGGCCACTGCCAAGTCTGAAAAACGGTCTGGACCGCTGTGTAGGGCTCAGCCGTTGGAACGTCAGGCCAACACCAATGCCATACAGGATTTGATATGGGATCCATGCCGAATAACGGGCCACAGCACGTCAAGAAGAAAAGATGTGGGAGACATCTAGTCATGCGCTTGGCTTGACACTGTCCTGTATTATCTGACAAGGCAGTCATATTTTGTCCTCAACTAACTTCTTCACAAATTTAACACGACTTTCCCTGTCAGATGACCACCTTGCAACTTCTCGAAAGCCTTCATGTAATCTTCGAGTCTGTACTCACTATCCACGACTGCCCTGCATTCGCCCCTCTCGAGTAGCCCAGAGATCTCTCTCAATTGTGAACTATCCGCTTCCACGATGAAGAAAAGTCCATTAACTTCCTTTTCAACGCCAGGGTGGGGCTTTTTGGTATGCGGTGGTGTAACAATGCTGATGAGGAGACCACGTTCCTTGACGCACATCAATGCTTGCTCCAGACCGGCTTCGCCAACACCATCTATCACCACGTCAAACTTGTCACAACCCCTGCTGTCGACCCAGACCGACAGATCTTTATGTTTCCTGTAATCCACAGCCTCGTGAGCACCCAAAGACTTGACAAATTCGAGATTCGCTGGCCCGCACGTGCCAATAATTTCTCCAATACCCGCTAGTCGTGCCAGCTGGATCGCCCAAATCCCGACTCCTCCAGAAGCAGCAGTGATAAGAATCCGTTTGGTGGCATTTTTTGCTGTATCTCCTCCTGGTAATGCAAAACCGCCATGCACGAAAAGGGCTTGCCAAGCAGTTAAAGCCGATAGAGGGACGGTGGCGGCCTGGGACCAGGAGATATTCTTTGGCTTATGTCCAAGTTCGCGAGTTAACGCAAGGGAGTATTGGCGGGCATTCCCCTGACGGTCAAAAGATGTTCTGGCGTAAACCTCAGAGCCAACGGGAAAAGGAGATCCCGCTGGAGCGGATATAACAGATCCTGAAACCTCATAGCCAGGGATTGCAGGTGAACATGAAACAGGCTCAGGCCACCTCAGTTCTCCATTAGTCAAAGCAACCGCCTTAACAAGAACAAGGTGCTCCTCGGAGCTATTGGCCCCCGGAACGGGCAAGTCCTCTATACGAAGACAATAAGTATCAGTATCGTGGATTAGAGCAGGTGCTCTGGCCGGTGTTTCGATTTGGTGAGCCATGATGATTGGAAGACCAATTGTTTGATGACGTGGTATCTCTGGCAGGAACAGTACAAGAACCGCTCCGAACTTGATGGGGGAAACTGGTTGTTACTAAGCAAAGAATTCACTGATAGGTTATATAGCACTGAACTGGGTGGGAAATCCGTCTGAATTTATTCACGGGCTTGTCAAAATCAACCCTAAGTACCAGATCAATTGCCAAGTTCTGTCCCCACTTCATTTGTCATGATTTGTCATTATTCGTCACGACTTGTCATGATCTGCTGTGCTCTGTGGTGTTGTAGATCAATCTGAGATAGTATAGGCTAGTAATCCTCTCGGGAGGAGGCAACACGACGAGATCAAGCGGAACCAATCCCGAAAGACCAAAATACGAATTTGTCCTGTCTTCATTATCACTCGGCACATTCTGAGCTTGCGGGAAATATGCTATTAGTTTTGGTTGAGTACATGCGTTGGTCATCGTTCAAATCAAAGGAGGGTATCTGTTACTCCCCCTTGCTTAAAGTATTCATCATCATTCATGCCGGAAATTTCTGTCAAAAAGTGTCCTTTCCCTCTCTCTAAGAGTAGCGTTCTGTTTATAAAGCAAACCAATTGAACATGAGTTTTTAATGTTTTATATCAGCCATAGACAAAATTATTTGGAAGGAGAGCACAAAAGAATTTGAATCAAGAGCGGGGATATGTGTTCATTTTGTCTATGCTGCTAGGGTCATACTGAATTGCGAAGTCTCTCTAAACTTAGGGGCAACAGTTCATATATTACGGAATTCGATTAGAGAAGGAAATGGTAGGAAGTCCTATGAAAATATCTTTCCATAGTGAGATGTGCCTAGGCTTACTCGTATGGCGCCATAACTTTGTTTTCGAGCACCCTGGCAGGAGCCTCCTCCCCCAAGACAGTAGTATGGGACCATGGTTTCAACTCTGTCTCCTTGCGGAGAGTAGCAGCAAAGCAGCGGCTCCAGCCCTGTCGCGGAAAATGCCGGGAGATGTCTTCAATGGTCGATGGATGGACAAGTTCGGTATGAGCGCCGATGTTATCTAGTTCTCGTTAGTTTCTGGACGGGAAAAAAGGGGACCCAATACTCCAGCTCGGAATCGTGTCAACTTACCCAGGACAGTGGCCAGCTGCAGCAATTGCCCTACGGCCGTGATTTGTCCTTTATCACGAAAGTCTTGATGGCGAATAATAGCTTCAGCAACACTCTCTGCAAGTTCACGAGAAGCGGTCGCCTCTGGTGCAGATGTATTCGAGGTCTCTTGTAAGACACTCAACGCCAGCAAGCCGCCATGGAATTCGAAACTTAATTTTGTTTTGGTGATATTTTCTTCCGTAGAACCGATATCATGCAGCAGACACGTAAGGAAGTAGGTCTCGTCTGTGAATTCCCAAGAAGGAAACAGGTGCTTCTTTATCGCAAGCCCATAATGGTAAACACGAAGAGAATGGTTGTATGTGGGTACAGGGAGGTGGGATTGCGCGTATCTCTTGATGCGTTTCGAGAGCACTGTATCCGGGAAAGGGACCTCTGAAACCGGAATAAAGGGCGCAGCAGTCGATGTCGTAACTGAGAACAGTAAAGAAGATGCGGACGCAGGGACGGCGGTAAACCCATAAACTGACACATAGTCAGGGGTGATATCAGTCGCCTCATAAGCAGGAGTCATTTCGGTCGATTCAAATGTAGGAATAATCTCACTAGATTCAAATGGATGATGTTCAAGTCAGTCAAGATGATGACCGGCAACATTGAGGTTTTTAGACTTCTACACAGTGAGCATATTGAAACCAAACTGAGCTTGGCCTAGATTCCGATGCTGACAAATGTATATTTAATAGGGGCCGCAACATGATAATTCCGAGGGCATTATTTCCTAAGGGCTGTGGTGGCAACTCTTGGAGGAGGTCCTCACGTCCCGCTCAACCTTATTTAGACAGGCCCCACCGCAGACAACTGCCATTCTCGGACCAGCCATGTGATCACATAAGCACTATGTAACAGTTATTTAATTACACCCGGTTGAAGATTTACAACTACCCAAGTTACAGTAGAATTAGAGTTCGCCTATTGCGAATAACAGTGACCTGAAATCGACTAGCACATTTCGGATTTAAACTTTCTTGGAATCAATTTGTAAGAGTTGAGGGATATAGATGTAATCGATCTTGAGAAGGTTGAATTGTAACAAACCAAATAGACAAAGGTTTTATTCTTCCCCACCCTCCCTGGTAAATATTCAGACAGCATTCTGAGTTCCCTGGTTCGAACAAATGTGGTCGAGGCGTATACAGCTTCACATGATAGAAGAGCCCTCTTGTTGGGGGGGAAGCATCATCCCAAGCGCTGTATACCGCAGTTTCCGACTCGAGTTATGACAAATGATTACAGTGCCGGGCTAAGGTCACTGACGTACTTTCTAAGACAATCTAATTACGCACATAGTAATAACCACGGTGGCCAGAGGTCTGTGCGACCGACTTTATAAAAAGCGCCTGTTGCCCAGTTGGTCAAAAAATTCCTGCGATATTTCAGCCTCGCACGATTCGCATATGCTCAAACTAGCGGCGCACTGCAACTAGAGCTTTTACAGATTATCGTGGAATTAAGGATCTCTCCCTGCCTACAGGACACGCCATGTCGATTCAAAATAAAGCCGAGACGTCAAATCATCCAAATAAACTTTTACTTCTCGAGGTAGCTCGTCACTTCTTAGCTGAGGTTGAGAATCGTCCGTCAACCCCAGTTCAGGATATCACATTGCCAGATTTCAATTTACTAAACCAGCTTGTTGCAGGACGCCTGGCCGGGAACTTGAAAACTACCTGAATACACGATACGGCCCCGGAAATCATTATTATAATCGCTTTGCCTCGCTCATTCGACAAGGAATTGAGAATAATGAAGAATGGGTTGCAGTGGATGAGCTGGATGGGCCGCGATATCGACGCAGCAGGCTTTGTGGCCCCTCGGCCGAGACCCGGTTCCTTAGCATTACGACAGTTTATATGAACAGCCAAAAGGAATACTCGGGGCAATACCATCAGCACCCCTACGGCGAAATCAACTGTGTGATCCCGCTCGATTCCGGCGCTGAGTTAAAAGGGATGTCAGGTTGGCAACGGGCTGGGTGGACATCTCCTGGTCCTGGAACACATCACTATCCTGAGGTCAGGAATGGTGCATTGGTAGCGTTGTTCTTTCTTCCGGCAGGTAGGATTTCCTATGACGCTAGGCCGGACATGCCTCAGCCACATTGCGTTTGAACCACGTTTGAACCAGGGATCGAACAGTCCAGTTACCAGTTGCTAGAGCACGAAGCAGTTGGAATTGTTGCGACAGACAGCGCATGTTGATTAAGAATAGGTTGGATTTGATTGAAGAAAAGCCTCGAACTTATTTCAAGTTATTCAGTGAGGATCTGCCCTACCCGGAAAATCTTCATTAAAGCCCGACTATGGGTGTGATGCATAGGAGTACAAATCACCTAAGTCGAGTTTCCTCTCTTCAAAATATGTCTTAGACATTTGGACGAAACTCTATACTTAAAGATTCTTCTAGGAAGAAAGAGTTGAAGCATTAGCTGAGATTCGTGCACGTGCTGATGGCAACTTGATATGAAATGAGCTGCTACTTTTTCATTCATTGTATTAAATGGTATCGATGAGCTGCTCACTAACGCATCCTAATTTTCTCAAATACGGACGCCCTTATACAAGCAGTATAGCCAGATCGAGAATCTTGTCCATAATGGCTGCCACCAAAACTCAACGGAATGCTCAGCTCATCATCCAACGGAAGCTAAATGAGAAGCCAGACGCGATTTGAGGAACCGATACCAAATATCCAATTCGTCCAAATTCCGCGATCTTTTTGCAGCCAGTGGTCCTGAAGAATAATCGCGGCATTGATTACATTCACGCAGTGTGTTTCCAACCAGAACTTCTCTAAACATTCACTGAGAAATGCCCTCTGACTTCCTGAGCTGCACTCTAGGCCTGCGATAAAAATGGGCCAGAGGGCACATTTAAAGAAATCAAGAGCGCTGCGCAGAGAACCGAGAATACTAAGTAGATCGTCGACCAGATCAAAGTTCAAAGGAGGAGACTCTTGCATAAGGGTACGTAGCAATCGCTGACCATAAATGAGAGCACCGATTCTGTAAGCTTCCGACAAAGTGTATATGGCGTTTTCGCACGAAGGGCGGCCCTCCGGCTGTGAAAGGCTAAATGCCCAGTGACGTGAATCGAAACTTTGAATTAGTTCCAATGTTGAAGTGATATAGTCTCTGTGGGCCTGCACGGAGGCTGCTTCGATTGGCTCGGGTCTGCAGATGATGTCTCTTTCAGCGGATAGAAACCCAATTCCCCGAGCCAAAATCCCTGGACAACCAACAAATACTTGGTCCAGAGACTCCTCTGTCTTTTCGGGACGATTAAATAAATTACTCTTTGGACCCCAGCCTGATCCACGGCCCGAAAAGGTGGCCCCTAGAACCTCGATCCTTGAAACAAATTACCGGTGAGTTTTGGGTGCGAATTTTGGGCTAGAAGAGCTCACATATGAATTTGCTTTAAGATGTATTCCATTACCCCGGTCACTATTTTGTCGCTATTTGCTTTCTTTGTGTCTAAGAGGGCACGATTGGAGGCAATAAAGGTTTTCGCACCCTCCAAATGAGTCTCCCAGCTGTCGTTCCCGGATTCGTAGAGGTCAAGAATAATCAACAGAAAAATGCTGGCCAAGGTGATGCCGACATCAGACTGATCTGGATTCCGCAAAGAGAAAGATATCTCCTCTATGGCTTGGTGTTTGAACAGCAATGCGGTATGGTTTGCGTGGTGAAAGCCGGGAAATTTTCCGCCTGCCGGAGTGGAGAAAGCTTGAAAAGTATTCGCAAAGTGGCGAGCGGCGAGAGCGAGCATTGCTTTTTGCAGCGAGATATGTTGTAAACACAAAGGGATCAGCTGTCTGAATGGATTTTCCTGGCTGTCACGTATCATGAGTAGCTTGCAAATACGTTCATGATCTGATTAAGGCGTCAGTATCTTCTACTATTGTTTATTTCTTCCTCTCTTTCGTCTCAGAGATGACCCACAATAAACGATGTAACAGTGGCTGGTAGGATTCAGGTCTTTAAAAATCGGATCTTGCATCTCATTGGGCAGGCTTGTTTGGCCGTCTGTACGGCCTTTCATGTTAGCAACTGACGGGTTAAAGGATTTTGATGATGGCAGCCGTTTAATATCAAACAAATCGCAAGAACCGCAATAGCGAGAAATCTTACCAACGAATTTGAGGTGTTGAGGCTTAGTAGAGGTAGTCGCCGGCGACCCACCGAATGACCGGCCCTGCATCTTGCCGCGGATGGCTACACCTTGAACCCACCGGATTGGTCTTTTGTCGAGACAGTCCAACCCGGCATTCTGACACTTCAAACAAGGAATACCGCACTTATCGCACTGGACGCGGCGCCTGCGGCATGTCCAACATTCCTCGTGGGCGGCGTTTGCCATCCTGAATTGCTGTAAGGTGACAAAATCTATGACCAGGAATGAAGTAAGAGTCGGCGATTTCTCTCCTCCGAGTCACCAAAAGGCCCGTGTGAGGTGTCGGAATAGGTGGAAAACCGGAGCAGGGTATAGTAACTTCCAAGTTATGTCCGCCAAGATTCGTCATTCATGTACTGTACTGTACTTCGCTACGTTTCCGTTGGTTCAAGTTGCAATCCTACGCACAGGGATCCCAGGATTGACGCGGATTGATTGACGGAGGCCCACAAGCCCAAAAGGAACAAGCGGCTGGAATAGGAGAGAACTAGACGAACGGAAAATCCCGCTGCTGGCAGCCGTATCGGTACTAGGATGGCAGTGGTTGGACGGAAGTGGAATAGTGACACTATCCAGAAATCAATAAAAGTTGATGAGGTTCATTCATTAAGAAGATGGATGCTAAAACTAGGATATTCCGCCCGACTCACACCGCGATTAATAGGAGAGGCAGTGGCCAACATTTGTCATCCACAATTCTCGTTTCCTACAAAGTCGGATCCACGTGACGAGTAAAGCTGGGTTAAGCCAAGTACCAAAAAACTTGCCAGAAAAGCGGCCAACACATTTTGACGGTATTTTATCCTACTACATCGTTCCACTTGATAGTACTGTCTGTTTCGATACCACAATCCTCACTGAATCTCAAGATTGTCAAGCCAGTCCAAGAAAGATTCCTCCAGAATTACCCAAGGGAATAAAGGCACTCGTGCTAGCTAACTTTAACATCGACTTTTCTTTCTGAAGAAATCATGGCTTTTGGCGGTCTTCTGAATAAGAGAATTGGCCAAAGACAGCAATGCGTGACGGGAGACGAAGAGATACTTTGAAAAAGGTCTCTTAACCTGGTATTAAATTGAACACAAGGGAGGCAACAAAGATCAAAGCTCCAGCGCACCAATCATTTACTCATAAGGTGCCATTAAGCTGTTGCTAAGCACTTTTGTTGGGAAATCCTCCTCACCTAGGGTGGTCGTATGTGACCAAGGCTTCAGCTCATTCTCCCTTCGGATGGATGAAGAAAAGCAGCGACTCCAGTTCTTGCGTGGGAAGTGCCGAGAGACGTCTTCGATGGTTTGAGAATGTACGTGCTCACTGTACGCACCAGTATTGTCTGTTTCTCTTTAGTTTCGCACTTAGAAGCGTAGCTTGAGCCTTATTTACCGAAAATGGTGGCCAGCTGTAGCAATTGCCCGACGGCCGTGAGTTTGCCTCTGTCACATAGATCTTGGTGTCGAATGATAGCTTCAGCCACACTCTCGGCTTGGTCTCGGGGAGCAATATCCCCGAACGACGGGGTGGAAGCCTCTTGCAAAACTTCCAAAGCCAACAAACCCCCATAGAACTCGAAGCTCAATTTAGTTCTGGTTAAATTCTCCTCGGTAGTACCGACGTCATGCAGCACACAGGCAAGAAAATATGTCTCGTCCGTAAAACTCCAAAATGGAAACAGGTGCCGCTTTATCGCCAGACCGTAGTGATAAACGCGGAGGGAGTGATTGTAAGTGGGCTCCGGGAGATGTCTCTGGGCATATGCACTGATGCGGCGAGAGAGCCCTGTATCTGGAACAGGGGTCTCTGCGACCGATATAAAGGGGGCGGGAGATGTAGGCTTAGCAGCTGAAAGTACTTGGGCTGCCGATGCTGCCACCGGAGTAAGCCCGTATAGCGACTCAGAACCAGATGCCATCGATACTGTCAGAGAGTTGCTTGGATTCAAAACGAGGTCTTTTGGGGAATGTCTGAACTCTTATCTGTGCGAGGGTTCTTTGCTTTTTATAGAGTAAATCACTGGCCGGACCAGGCTCCTGACAAAAGCTCAAAACGACAAGAACCTGTCTTGTGACTTCCAAATTTTTATTTGAAACCCTATGTACTGGCTCGTCTGGCTTTATTTTCTTTCAACATCGTTTTTTCAACTTTCTTTTCTTACGTATTTTTCTATGCTTGTACGCATCGATGAGACCCACTCGAAGCAACTTCCCTTTTTGGCGACTAACGATCGTTCCAACGAACCTTATTTTCCCGATCTACAGACAGGCCTTCTCCGAAGACCCTCCCTACCAAGGTATGCTAAAGTGACTGGTGGGAAATCCTGACTTGTGGAATGGGCCGCGGATGGGTTGGAACTCGATCAGAGACTCTCTGACTTACTAATAATCACAACCCTCAAAAATTTCCGCAATTTATAATAGCCATTTGGATGAGAGCGGGGCCGGTGTTAGAAACATGCCGTTATACCCGAAGCCTCTAGTTTCCGGCCGAGGTACAGCGGTCGTGACCCATTACAAAAGAAGCTTGTAACCATGACGATGCTAAGATAAATCACTCGCGAATTTAGGAAATATTCGGATCAGCAGCCTCAGTATCTATAACCAATTCATAACGACTCGGAGCTATTACCATGAGAACCTTTTGTGAATTGAATGACTCGAATCTAATGCGTATACGAGAACGAACCAACGTACGACCTGACCGGAGATGTTAGGCCACCCTCGTGAGGCAGAAACCAAACCACATATAACGCTTACATGCGTCCACTATAGATCAGGCTAATTCTGTAGCAGAGTACGGTCTCTGTCAGATACAGTAGCAACAATGCATTTACCACGTCCGATATAACTTCTATTCATAAGAAGGTACGTTTCCGGTGCTTGCGCTAGAACACCCGCGTAGCGAGGTATTTCGACCCCCGTACTGCCCTTCGCATTTGTGAATAAAGCGCTCGCACCATCCCTACATAAACTGCGCTTCTATTATACTTTTTTTTTTTTTTTTGAAGTTAAACCTTGCAGAACTATAGATATAAACATCCCCATCCCATTCACACATTTTTAGTAACTGACGCGATAGCATGCCTTACTTAATTGCCTCATGCGGTCGAGGAGCCGGAGGAACTCTTCATTATGCGCATTGAAACTGGTGGCGGCCGCTCCTTATACCCGCTACTGTCGTAAGCTGAATGAAGTATACCCCTACTGCACCCGTGATGCCAGTGGTTAACGCGCGCTGATTCTCTTGCGCCCAGATCGTGCCTTGCCATCCTCTACCGTAGGCTCTGAGATCTAGGAAATAATGGTCCGTAAGCGGTTTGGGCGCTAAGTGGTAACGATGCAGCCTGGGCGAAAGTGAATGCGGTTGGTTTAAGTGCAACTGCGTCCTCTTTGACGGTGGTTTCCAGCCCATGTGACGTTACGGCCTATGCGTGGCATGCCGATGGAGAACCTTGGAGCCCAGTTTGAATTTGTTGCTGTCGGGAGTAATGGCCTCGCACACGATCCTAGTGAGATGGTTGCCGGGGTTGGGCGTCATCGTGGGCGAAAGTCTCGGGCCAAGTTACCATGTCATGAATGATGATGGTGGTGGCTTTGACAAGAACGAGAAGCTCTCTGGGCTTAAAAGGTCTTGGGATAGACACATCGTGATCCAGATATAGGACCGTGCATAGAGCAGGATTGGAGGGCGAATAAGGTGTAGACTTGAATGGAGGGTAACCGACGCGAATGGCTAGCATGGCGTCCGGTAATATTAATTGCGTTGCAACAGCGCATGCGATGAGAAATCGACGTGAGTGACGGTTACAATTTTGGATAATGCGTTCTTCCGCGCGGCAAGTTGCTGTTCATGCCTCCAATGCTTGCATTTGGCTATGGGTTTTGAAGTCGAGACTTTTCGCAGTCTTTCATTCCTTGGACGATATCCCGTGCTTACTTAGAGTCAGAATCAATTTATAAGCACTAGCTTATAAAAATAGTGTAGTGTAACACAGTATTCAAAGACAAGATTTGGGCCGGAAGGGCCGATGTAATTGACTGACCAAATGCAAGAGTAAGCTCCGCGGTCATTTTTCTTTCTCAATCGCATCACGACGGCTTTTCAAAACAGATGCGTAGTTCCCTCTGTATCCTGTTTTTTCCATCTATTCCTTAACGCTTTTCACTCTGGTTGGCAGAATTTCGTCCAACAGCTGATAATCTCTCTTCGTTAGATTATCTTTCCGGGTATTCCAAATCTCGGAATAATTCTCCCGCACGGTCATGAATGAACCGTTATCATAGCCGGCGGAGTAACCCAGTATGACATCTTGGTCCGGCCAAATGCCAAGCTGAAAGTATTCGGCCAAAGTGACATCTTTGTAGATTGCACTTGTGCCCGTCACTATAGTGAAGTCTGCCGCGAGGTTTTTCCACGCAATATCCTCTGTGCCGACATGTAATTCCAGACCGTTGTTCCTCGCGGGATTGTCAAGCATCCATCGGACATACTGTCCATAGTCCTCAAGTTATATTAATGGACACTTTCCATTTCCTAGAGGCGCTGCGAAGACCATCGTGGCGTGGTCGTTCGGGTCTGGCAAAGGTCGCATGAACTCAGAGATATCCTCCATGTATGGGCAAGATGTCAGAATAGACCACGCCTTCAGAAGGCAGAGTGCCGAGTACGCCACTTAGCTCCGATGTGGTCGTTCTTCGGTTTCAGCGCCTGTGCTATATAATCTACTGTTGGGTGTGTCATAATTCTGTATTAGGATTGGCGGCAATATAGACCGTGGGACTGTTTAGATAAGCCGTTTTGAATCAGTGGGTTTCTCGTTTAGCTTCCCTTTAAACATGTGCTTAGTTGTCTGACTTCCGAGGCGGCTAGGCAAGGGAGTGGTAGGAGATAGTACAATACTTACCGCCTCTTATTAAACAGAGTCCTACCGCAGCAATAGGGCCATTCTATTGTTATAGGTTAGCAAATCACAACCTTTAGCAGAAGTCTGTTCTAGTAAGAGTACGATGACTTCAACTTTCTATTCCTCCTGCTCCCCGTCATAGTACCCCAAAGCTCTAGGGGAAGTTTCCCTCATTGATATCCTCAGTACGTTCAAAGCAAGGCAAATGTCCGATCCGAGGAGATCAGGGTGGCTTATTTCCTCCAATTAGTAATAGCTAAAGTGACCTACGCAGGTCGACAAAGGATGTTGCCACGGCGTGGATTAGTCGCTGACTGCCGACTACGGGGCCAGGGTAGAGTATTTCTGTGATCTGTTGGCATGGCGTCGCTGAAAAGGAGGTTGCGTTCTATGCCTGTTCCGGCAGTGCAAAGGATAGAACGTAGAGATGAGGAACTGTCACCTCTCAGACAAGTTCAAGAAATCATGTCGATCACTGAGAAGTTCGGAGGATAATGCGGGAGTCGTTGTAGCGACGTGGGAAACCGTCGTCGCCTTGATCTGGACTTCTAGGAACATTAGCAGGCAGCAGAGCGGTTACCCTCGGAGCAGGCAAAGGGCCAGGAGCACGATGAGAAATTGAAGGGGCTTGTTGGAGGACTGGGGTGAGTGGTCTTGTTGCTCAGTGATCAGGGAGCCGATCGCAACCCGAAGGGGCAGCTTGGGCCCTTACCGTAACCAATACTACAATACAATGCCGTACCTAAGTAAAATCGCTAGAGGTAGGTTCAGTTTCAAAATCACGAAAAGCAGGTGAATACAAATAGTCAATGGCGGGCTACTCGTTTTCTAGATAGACCGAGAACCAAAGGCCGACATGAAACTATTAGTCTACATTGAGCATAGTTAAGTATTCGTGATGGCATTCTGGTTTTAAAATAGATCCCATCGTACTACAGGACCCACTTTTTCCGCCCATAGTGCCAACTAAGACCCTAATGCCATCGGGGGTCCGATGGCGCAGCTACTAAGGTATAAGTGTTTCACGGACTCGATGATCTGCGCGGTGAGGCCGAGGCAGCGACGACGGCTGTGGGGCAGGCAGAGTGAAGGGATTTGGATCTGAGCGATTGAGTTTGGAGTTGTCTAGACGTGTATATAGAAAGATACCCATAATCAAGAACAATAATGAACCATATTGTATCACCTGCGGTTTTTTTAAAATATAATTTCGGACCTGTAGTTTCACGATCCTGCGTAAGAGTCTTCATATAGTAGTGGATAGTACGAACTCATTGCCCTTGCTTTCTTCGCACAGACTACTATAATTTAGCCGACACAAACGTACAATCACAGAGGTTGAAAACGAAATAGTAAAATCCGAACTAATGAGCAAAATATCAAAATCTCTGACGACCCTCAACATTGAACATCAAGATTGCCTTTCATCTCGCGGACACCCTCGTCGTAACCCTAAGTGCTAGTCCTGACACTGGTAGTCTGTTTTATTGCGCAAATGTCTGGTTTATCCATGATGCCATTGCTTGGAATTGCTCCCCGGGTGGAAATTTCCAGAGAAAGTCCGTGATCGGCTCGACGTGGAACTCTCGAGGAACGAGGCTAATGCTCACCTCGGAATATTCAGCCTATTATTAAGGCAAAAGGTTAGACAACACAGGGAAGATAACAAAGGGTGACTATACCTTGAGCTTCTTTGCAAAAGATACGATTGAATCCAAAAGCACTTCGTCCCCTCCCACTCCAAGAAAGATCCTCGCAACAGGAAGGTCCTTCCACCAGCCCGTTGGCGCCAGCGTAGGGTGACTATACTCATCTGATGTAAAATCGCCCATCACTGCTTGCGCCCAGAGGCCAAGGGATTTTGCTGATACGACATCCCGAGCTGCATTCTCTTTGTAGCTCTCGAAATGAGTCCGGAAGTCAATCCAGGGAGACAGCAGCATAGCGCCACCGAGGTTTTCACTGAGCGACAAGGCGGCCACGCTACCTTCAAGTTTAGGATGAGCGAGATGCGACAAAACCGCTAGAGCAAGATGGGCGCCCGAAGAATCGCCTTGGAGTACGATGTCGGATGGTCGTTTCCCCAACGTCTCGATGGCATATCGTAGAAGGGAAACAGCCTGCTCTAATTGGCGGGGCCATTGAGCACCTGGAGCCAGATCATAGATAAGAAAGAGCACGCCTATATCTTTGCCGTGGTCCTTGAGGTCGGCGAAGAGGGCCTCAACGTGGCTAAAGTGGTTTGGTAGCGCGGGGATGCAGTAGCCACCGCCAGGAATATAGATGATGAGTTTATCAGCCTCTGGGTTACCTAGCCAGAATGCTTGGGTGCCATCTAGAAGCTTCAGAATGTTGGGTATGCCATTGTGTTGTTGCATGTGGTCTTCGTAAGATTTTAGAACAGAGTCTGCTGGAAGGACATATCTGCAGGTAGACTGGTCATTGTTTGCATCTTAAACTGAGACAAAATTTGCCTAAAAGCAGAATGGAACTCACTGGATCTGCTCTATAGAAAGATTGTCGAAGAGTGTGCGCACCGAAGAGATCGCTACATGTTTGAAAGCTGTGGCACCTCCCTCCTGGCCTCTCAAAGGCGCGGTGACAGTAGACCAAACCCCAGAGCCAACTAGATGGAAAAGAAGTCTTCATGAGGAAATGTGTTCGTTCGCGTGTTAAATTTTTGAATGATTGACGACCTACGGGACCTGGCCACTGCATACCCTAGTCCCAACCACATGCCCGCCATGGGAGCGATTGCTTGTCGGCTAGCGTCAAAGAAGAGTCAGACCAATCTTCATCTACTTGGAAGAATCAGGGGGGAAAAATGAAAATGAAGAAAATTGTCCAAAAAAGTGTAATAGGGGGGAGGGGCCTGTTTTACGTCGTAAAATATCCGAACGTTCGGCGGAAGCGGTAGGTTGGGGCTAATTTAAATGCCCTGCCCATCCCTACCTTAACCTCTAACTTAGTCCGAATTATTGCAGATTCGAACGTGCTCAGTCAGTAGTGTGCCAGCCAACGTCTGAGCGCATGGGGGCCAGTACATATACAAGGAATTTAGTCTCGGCCATATCTCGCCGGCTTCCAGATTGGGGATGTGCCGAGCGCTATAATTCTGGGGCCATTAATGGCATCCTATGTAACAGGTAGCGCACGCAATGGCGAAAGACCAGGAGTTGGTAACCCTAGAAATGGACGCCACTTGACGTGCAAATCTTCTTTTAAAGTCCCAGATCCCAGTTATCACCAAGGTCGGCCACGAAGGAAGGCTGCATTATTAAATCAGGATGAAGCGTCCAAATCTCCGCAGCAGGCTCAAAGTCAAGGCTTGTCTCTGTCAAAGGGACTGATAACCCCGACTCCATTTGTGCAGAGTTATGTTCCATCAAATTCGCCTTTGACGCTGATGGTCCGTTTGTCCCAGGTCCACCATTGCCCGGCGCCGGTGGTAGGCCATGATCAGAAATATCTTGCTGTGAAGAACTGGCTCGAGTCCTACGGTCAAGGACAATAGTGCCAAAGTAAGGAATATCAACCTTGATGTGGCTGGGTTGTTCTCCATTAGATTGACCTTCGGGAGAGACAGGCTGTATTGGATTCTTCCCCGTCGCGACTCGTTTCAGTGTCTGTAAAACACTGAGACCGCGAGTTGCAACTTTATCAGGAGTGCTTCCTTTTGTCAATTCTTCCAGAATCTGTATGACTCGTCCAACAGCCTCAAGGTCGTCTGGGGACTGATTTGTTCGACCATTTGGTCCCAGTACACTTATCATAAGCGTTACTGCAGCAGTGAAAGCCTGGAAATCGAGGGATTTGCAGCAGAAGCTGTCTGCAGTGAGGCGTCGGATTGCGGTGTAGCTGGTGATCATGTGTCTGGAGGCTTGAAGACAGCTCTGTCGACTATAGTCATAACGGCCCTGGCTGCCTGTCTCCAAGAGAAAAGGCAGGTGTAGCCACGCCATAAGCTGGTAGTACCATAGCTGGGTCATGAGTTTGGCATAGTATTGGGCTCTTTCCGCAGATTTGCCAGCGGTGGAAAGTGTATATTCTTCTACCATTGGAGGATCGATCGTCCCTAGCTTTGAATCGATGGTCTGGGTCATTCGCACCATGATTGGGGTGACGGTTGGAAAGTTCTGATTTCGCTCGATTATTGACCCGGCCACTCGGCAAAGAAGGTCCATGGAAGATGAATTCGGCACATCACTTAGGTTATCTTCTTGCCGCTCCAATGCCGCATCGCCAATGCCATGGTACATTCCGAGCATGAGCGAAAGATATCGGTCTGCATAGATGATGTGCTTCCAGATACTCCTGGCGCGATGCAGAGATTCGCTATTCTCTGAACCGGCTAGCAACGGACGATGGAGCCCGATGATCTGAGCGACATCTAGAGCACGGCGATAGGATAGCCATGCACTCCTTAGCTTCCCATCATTATTGTAAAAGATTCCCTGAAGAACCAAACACTCAAGCCCGTTGATGTTACTAACCATGGCTTCGTCGGAGCAGACAGATGTAACAACTAAGTTGATGTACTGCTCGATGAGCTTGGTTGGATGGCAGGGAAGTTCCAAAAAGCTCGTGTCATAGTTAGGTGGAAGTTGTTGCAGACTAATCGCGGTCCACATGAGAGTGGTAGCAATCACAACCGGGTGGCTATTTGAAAGGTCCGCCACTGGGATAGAAAGCAATGACGTTTCGTAGTCTTGGAAGCACTGCGCGCGGACTAGCCACCAGCAACTGCTGGTTTCTGCTAGCTTTTCCAATGTGTCTTGGGAAGGCAATGCTACGAAAAGGGTGCGGCTCAGTCTTTTCCAGTCCCGGTTTGCCGCCCAATACAAGGATATGTTAGGCACTGTCGTTACATCTTGTCGTCGAAAACCTAGCTATACGATATTCAGCTCAGTGAATTGTATAGAAAGTACATAGATCGTACCACCTCATTGTCAAAAAGAGATAAGACTGGGGCATTTTCATGAGCAGGAGTTGCAGCCGTCGGACTTGAAACAGGGCCATTATTGTCACCCGCGGCTCGGGGAAACGACTGATCGGTATCGCCATCGTAACGCTGCATAAATCTCTCCAAGAGCGATTCCACTCGAGCCAATCGGTCATTCAAAGATGCACGATCTGATTCGCGGGGATTTTCAGGTTTTGGCAAATCCTGGGTGCGACAGAGCAAACCCCGAACCAGACACTCTCTGCAGCTACGGTCACCATCAGAAGCAAAATGACAGCGCACCTTGCGGTGTTTACCTGGATTGAGGTAAGCTGAGTGTCTGGTTAAATGCCTAATTTTCACATACATTCCCAGCAACTGCGGGTCCCCTTGCGGATCTTCTTTCGCGGAGGCTGCTGATCCTCGGATAAAGGCATGATGATGATAGCGTGGCTGCAGTTACATGGATTCATACCACAATAAGACAGGTACTGAAGAGGCTCAAGCTCTCGTGTCTATGGATGGTCGTTCCGGCTATTTGGCGGAAGAGAGGTGCTGGGGTTGAGACTGTGGGCCCCAAATCGCTTGTGGGCGGACCTCAAAGGCTGTTGCTCCGTCCGCCGGCTCGGCGGAAGAAGAAAGCGATCTGCATCAGCAACCAAAAAAAAAGAAAAAGAAAGAAAGAAACCCAGTTCTCCTTTCTAGATATTTGTGAACAGCCTATTCCATGAATTTCCAATCTCGAGGTACTGAGAGCAGCAAGTCTAATAACATTGGGGCACATGGCGCCGTCAGCTGCAATATCCACAACCTCCACCATTCTAGACGAGTCTGATGAACAAAAAGTTCCAGAGATAGCCAAGGGGCAAATTGAGATGTCCGAGGAAAAGGAGGACCCGGCGTCGCCTGCAGACACAGGCTCGGACGGAGTCACACTACTCATGACGGTCGTGGCTTTGGCGCTAAGCATGTTCCTCGTAAAGATACCCCGAATTCTTCATTGTTTTCGGCTGCTAACTTGTCGTTGTACTCAACAGGTTTCGCTTGACATGGTAATTCTTCGATCCTGCTATGCAGCCATGTTTTACTAAATCAATAGCAATCCTGACAATTGATTCCTCACTTAGACCATCGTCGCAACGGCTGTCCCGAGTATTACAAGTGATTTCGGTGGCATCGAGCTTGTGGGCTGGTACGGATCGGCATTTTTTATCACTCTGGGAGGATTCCAAGCTACCTGGGGCAAGACATACAAATACTTTCCGCTCAAGCTTTCATTTCTCTTCTCGATCATTCTCTTCGAGCTCGGGAGCTTGGTTTGTGGTGAGTGCATTCTATACAAACAAGACGCGAATCCCTAATGGTTTGTATAGGAGTCGCACCCAGTAGTTTGGCATTAATTGTCGGACGAGCGATCACAGGCATTGGAGGCGCCGGTATTTCCTCTGGTGCATTCACCATCATTGCTTTATCTGCACCTCCAAAACAACGACCAGTGTACATTGGGATTCTGGGAGCCTCCTATGGAGTCGCGGCTGCTATCGGCCCTCTAATAGGCGGCGCTTTCACTAGCAACGTTACATGGCGATGGTGCTTCTACATCAACCTTCCCATCGGTGGGGTTGCCGGAGTGATCATTCTCTTCTTCTACCGACCCCCTTCCCCATCGCATTTCCTTCAGGAGCCTTTGCGAGAGAAGCTTCTACAATTGGACCTTCCTGGCACTGCACTTCTTATCGGTGCCATGATTTGTTATGTTTTTGCTCTTCAGTGGGGAGGAATCACACGTCCCTGGAGTGACTCCGCTGTGGTAGGGACTTTGGTAGGGTTTGGGGTCCTATTAGTCACCTATGCTGTCGTGCAGTGGGTGCAAAAGGAACGTGCAGCAATGGTCGGTCGCCTTTTCAAACGGAACGTGGTGATCTCAATGATCTATATTGATTTACTAGCGGGGACGTTCTTTTTGCTAGTCTACTATCTGCCTATTTATTTCCAGGTTGTGTCCGGTGTCTCCGCAGCTGAAAGCGGTATCCGGAACCTGCCGTTGATTCTGGCGCAGAGTGTGGCCACTGTTGCGTCAGGGCTTGCCCTGAGTAAGGTGGCATATCCTCAACCTTTCCTTCTAGCTGGGGCAGCGCTCACGGCCATTGGATCCGGTTTGTTATACACACTGAACATCAATTCCGGTGCCAGCAAATGGATCGGATATCAAATATTAGCCGGCATCGGTATTGGATGGTGTTTCCAGGTGCCGGTTGTGACTGCGCAGTCTGCAGTACCCCCAGAAGACTTGCCTTCTACAACAGCCATGGTTTTAAGTAAGTGCAATTCCATCGATTTTTCCAAATGCATGATTGACTCATTGAAGCTGTTCAAACCATGGGAGGCTCGGTTTTCGTATCTGCTGGCCAGTCTGTCCTCGATAACGTACTTCTAAAAATGCTACGCAAATCTCCCGGCATTGTCGCCACAAAAGTGGTCATGACTGGTGCGACTGATTTGCGCAAAACCTTTGATTTGACACAGATACCGGCTATCCTAGGAGCGTACATGAAGGGCATTCAGGCAGCCTTTCTAATTGCAATTGTCGCATCTAGTCTGGCCACCGTGGTTAGTCTGGGGAGTCGATGGAGAAAACTTGCTAGTGCTAGTGCAACAGCAGCTGCATAATCGACTCAACCAATAACTATGAAGATGTCCATTCATCAGACCAGCCCATACGACCATGGGGCGTGGATGCCAGAAAACGCGTAGGGAAAACAAGCAATATGATTCCCTCTTTTATCAGGAAATAGGTAGAATGTAACTCTAAATATAGAGTGGATAGGCTTATCGATAACCTCCACCTCACCAACTTCCTTCCTTGCCATCCACCAGTTGACCCTTCATCATCACCATCATGTCTGATTTCGAACGGAAAGGTATATGAAGAATAATAACGACTGTATGCGGCCGATGTCGAGTGGTTCTATGTGGCCGGATAGATCGGAGAACGGAACGTTGTGTCGATATCGACCCTTGAATTATTGTGGTTGCATACCGAACGGGAGCTATCGGACGGATGGTGGACCCACCCGCGGGCCCTCCCGAGCTCCTTGCCACCACGAACACGTCGAGAACAGCAGCGTAGTCCTAATATAATCTAGGAGTGTAGAAATCGAACTCAGGGGTGTACTTTTCCAACGTCTCTAAAACAATAATAGTTGACGACAATAACGTGCGTTATGAGCGAGCGAAACGACAAGTTGCAAATACGCCATCACCTATGTCCACAAAATTAATTCCAGTTGTCCAAGGAGACTACGACTCATCTCTTACCGTCTACTTGTTGAACGAGTGTCCTTATATATCCCTCCGCAGATTACCATGTCGAATATTATCTCGTGGTATTTGTCCCTCGCAGTTGATACGGGTACTTTGTAACATTCTATGACGTGCCACCGGCCCTGTTTGGGTCCACGTCTGTTTAGGACTCGCCGAGGGGTTTGATTGGCGTTTGTTTTCCATTTCCGGTCCACTTAGAGAAAAAGTAGCCCCAGAAAACTCGCCATTCCCATTAACATGGGCAAGTAAGGAGATGGGATAGAAGCAGCATCTAGATATTTCTGTCAGAGATATAATTTCCAAGTCTCACACGCAAATAATGACTTACTATCGAGGCACACTTGGCCCCATACGTCCACAGCGTCGTAGAGCTTCCATATCCCAGCCCGCGAACCATTATTCAGACCCTCTTTCCTCATCTTCTGGCAATTTTCATCATTAACGCACGAGGTATTGGACGATCCAATAGCCAACGAATAATTCCTATAGCTCGAAAATGTACACAAACAATGTATATCGGAGCTGCTAGTGCTTACAAAAGCATCTTGGCCACACTCACTCGCCAAGTATTTTTCGTAGACTCCAAGAAGACATGGCTGGAGACACGAGGGGCAGCTTTGCACGTATTCGCTATAGGATTTGGGGAAGTGGGCGACGGCACATGTGGCGGCAATACTAAGGATTATCAGAGAGAGACCCGTTTTCATGTTGGATATGTGTGCGTGAAGGCGAGAGAGGAGAGCGAGGGAAAGTGAGAAAGAAGATGATCCTATGTACCCCGCACGGATACAAGATCAGTGATCATGTGGAAAGAACGGGGCTCGCCCCATTGTTTCTGGGGCGGATGAGTCCCTCGAAAACATAGGGCAGTGATTTGCAAGGGTCAGCGCGCGAAACAGGGATGAAACACTCGTCATTTATAACTTAGTCCGTTGCAATTATTACCTATTAAATAAGTTATATTATTATTAGTAATAATAACTATTTGACTGCTACTCCGCGTTTCTTAGATATTGTATCTGTGTAAATCTGGCTAGTTCTTAAACTAACTCTCAAGATAGACTATGCCCGCGAATAGGATCATTAGGGGCATCAACCATCTATCTACTGCAATGCATTCGACTATGGTCACTGTTTCCGCAATCCCACCTGTTGGTATAGGCCTTGTACGATCCCTATGCCGAGTTGTGACGCGCTATGATTTTCCCTAGCCTAGTTAGAAGCTAGTTTCTTCAAAATTGTAGATATTCTTTAGCCTAATTTTGTACTACTATAGCACCACATCTAGGCGATAGAAAAAATCCTCAATATAGGGTAATCGCTCTACATCTGATCGCTCTGCTTCTATGATTTTCTGGGTAGTTAGAACGTAGTTATTAGGGTGGCGTTTTAGAAATCTATAGGCCTAATTGTGTCCGACGCGTCGCGTAGAACCACTCCGCACTAGTATCTCGTTTGCTGTACCCCCAACCTCTCCTGGAGTTAGTAGAAGATTTGCACGATAAAGTAGATCTATCCAGCTAATCAATGCCTACTCTTAATATTTATCAAGGCATTTGTTGGTGGCCTAGCGCGCCGAAAGAGATGTATGACCATGAACGCGTCGTACAAGTCGTTGGTAATCAACGCCAAATTCCCGCGCGACCGCTGCGATTGTAGGCTTCCCACGATCATAGTAGGCTTTCAAAGCCTTCTGGATGAGCTCCTCGTCTTTATGGGATTTTTGGGGCATTGTGGTGTAGATAATAATAGGAAGAAGTTGGTGGGTGGAAGAAAAATTTTCATTATGATGGGATTTCATTATGATGGGGAGGACCCACAACGGCGCAGCGTTGGGGGTCTGACTTTAGGGGGCGATTATATTGTGGAGGCGCTTGCTAAAAAATCCTTCGGGGAGGTGCTAACGAAAGATCTTATCGAGCCGCTCAATATGACTCGCACCAAACCAGTACCTCGCTCGGTGTCATCCCGCTTTCGTAGGGCGAATATTGGTGGGATTTTAATATTAGCGAAGAGGGACCGTAAGTAGCTTTTCCTCCCCCACCGATTCTGGTTAGAGAATTCACATTTTTTAGTGTCGGTGGCATCTATTCATCCTCAAAGGACATGGCCACTTGGGGTAGTACCATTCTCAATAGCAAACTTCTTCCTGATTGAATCACAAAACGCTGGATGAAACCGCTCACTCACACATCATCTTTGGATTACGCTGTGGGGGTTCCATGGGAGATTTTGTCATTCGGGCAACAAACGCGCGATTGACCTCTACACTAAATCAGGAGACATCGGCACATACTCATCTGTGCTAGCCTTAGACCCCGATCACCGTGTTGGCGTTGTAGTCCCCGGGGCTGGTAGCAATACACATGTATCTCTTTTCCTCGCAGCAGATCTCGTTTCTGCAAGCCTGCTCCCCGCACTTGAACAAGCCGCCGAGAACCAGGTTCACAACTCTGCCATAATGCAACATGACGATAAATAAATCGGAAAATTGCTAGATCTACGCTGGGTCTAGATTATTTGAAAGTCCATGTTCGCTTTATTTGATGCGTTGTTTCGTCCTTGTCGGGGATATCTGAGTTCCCCTCTCCCTCACCAAAACTCCCGATGGGGAAATCGGGCCATTGTAACTTGACAATGCAACATGGCTCTAAGCGAACCGAGGGAAACTCTCTATACTTGAGGAGAAAGAAATAGAAAGACTTTTGGCCCCTTTATGTTAGCATACTATGACTGTTTATTTGTCGGGCATATTTACTCTTCCCTTCGCTTGCTGCGAAGCTCCAACAAGGATTCGGATTAAATCAATTAGCCGATCTAAATACTCTTTGCTGGAAGGAAGAAATAAAGCAAGGCGATTGATTTATCTCTTTATGTGATCCGCATCGCCACTTACCGTCGATCTCCATACACATCCAAATAATCCAGTCAGGAAGCCATGAACTTGTACAGTTCGGTTTTATTGCTTCTTGGTAGTCGTGGTGCTGCTGCTGCCGTAGCGACGAAAAGTGGTGATACACATGTCCTCTCAGCGACTGCTCCCTACACGGCAGGACCTGCAGTGCTTTCGCCATTCGTATGCTTCTCTATTGAATTCGTCTACTTTCCAGATTTCGCAGGTATGTTTTATCCTAAAATCTATCTTTTTATTCAATACTAATCCCATGTAGGGAACAAAACACAGCCCAATTCTTTCTCAAATCAACTCCTCGACAATCTAGCCGATCTCCAGGGAGCCAAGCCGCATATCAGAGTTGGCGGCAATACACAGTATGATTGCTCTTTCTATCTTGTCCGAATATACTTCTAACCTCGGCACGACAGGGACTACGCGCTCTACAACTCATCCTTGGACGTCGCTGTCAATGGAACATACATCCCTTCCAAATCTACGGATTATCCCTACATCATCTACATAGGACCCTCTTACTTTGAGTCCTACACAACATGGCCAAACACCAAATTCTCACATGGATTCAACCTAGGAAAGAATAGTTCTCATGATATACAGCTGGAAATGGACAGTGTCCCGCTAGTCTGCGAAGCCCTCAGCCACGGAAACCTGCTCTTATGGGAGCTAGGAAATGAGCCCGACGACTTTAAGAATGCAATACAAGGACCCGTCAGGCCACCTTGGTGGAACGAGACAGATTACGTCAATCAATGGCTAAATCGAACCGCTGCCCTTAAAAAGCAGATGGAAATTCACTGTCCCAAGCTGGCTCAGACGAAATACATGGCGCCTTCATTTGGAGGAATCGATGGCGCTCTGAAGGCGCTTACCACCTGGCAAGATGGTTTGAATGATGCTAAGAATATTGCTTTCAATTCTGAGCACAAGTGAGCATCTCCTCTTCCGCTGCTTAATGTGACAAGGCTTTGAAGAACTGATCATTGGCATTATATAGTTACATGGGAGGAGCCGATGAGCCAGGCGTCACGCTTCAGAAGACATTGATGAACCATACAGCAGTGGTCGAGAATGCCGCAGAGCATATCAATCTCATGCACACTCTCGACGCCCAGAATCTCACCACCGGCATCCCCTATATCCTAGGAGAAACCAACTCGCTCTACAACGAAGGCCGGGAAGGACTATCCAACTCTTTCGGAGCCGCTCTCTGGGGTGTGGACTGGAATCTGTACTGTGCATCTCAAGGCATCCGCCGAATATACATGCACCAAGGAACGGACTATCGGTACGCGTCTTGGCAGCCCGTTGGAACTAACAAGACCACAATCGGGACAAAGGCCCCTTACTACGGGAATGCCATGGTGGCTGCCATGACCCGGGGCGGAGACGATGTTCAAATTCTCAATATCCCGCTCAGTCAGGATACCGAGTCTGCTTATGCGGCGTATGTCGGCGGCAACCTGGCGCGGCTTGCTGTGGTCAATATGGCAGAATATAATTATACTTCTGGCACTACCTCAGGCGATGCTGCTGATCGTCCATCGGGTAAGTATTCGTTTAAATTGCCTGCTCGGATTGCATCTGGGTACGTGTCGGTGCAACGCCTTATGGCTAATGGGAGTAATGCTGTCACGGGGGTTACCTGGGATGGTTACTCGTATAATTACGAGTTGAAGGACGGGAAACCGGTTCGAATGAACAATGTCACCAGCGACGAGAGGCTCAAGGTTGGGCCCGATGGAATGGTTGTGGTTGATGTGCCTTATTCCAGTGCTGCTCTTTTGAACTTGGAAGGAGGCATGTAAAATCATATTCTTCATCATTATTATACAGTGCAAATCGCCTTAATCCGCCCCAATTATTTTCACCGCGGCTTTGGTCTTCACCATCTGGGTCTCTCCTGCAATAGTTACATTTGTGTTGAACCTGAGTTCATGAGTATGCTTGATGGTGTATGTTGTGAAATCCGGGGAAATCGTTTTTGGAGTCCAGGTGAGCATCTTGTCATCGCTAAATAAACCGCCATTAGAACGGAGGGAAAGACGTAGCATGGTGCCAATATTAATTGCCTTGTTGTCCTCTCCTGTTGATATCACCAACGGAGTCTTGAGCTGCTTGAATGCATCTTCCAGGTCCAGGTCGGCAGACCATGACTGTTTAGCTGACTCTGCCTTGGAAAGATTGAAATCGTGCAGCGCAAGGACTGTGGTATGGTGCTTAATATGCAATCTGATCCAATTTATTCGAACCGTCCGTGGAATGTCCCTGATGGAGGCAGTCGTGTTTGAGAGCGAAGGAACAATGTTCAATATAATCGGGATAGGGTCCCGGTTGTTAAGTTGGATGACGGTGGGTAAAGAGACGACAATCCTATATTGAAACATGGGCACCTTACTCGAGCCAAGAAGTTTCTGGGTCCTTTGTCTCAGTGACAAGTCGGCATCCTCCATCCCCGGAAGCAGACGTTGGCTTTGCATAAACGTTTCTGGAGAGGAGAACTTCATGAATTCGAGCGGGCCCGCCTCCTGGGTCGGATGTCGTATTCGGAGGGGTAAAGTTGCATTGACAACCTTGTGGGAAGCGCCAACAGTATAGTGCAATCTGGCATGAAGAGCATACTCAATGAGGCTCTCTGAGGAGCGGTCCTTCCCATGTGACTCAAAGGACCCCGGTAAGGGGTGACCCTGTGTTAGCGGTAGGAAGCTCTTTTTGCTCATATAGTCCTGCCTCGCAAAGGTCTGGGAGGGGATCTGTATTGAGAAAGGCCAGCTGAGAGCATTTTCTCCTCCGTGAGGAAGGTGCAAAGGGCCGTTGAAAATGACGCCTCCCGTCTGTTCCAGCAAGTCCCAGTCGTCGATATAGCGACGCTGGGTGGTCTTTGCAGACGGTGGTGAGATTGTGGTTCTTATATTCCCTGTCAGCCACAGCTTCAAGGTGGCCTTGGGCGTGACGACCGGCGTGTCGCGGATTAGGTGGCCGATGAGCCGGTCACCGGCCGCGAATTTCCAACGCGGGGGCGCAGCGAGTTCGAACTTCAAGTCCGGACTGCCTTGGCACGGGGGATCAAGCATTTTTGGCTCGTTGTTCACGATAAGAGGTGTGGAGCTGAAGCTTGTGTGGGGTACAATTGAATGTGAGCATGGGTGTGGGGAGATATACACATCAGGGTGGCAAAAAGGGGCCAAAGCACCGAAGTAGGTCACGTTGCTGTGGTAGACGAGTCAGCTCGAGGGGTAGTTAATTAAGGGTATTACGTATTGTGATCGATTACTAGTATCTACAATGAACTATTAAACCGATGCCTCGTTTCCTCATCGGAACAAAACCTATCATCAAAGAAAAGTCAAAAAGATTTTAACATCTAATATGCATGACAGACAATTCTATCCAGGGACATCACACAGAATAAGAACAACGCCCAAGGCTGACAAAGACGAAACGTTTGAACTCCAGGTGAAATGCAGATAAATGACAGAAAGCTCATTTCGAAGCTATCAAGGCTGATAGCAGTGGAAAATCAATCAACCGTTGTCTCGTTATGTGGGAGGGTCGTAGAATTTGCAGAAACCGCCAGGTCAAGTGAGGACAGGGCGATGGTGTTGTTGGCTTGAATATTGATGGCCGCGGCATACATGCACCGCCAGCTATGTTCTGAATCGCTAGGCCCCGGAATCCGGCTCTTCGTATCACAATCCGCATGGAAGACCATCTTTGTTCCGTCAGGAGAAACTGTTGCCCCACCCGGCGATCGAAGATCAAAATCACCCGTTTCAAAAAGTGGCCGAGTGGCTCGTGTGTAGGGTCCTCTGATCGAGCTCGCATGGGCATATTTCACATCGTACCATAGCGACGTGTAGCAGTGAGAGGAGTAGAAGAGAAAGTAGGTGCCGTCCTCTCTGCGGATGATATTGGGGGCCTCAACAAGCGGGCCATCGCTGGGTATAATGTCAAGAATGATTTCCGGTGGCCCCCTCTTGGTGATGCCATTGCTCTCCATCTCTTGGAGCATAATCGGGACGGAGACTATGGGCGGCAAGCTATTGCCACAGTAACCCCCGTGGCCCACGCTGTTTCCATCGGCCTTGTAAGTGACATACAATTTGCCGTCGACATCTCTAAATGGTGAAGGATCGATAGCTCCGCCGTGTTTGTGTGGGCAGGCCAACGGCTCCTTTTCGGGGATGTATGGACCCAGTGGGTCATCGCCTTGCGAAACTGCAACTCCGACACAGTGTTGTTTGTGATAGTGCTTTTCTTGTCCAGCGTAGTAGAGAAGAAACTTTCCATCGTCCTACAAATGTCATTAGAATATAGTCGAATTATTTCCGGCAAGTTTACATACCCGTTGGATCACATCGGGTGCCCAGTGATTGATTCCGCGCTCCCATTCGCCCACGCCTGGCATCGCATCGTAGCCGTGGTGAAGAGTCCAGTTGATAAAGTTGGTTGATGTGGCCACGGGGACATGAACAGAAGTCGGGTCGTCTCTCATGGGGTTCGTCCCGTACGCATACCAGGTGCCATTGTGGTGGATGAGACCCGGATCGGGGAAATCAAAGACCCCAAAGACGGGACGGTTCTCGGCGATGTGATATGTGGGATCAACGGGCCGGCCACTGTAGTGGTAGTCGACGGGATTTCGGGTGAGGGCAATGGGCAGAGCGATGACTAGCGAGAGAAGCACGGCTGCCAGAATCCCAAGAGCGCTCAGGATAATCCGATCTCGTCGATTCCGTGGTGGCCAGAGGAGACATTGTCTTTTCACTTGTTCGGCTTTGGCTGACGGCTCTGCATTGAATGTGGCCTGGGAGCTCCTCTCGCTGTCAAACACCTCCCTCACCGAGGTAGCGTGCGAATAAGCGAGGTCTTTTTTCGGACTGTCCGCCATCGCTTAATTGTGCCACGGGAGACCTTTTGGGCAATTCACTGAGTATCCCACAGCTCTAACCCCTAGACTGGTCAGCAATATGCCTCAGAAGGCTGGAGGAAGATGAGTTGCAAAGTTGGAAGAAGTGTCATGGTGGTTGGTGTGGGTGTATGTATGAGTTGTAGGGCTCTGAAATGGTGCAATCCAGATGGACAGCTCCACGTCGCGTGCTTAGATATTTATTTATGCCGAATAGCGGGAGGGGCAGGGTGGCAAGGAACTTAGGCAGCAGGGGATACAAAAATGAGACCCTAAAAAACTCAGAGTCTAGATCACATCAGCACGTGCTCCGATTATACCATTATTCGTCCGACCCGGGTGAACTAGGAAATACCCCCGAGCTTGGCGAGAGGTCACCTGCGATCAAAACTTTTTTGTTTCTGACTACCATCACAAAGACTGCCCGGCACAATCGGACAATAATCAACCGAGAAAGGAATGAGTCTCCTGCAAACAAGCTTTTGCAAGGGCCCGGGTGGAGCCAGTCATGGCGAATGGTGGCCTGTCTGTCCCACCTCTAGCAATGATCGCCCTGCATGCCAGTTATGTATTATGGTTCCTACGTCTATCCCTATCACTTTGTTCCTTGAAGCTACATACCAATTCCGATTATGCGGGTGCCTAAGGTGTCAGCTAGATAGGTCTTCCCTATTTGAGGGCGACATGTTCCGACTTAGGAATATCCGTTGGTCCGTAAATGTAAGGATGGTTCTCTGGATGGCCTTCTAACCAACCGCCCACGTCAGTCTATCTGACCGACTGCATTGTGGTGGAAATGACGCAAATTTCATGCGGCCTTGTTGCTGGCAGCTTAAGGTTGCGAGGGTCACACCGAGCAGGTAAAAACCCGGTCTAATCTTGAAGCAGGTTTGGATGGAGCCTTTTCCCTGCCAGGTACAGATTTGAAAGTACTAGTTCACGCCTCAGGATATCAAAAAACTGGAGATACTCAGTGTCGATCGTTTAGCTAGACGACTTGAAGGTGAGAGCGCAAGGTTCTTATGAAGCATTGGGGCTTCAAGGGCTTCAGGGGTGTTTCAGAACCCCTTTTTATAACGCCGATGTGTGAGTGTCCGAGCATGCTATTATTATTGATGGTTGGATGAATCTCAGCTATATGGCTGTATCTGGAGTGAGATTCCCATCAATAGCCGGGACTCACTTTGAGGTTGGATAATCAATTAGGTTATGTACCTGTCTAGGACTTTGGTTCTTCGCCACCGAGGGCAACATAAATATTTATGAAACGAAATAATTGCTGAGAGACTTGTATAGCATACCATCTCGCCGGCAGATAATCTCGAAAATCCTTGTCTTTATTATGACATCTCCATAAGTTAATCATTCTGTTTCAAAACCCTGTCGACTAAGAACACTGCTATCAAATATGGCTAGCTCGTTAGGGTTGTTTCCTGGGTATGGGTCTGCTCTCTTCCATCATTATTATTTAACTGTTAGCCGTGAAAGCGAGACGCTAGGCCCTGCGTCGGACATGTTACATGGAACAGGGTAAGCGCGCTAGCGCTCCATGATCAGGCGAATGATAGGGCGATAGAGGAACACAGTCTCCAGTGTGATGATACTAGCCGTGATGGGCCAACTGATGTGGAGAGGATCAGGAGAAAAGTAAAAAATGAAGAATCGCCAGAGAGAAGAATAATATTCCGATACTCACTACTCACACCTACTTGACCGACTTATACTTGGCGGTGTCCAATCCGGCGACTGAAATACCGCGAGAGCCACGTGAGCCCCTACACAAGTCAGCGCAATCCCCGGATCAACGTACGCAATCTTTCTGTTCCACTCGACCGCCTTTGAGGACGCTGGACGGCCTTGGCCTCTTTCTTGCCTCTGCTCTGATTCATCATCCCACCCTGAGCAGCAATTCCGGCGGTGGTCTCCATTGGCCCACTACCACTACCGTTGCGCCCTGTTGGGTCTCCTTTTCTGTTTGCGGATCTCCGACCGGCAATCCGAGGTCGCATCTCAGCTACACCTCACCCACCCATTCAAATCCCCTGCAAATGCAGACATGTCCCTCTCATGATACCCCTGACCTGAGATTCGACCACACGACCACCAAGGACTCATCCGTGATCAATCCGCCGCGTTCCTAGTCTTCGCTTGGCGGAAGAAACCTGCGGAGGAAACTCGGTCTGCGGATTTTAGAATACTCAAGCGCACGCGCTTTTTGAACCAACCCCGTTGCCAACCATGCCTACCTTCCGCAAGACATTGCTTGCCGCCGTCTGCCTCATCGCCTTCATCGTCATCCTCCGAGCGTCCCGATCCTCCGACCTCCCCAACGCCCGGGGCTTTCGGCCCGTCGAGAAAATCTTCGAAGAGAAGGAGAATGCGAAAGCGCATCCAGAGACACAAGAGAAGAAATCCAAAGAACAGCAGCAGCAGCAACATCTGGGCGCTTCGGTGACAGCGCCGCTACGTGATCGCCTCCGCTACCAGTTCCCCTACGACCTCGAACCCAGTTTCCCGGCGTATATCTGGCAGACATGGAAATACCAACCATCATCATACTGGTTTGCAGAAGAGCTGCGCGTCCCAGAGGCTAGCTGGACGGAAATGAACCCCGGGTTCGTGCACGAGGTCATTTCCGATGACACGCAGCGCGATCTAATCAAATACCTGTATGGGATGATTCCGGATGTGTTCGAGGCGTACGACTCCATGCCACTTGCCGTCTTAAAGGCGGACTTCTTCCGCTATCTGATACTGCTGGCCCGCGGCGGCATCTACAGCGACATCGACACCCACGCTATCCAGCCCGTCATCCACTGGCTGCCCGAAAAGCTCGACAAGTCCACTGTAGGCCTTGTCGTCGGTATCGAGGCCGATCCAGACCGCGAGGACTGGGCCGATTGGTACTCGCGCCGCCTGCAGTTCTGCCAGTGGACCATCATGTCCAAACCGGGGCATCCGATTTTGCGCGATATCATCGTGCACATCACCGAGCACGCGCTGCGGATGAAGAGAGCTGGCATTTTGAAAAAAGGCAAGATGGACAAGACTGTCGTCGAGTTCACGGGCCCGGGCGCCTGGACTGATGCCGTCTTCCGCTACTTCAATAACCCGGAATATTTCAACATTCAGCCCGGCGATAAAAATATCACGTACGAGGACTTCACGCAGCAGGTCGATTACCGCAAGGTCGGCGATACCCTCATTTTGCCAATTACCAGCTTCAGCCCGGGCGTCGGCCAGATGGGTGCCGAGGATATTGATCATCCTATGGCCTTTGTGAAGCATGATTTCGGAGGTAAGAGTACTCGGCGTGTTGTTTTCACATATGGTATTAACATTCATGCTTCCAGGGATATGGAAAACAGACCCCTCGCTTTAAATAATACAACCCCCTATTCGCAACCTACCACTACCATTATCCCCGCCATAATGAAGACAGTCCGTTCTCATCACAATGAAATTGGCCGCTTCGATGCCTGTTCGGCCCCCATCAAGCTACGACCTGCTATCACTTCAGCAATGGAAGCGGCCTCCCTGCTTGACAGAGGCACTGCCTTTTTCGGCGAGGCTGCTCGCGCTATCGGCCGAACCATCCCGTCCGCGGGGCTCCTGCCTTGCCCGTCCGGCCCACCTCAGACGAATTGAGGTGCACACCGATATGCATATACAGACCAGATCGGTCTTTCGTCCATGTGTACATATGGCTGACCGTTCGATTTCTTGTGCCATACCTTATGGGATACTTAGATTTCGGAAAACCTTTACACAAATCGAGAAGAACGGAGAGGATGGTAGGATGATACATAGATAGAAAGCTGTTGAGGAGAGTGGAAAATGTCACGTCACGGTTATCATGAATCCAAGCCACGTACCGAAAATATCAAATATTGATTGATCGGAGAGCGAGCACGTAGACAAAAATAACATCCAGTTCCAAAGGCAAATTCGAAGAAAGTGTTGATACAGTCTCCCTTCCGGGTTATGCAAAATGGTCCAGCCTATGTCCATAACATATGGAAAAGCAGCTCGAGCAGCAAGTACAGATAATAGTTAACATACACATCGGAGTAGCAAGGCATATCGCCAACGACACCATACATAAACAGCGAAAAATAAAAATAAAAATAAAAATAAAAATAAATAAACAAATCAAGATCAACAAAAATGCTATGTTCAGATCAAGATCAAACAAAGTGAGTATGTACGTGACCGGTGGTGTTGGTCAATCGAGAACAGAGAACAGAAAACATCATCACATCGTAATCGGGCTGGAACCAGAACCAGTTTTCGAAAACTGGAAGACAACCACGATGGTACATATGTATCATAATCGACAGCAAGCAAACCAAAAGAGTATGCATCTCTACCAAGCACAATACTATGTCTTGGGAGAAAGAGCTGCGAGTAAGGCGACGCCAAGAATTAAATGGGAGTATGTATTTCAAAGAAGCAAGAAGTGAGTGCCGCAAGCGAGGCGGGTAGGGTACCTTAGTGTCCTGCCAAAATCGTAGAGGAGAGAGGGGTGTGTTTAAGTGTATGAGTCCGATTGGCCGATGTTGGGGGCGTGGGGGTGGGCGGGGAGGGGATAGGTGTACCCAGGGCACCCGGAGGATTTCAAAGTCTCCTGCTCATCCGGGAGATTCTCTGTCGGGGTAGAGATAGATGGCAGCAAGCGAGACTTTCCTCCAAATACCAAACTCAGAAATCACTGAACAGTGAATCATACTTCTTTCTTAGATCGTCGGTATAGATATTCTGACCCCGACAATCTGGCGGATCGGGATATTCCTCGAAGTTACTAGTATCCGCCGGGTGCGTCACCCGGGGGAGAATAGGGCCTTTGACACGGCGGTAGAACAGATCGTCCCAGACAATGTCTTGGAAAAACGGATGCGCGCGGACTCTCGCAGAGCCGCCGGAGATATGGCCCAGCCGTTCGGACGGGTTAGTCTTGCAGAGGAGCGAGACAATATTCTGCGCCGAGGCGGGCATATTTGGCGGGAAGCGCAGGCGCCCTTCCACGATCTGCTCGTAGATGCGCATGGGATTCTGATCCCAGAATGGAGGCTGGCCGACCAGGAACTCGTAGATCAAAATGCCCAGCGCCCACCAGTCTACTGCAAGTCCGTGACCGCTGTTATGAATGACTTCGGGGGCGAGGTACTCCGGCGTGCCGCACAGGGTGTATGTCTCGCGGTTTCCGACTTGCTTCGCAAACCCGAAATCGACGAGTCGGAGGTGGCCGTCGGCATCCAACAGAATGTTCTCTGGCTTGAGATCACGGTAGGCAATGCCGTGGGCTTCGTGCAGGTATTCGATCGTCATCGTGATCTCGGCGGCATAGAATGTCGAGGTCTCTAGGTCGAAGCGCCGTGCGCGTCGGAGATAGCTGAAGATCTCACCTCCAGGGCAGTAATCCAGCTTGTCGACGGTTAGCTTGCCTGTCCGACCTGGCAGCACTGGGGCCAGGAAACGTACCAGCATGTAGAGACTCTGGTCATCAGAGAAGGAAGCGTTCAGGGTTGTGATGAAAGGATGTCCGACCACTGCGGCTAGGGTTTTTCGTTCGTTGCGCACATGTTCCACCTGCTTCAGTTTGATCACTGGTCCTGTATGAGCATGTTGTCTTATCTTGAGTCTCTATACAAGGTAAATAACTCACCATCGGCCTTGCGCAGTATCTTCAGAGCGTATACTTTATTCTTGTCCGAATCCTTTTGCTCTTTCGGTTTCGCGAGCCAGACCCGCGCAAAAGTCCCTAGAAAAGGGTCGCGGAGTTAGCCGGTTGCAAGCGTTGGTAGAAAGAAAGACCAGACTCACCAGTGCCGAGGGTCTTCATCAGCCCAAAATCGCTGAGTTGGAGGTCTCGGGACGAGAGGGTGATCTGCTTCTCTTCGGCGCGCTCGGTGATGAGGAACGGGTTCGCCGATCGCGGTGAGGAGCGGATGGACTCGACCAGCTGTTTGCCTCGCTCATGGAGGCCGTCTGGCCGCATGTCGATGCGGGGATTGACTGTGGTGCCCGGCACCTCAGGAGTGTGTGTGGCAGGAGGATGTTGAACAGTTCCGGTCGCCATTGAAATGGCAGCGATCACTATGGCCCGGCCGGCGGGTCAGGAGAACCAAACAGAAAAGAACAGAAAGCAAGCCACAATCCCAATCGCAGCCGTCACCGACAATACGTTCGGGACTCAAAAATGGGAACAAGGCAGAGAAACTAATAATGCGCAACGTGTTTTGTTATATCACAGGCCAGGCGAAGCGGGCTCTGACGTTATCGCATGGGGGCGGGGCTGCACTATGCTGATCTGAACCAACAGCGGCCGAACGGAGCAATACGGAGAGGCAGATTCTAATGCTAGAGTTGGGAGCAACCGATTTGGTCCGAGAGGTAGGGAGTAAACGCTATTTATTATACATGGTCTCCTTGTTCTCACTCCAGTCAGCACCAGATCTGGACGCCCTGACGCAGTCGAGGGACATGGCGCCGGTTGGGCCCCCAGCACCATCACCACCGCCTGAAACGGGCGAATGATACTGCGCCACTAGGGTCGTGGTCGCAGAAGCAATTATAGAGCGCGCGCGCTCAGGACTTCGAGTTCAAGATCAAGCCGACAATCAACCTAGTGGTCCGTGTTAGCAGACTGCGCAGAAGCGAATCAAGAAAGAAAGAAGGCATACCCGTAAAGGCCCAGAACTTCGCCGAAAATCAGAATCAGAATCATTCCCACGTACACCCGTGATTGTTGCATGTATGCCCGCACGCCCTAGAGAATTCATCGCGGTTAGAGAGACAGTCGTCGTCGACAGCGGGGGGAGCACTCGTACCGCATCACCGACGATTCCAATCGTATATCCAGCGGCCACGCCTGCGAGGCCGACGGACAGTCCCGCCGCAAGATGCATGAATCCCCTATCCCGCGCTCGTCAGCTTGTTCCGTCCCAGCCACTGTCCAACGCAACTTACGTGTACAAGCTCATGTTCGAGTCGGGGTTCACCGCTCCGGCGATGAGCACGGCGATGACGAGACCGTAGACGGCGATGATACCGGACATGACCACGGGGATGAGCGACTGCAGCCGTGTTGTCTCCGGTTAGCGAACCCTGTCCCACCGTACTGGAGCAATCAACTTGCCTTCATGATCAAGTCCGGCCGGAATGTTCCCACACCTGCAATCCCGATGCCCGACTTGGCTGTGCCATATGCTGCTCCCACGCCTGTAAGGATTGTAAGCTTTCTGATCGGGGTATGTTCTGTGTTTATCGTTGTCGCGAGGTCAATCACGTACACCCGAAGATCATCTTCGGAGATAGCGGTTAGCAGGACGGTTGATCGAAGCAGGATGTCACTCAGCTTACTGCAGAGGCAATGCCAGCCTAGGAGAGAGTCTGTTAGCTTCACGGTCCCGTCCAGGTTTAGAGAAACGGAGACAGGCCACTCACAAAGGAGAAGAACGGCGCGAACTTTGGCGCGAGGTCGCTGTCGGCCATGTTGTCGGTGCTCTCAGAGACAAATCAGAAAAGAAGGGGGAGTGAGGGGGGGAAAGAGAAAGGAAGGGAAGAGGTGAAGTCAGTCGCAGTAGTGAAGGTGTCAGTTTCGGGATGGCCGTAACTGATGATTCGGTAGCCAGCACTCCGTTCTGCTCGAAAAGCGGTATGGTCCGGGTATTACCACATTTTCTCATAATGAAGGCGAATCAATACACCTTCCATACACCTTCCGTACGATTACCGCCTACACGATCACTCGCCCATCTCCCTCCCTCTCTCTCTTTCTCCTGGGCTTCAACATTCAAACTAACTCCCCTCCTTTGCCCCCCCCACACAACACACAACCACCAACTCCTATCTCCCTCACCCCCAACACCCCCGGGTATCTCTCTACTGCCGTTACCGACAGGAGCATGCTGAGGGTATGATCCTACGAGGAGCCCTGGTTTTGCTGCGCTCTCGGCTCCTGGCGCTCATCATTCCCGCTTGATTTTGATCTCGCCTCTTCCAACTCCACCCCCAACAACCAAGGACGACCGATGGCATGGTGATTGTTTTGCTCAAAGACATTTCGGATCCTGCTTCTTACTTGGCCTTTTCATTGTCTGCCGCGTGATTGTGGCAATTCCCGACTCTTTTTCTTCGTTGGCGACAATCTTGATCCGGACTCTTGCGACGCCCTGAACGCTCTCTACGACCAACGCGGATACCCCCTTTTGGCGTCTTTTCTGCTTTTCGCATCTCAGCCTAGCCCTCTCCTCCGATCTCGCAACCTCTTGGCTTGCAGTCATTTGCCTTTTTTTTTTTTTTTTTTTTTTTTTGTGAACATGGCGGACTTGGGGGGCCAGCGCAGCCGGAACCACCGGCCCTACGCTCATGCCTCTCCCGTACAGAGAGATGCTGCGTACGCCGATATCTTTGGCAGCGCTCCACCACAGAGTCGCTCGCACACAATGAATGCGCAGACACCGCACTTCTCCCAGGCTCGGGCTCACACAATGTCCTCGCAAGTCGCCCAACCTCACTTCCAGCGACCGCCGCCGCCGCCAACACGCCAGGTGCCAAACGGATACCCGCCTGCGCCGCCAGCGCCACCAAACGGCTATGCTCCGGGACCCCCTAACGGCTACTACCAGGCATACAATCCCAGCACAGTGACGATGTCCTCGCAGCAACCTCCGCGACCGTACCCGCCACGCGCCTACCCTCGCCCGCAACGCATGGACTCCAGACCAGTTCCGACGTCGCAATACCAGGACCCGAGGGACATGCATCGGCCAATGCCTCCTCCCGCTTTGAACTCCGATGCCGCAAGGTCGAGGTCGATGGCAAAATTGGGAGGTCCGTCTCCGTCGTACCCGGCTCCGCCTAGCAACTTCAACCACACCTCTGCTATTGCCTCGCGGCGAGAACCGTATCAGGCGGGGCAACCGATAACTCAGTTGGGGCGGTTGGTTCCGGAAAAGCATGGCAACGAGCGTGCCATGTCCATGACCACGTATGCGTCGGATAGAGAGCATGCCCACATGCTGAACAGCGGACGGTCCATACCGCCCAGGCGGCCACCATCTGGCCACGAGCAACCGGGGATGGGTAGATTTGATGCGGAGCTGCCGCCAATTCCCGATCCCTATGCCAAGTCCCGCCCACCGAGCGATGCGTCGATTAAGTCCCGCACAATGTCCATGGCATCAACTGCCGTGCCCGATCGCACCATGAGTGTCCAGAGCCAGACCACACAGAGATCCAATGGACAGGGAACACTCGCTTCTAATGGCTCGCAAAGCAAGAAAGTCCCCGTGGTCTATCCTGCGCTACTTTCTCGTGTGGCCGATATTTTCCGCGAAAAAATATCTCTTACCGAGCGCCAAAAGAACGGATTGTCCTATCAAAACGCTTTTTCTGGGTCCGACGCAGTTGATCTGATTGGTACCATCATCAGGACGAATGATCGCAACCTTGCCCTGCTGCTAGGCCGTGCGCTTGATGCCCAGAAGTTCTTCCACGATGTTACCTATGACCACCGTCTTCGAGATGCTCCCGGCGAGGTTTATCAATTTAAAGAAACGATGGGTGAGGAGACAGCTGGCTCGGAGGTCAACGGCGTGTTCACCCTCATGACCGAATGTTACTCTCCAACCTGCAGCCGGGATAGTCTCTGCTATTCCATTGCCTGTCCGCGACGGCTGGAGCAGCAGGCACGCTTGAATCTGAAGCCTCAGCCGATACTGAGATCTACTGGCTCGAAGGGTAGCCTGCATATTGATGACGATGACGACAATGACAACCAAAAGCTGTGGATCAACTCGGTGCCCAAGGAAATCTCGGATGCGGTGGAGGACCATGAGAAGAAACGCCAGGAAATCATCTTCGAGATCATGTACACGGAACGCGACTTCGTCAAGGACTTGGAATATCTGCGGGACTTCTGGATGCGGCCCCTGCGCAGTGGGACCGCCACTATTAATTCCCCCATCCCGGAACATCGACGCGAAAAGTTTATTCGCACTGTGTTTGGGAATTGCTTGGAAGTATTGAAGGTCAACAGCGGTCTCTGCGAGGCATTGAACGCGCGGCAAAAGGAAAGCCATGTCGTCAAGTCCGTTGGTGATATCTTCCTCCAACATGTGCCCCGCTTCGATCCATTCATCAAGTATGGTGCAAACCAGCTTTATGGAAAATACGAGTTCGAGAAGGAGAAATCGTCCAACCCGCCCTTTGCCAAATTCGTCGAGGACACCGAGCGCCTCAAAGAATCTCGCAAGTTGGAATTGAACGGTTACCTGACCAAACCGACTACTCGTCTCGCCCGATACCCGCTTCTGCTAGAATCAGTCTTGAAGAACACTGCTGACGACAACCCCGACAAGGAAGACATTCCCAAGGCCGTGAAAATGATCAAGAGTTTCTTGTCACGAGTCAATACCGAGAGTGGAAAGGCCGAAAACCACTTTAACTTGGTGCAGTTGAACGCCGCATTGAAGTTCAACCCCGGCGATTATGTGGACTTGAAGCTTACGGAAGAGAACCGCCAAATGCTCACGAAGATGGCATTCAAGAAGACTACCGCTGATAGTTCTGAGGTCACAGCATATCTCTTTGACCACGCTGTGCTACTGGTCCGGATCAAAGTGGTGAATAAGCGTGAGGAGTACCGGGTATACAAGAAGCCCATTCCTTTGGAGCTCTTGGTGATCGCGCAGATGGATGAAGTCATCCCCCGGCTGGGAATTGCGAAGCGACCTTCGTCCGGTCTTCTAGCCAACCGAGCTGTTATCAATCCGCCACCTGCCAAGGACGGACAGCTCCCGATCACGTTCCGACATCTTGGCAAAGGAGGGTACGAGCAGACTCTCTATGCCACAACACCTGCCCAGCGGCGCAAGTTCATCGAATTGGTGGAGGACCAACAGAGGAAGCTCTGGGAGCGTAACAGCAACTTCTATAACAAGACCATTCTGTCCCAGAATTTCTTCACAGCTATCAACCGCGTGAACTGCCTTGTACCGATTGATGGTGGTCGGAAATTGGTCCACGGAACGGACAGCGGTATCTACGTCTCAGACCGTTGGCCCAAAGATAAGACCGCCAAACCGAAGAGGGTACTGGAAGCAAGCCAGGTCACTCAGATTGATATTCTGGAGGAGTATCAACTACTCCTGGTGTTGGCAAACAAGACCCTCTCCTCGTATCCCATGGAGGCTCTCAACTCAACGGAAGGCCAGAACTCCGTCGCCAAACGCCCTAAGAAGATCCAGGGCCATGCGAACTTTTTCAAGACCGGCATCGGTTTAGGTCGTCACCTGGTGTGCTCGGTCAAGACTTCCGCTTTGTCAAGTACCATCAAGGTTTACGAGCCCATGGACAATTTGGCCAACGGCAAGAAGAAGTCGGCAGTCAGCAAGATGTTCCAAAGTGGTCAGGACACACTCAAGCCGTTCAAGGAGTACTATATCCCTGCTGAGTCCTCTTCGATTCATTTCCTGCGGTCTACGCTCTGTGTCGGTTGCGCTCGTGGTTTCGAGGTGGTCAGTCTCGAGACAACAGAGACCCAGTCGCTTCTGGATCAGGCCGATACATCACTCGACTTCGTTGCACGGAAAGAGAACGTCAAGCCGATCCACATCGAGCGTCTGAATGGAGAGTTCCTTCTCAACTACAGTGACTTTTCCTTCTTCGTGAACCGCAATGGCTGGCGCGCCCGTCCAGACTGGAAGATCTCTTGGGAGGGTACGCCGAACGCATTTGCGCTTTCGTACCCGTACATCCTGGCGTTTGAACCCAACTTTGTTGAGATTCGACACGTCGAAACCAGCGAACTCATTCACATCATGACCGGGAAGAACATTCGCATGTTGCATTCTTCCACCAGAGAGGTAAGCTTTTCTGTCTTTGTCACTTACATCCAAGTGCTAACTTTTTGAAAAAAAAAAATAGATCATCTACGGCTACGAAGACGAAGCCGGCGAGGACGTGGTTGCCAGCTTGGACTTCTGGAGCAAACAACCAAACCAAATCTGAAGTGCCGCAGTGGCGTAGCATTCAGTGAAACCCTCCCTCCGGTTCCCCCGCCTTGGGACTGTCTCCTAAGGAGACCTCGGATTGAAAAGAGAAAGCGGAGACGAAAGCAGGGAGGAACACAAGAGCCGCTTTGCTTTTTGCCCTTCATGAAAAAACACCCTTTTTAATACTGTTTTGAACCTTTCTTCACCGTCCATATTCCTATTCCACGCCGAGCGTATCATCTCTTCGACTGCCCGCGCGCCTTATCTCTCTCCTTCCTCCATCCGTCTCGCCACCCAATCTCCGTCGCCTAGGGGTTTCTCTTCCCTTCTTCTCTTCCCACCATTCTCATTTCCTCCCTCTGTACAATGGAGCGCAAATACCACTTCATGCGTGTCATGTCTGCTTTTTGTTCTTATTTTATTCTTGTCTTCTCCTTTGTGTGTGTGTGTGTGTGCTTGCTCATTGCCTTGCGCCTCTCTCGTCTTGCTTGTTCT